TTTTTTGTGAGACAAGAAAGTTAAAATTGTTTGAAAAATTCTTTTTTTAAAAAAAAAAGAAAGTTTGCACTTATTTTTTTACTCTTTTCCCCTTTTTCTAAAAAATAAAAAAATAAAAAAATAAAAATATATATATAATATAAATTTAAATATATATATATATTATTATATATTTCGAGGAAATTTTCGGGCATAATATATATTTTTTCTTAATTTTTAATGATAAAATATTAATTATGGTAGAAATAAACGAAAATAATGTAAATATTAAAGAAAATAGAACGGAAATGACTACGAAGGAAGAAGAAACTATGGATAAAAAAGTAGTGGAGGACGTTTCTATTAAGAATAATAATAATGAACCTTCAACAACGACAATGACTACAACAACGACAACAACAACAAAGTCAACAACAGAAGTGGATAATATTTCACATAGTATATCAATATATGATGAAAAAAATAATTTATCAATTAAAAGGATAATACAAATTATAGGAAAAGGACATTCTAAAAAAAACAATAATGTGGCCGAAAATTCAAAAATTCAAAATAATGATAATGATAATTTATTAATTCATGAATTTGACGCAACAACAGAAGATCCTTTTACTCTTGAATCATTTGATACTCTTATACAACAACATTCTGAAAAAGATAAAGATTTTATTATTGCAAGAGTAACAACTGTTGACCCTACCGATGAATTAAAATCTTATCATTCATATTATTCTGGTCATCATATTAATAAAGTATTATTCAGAACTCAACCTGATCAAGGTTTATTACATCGTATGAAAGCTAAAAATGTGAGTGTAAAAAAAAAATATTTTTATTGTTTTTTTTTTTCAAGTCGAAAAGTCGAATTTTTTCTGACAAATTCTTTTTTCTCTTAAAACATTTTAGCCATTAAATAATATGAATATAATTGGAGATGTACATTATTACGTCGTTAAAGCGTCAAGCGTAAAGAAATTACCAACATTTACAAAATCATCTTCAATGTCGACTACATCAAAAAAAACATTACGAGTTAATGGAGAATCAACAATAATGGCAACTTCATCGCTTGATAAAGTTGAAAAAGGTGTTACAAAAATTAATATTGATAATATTGATGATATAAGGTCAAATTCAAATAAATTACGTTCAGCTCCACCATCAATATGGAATTTTGAACGTAATGATGATGATGATGATGAAAAGTTTGCCATTGAAATGGAATCAACTTCAAATAATAAGAGATGGTCTGCTGATGATTCTTTAAAACCTCTTCCAAAAGCTATTACTGCCAATCATAATTCTTCAACTTCTGGTGCTGATGAAAATTTTGAAAGATTATTAACAAATTTTAAATTACAAACTTTTAATAATCATGATGATAATGAAAATAATAGTCATTCAAGTAAAATTATTATACCACCTTTAGTAAATAATGAAATTTCCGTTTCAATTTCACATAATGATTTAAAAGAACAACAAATTGACTCCCCAATCACATTAACACAATCACCAACGAAGGATTCGCATTCAATATCAATAAATGAAGAAGAAGGAGTTGAAGATGGTACAATTTATTATAAGGCAAAATTTTACGCGACTGATGATGATTTCTTAATGCATTCCGTAATACGACATTTTTTTAAAGCAAACGCATTGGAACCAATGGACGCACAATTATTCACAATAAATACTTCATCACATAATAATCCTAATGTGAATGTAACTCCAAGTGCACGACTTGAAAGAATAGTAACAGGTCATGAAACGTATTTATTAGATCCTATGGTTATTGGTAATATGCGACCTCCTGTAGCAAGAAGTATAGATTCGAATGAATTAAACGCTGTTCCGACTTCAAGATGGCGGAGAGCATTAAATAATATGAGAATGAATAAAGGTTTAAGATGGTTGGTACTAATGTATATGATATTTGGATTTTTATTAATTAGATTTGTAGTTGCTGAAACTTATGCTTATTTAATGGCTTTTCTTCTGATGTTGTGCTTGTTTCTTGTATTTTGTGTCGGAAGTGGTGTTGGAATTTGGGGAAGATAATGAGTTTGTTTTGTTCTTTGATAATTTATTTATTTTTATTTATTTCTCTAATCAACTTTTTTTAATTTTGTTATTTTTGTAACATTTAATTTAACTGCATCGATAAAAAAAAAAAAAATTACTTTATTTCACGTGTATTCAATAATTTACAAGAAAAAAAAAAAAAAAATTTTTTTTACGTATATTCTTTTTTCTTTAATTTCGTTTTTAATAAAATTTTTTATTAGGTTATATACATAAATAAAAAAAAAGGTTAACGATAATAATTCGAAACATATCAAAGGACCATCAAATATATCAAAAGACACGATCTTTTTTTTTTTTTACATAGTCCAAATCATGTTAATATAATGAAGTCATTCAATGATAGTTTTCCTTTTTTTTTTTCGTTAGCCCTACAATGCAAAAAATAAATTTTTTTTTATAGTGTGATGGATAAGTATGATGATCTATTAAGATCCGTTCTATTCTATGAAAAGAAGTTATTTTCAAAGAAATTATTAAGACAAAATGTTCCATAACATATCAAAAGGACCTTTTAAAGTATCAAAAACACGTTTGAACAAAGATTTTATAATTTTTTTGTTAGTTCAAATATGGTGATAAATTAAAGTCACTCAATGATTATGTTTTCCCTTTTTTCCTTGAATGTTCTTAATAAATTTCATGCGACGAAGTTGACGGGATTGGTTGGATCGAGTCACCGGAAGAAAGAAACTATTTAGAAAGCAAAGGATTAACGATTATGATTCGTAACATAATCAAGGACCTTTAACAAAATATATCAAAAAAGCCATGTTGAACAGGAATTCTATAAAATTTTTGTTAGTTCAATCATGTCGATATAATAAAAGTCATTCACTGATAATGTTTTCTTTTTTTCGTTGTCCTTGTAAATAAATAGTTTCCTTTAAAAGTGGTAATTAATGGAGCATGTATTAGGTTATTAGGTGGTATAGGAGTATTGCGATATTACTGGAAATATACGGTATTATTGGAGATAAACGGTACCATGTTTGTATTAGAGGTATGCGGTATTATTGGAGATAGGTAAAGAGGTAAAGGTTACGAGACCGATCCATTCTAATTCGAAAGGAAAGTAATCCTATAAAAAGGATATATTATTTTTCTTTTTTATTTTTTTTTATTTTTTTTATATTTTTTTAAATTTATTTGAATTCGAATTGAGGAAATTTCGTATCCTTTATATATGTAAAAAAAGTACGAAAAAGCTAAATCACATCATTACGGGACTAAAAAATAAGGTGATTGTTTTTAAGTGGGTTAATATTTTAACGACTAGGTAAAGTGGGGGAATTTTACTTTTTTACGATTAAAATAAAGTGGGGTGATTTCTTTTTTTAACGATTAAGTGAATCTTGGCGATTAATAATCAGATGACGGAATCTTGGCATTTTAATACAATAGGAAAAAAAGGGACGAAAAAATAAACGGAAATTTCCCAATGGCGTGGTAAATTATTTAATTTAGCCAATCCTATGATCACGCCATACGGTTAAAACTACGGTACGGCACGGTACGGGTATTCCCGGGCATATGATTACAATTGAAAAAAAAGTTGTGGCGATATTTCCGATTTCCGATTCTTTCTTTTTTTTTCCATGAATTCTACGGCAATATTACAAATATTTAATCATTTTTTTTAGAATATTCTTTTTTTGGGAAAGTCTGAAACTACGCCATACTGATATGTCATTGAGAAAAAAAAAAAGATTGCCTATTATGATTTTCAACCAACAATGAATAATCTATTCACACAATGCATGCAAAGAAAATTTTATTATTTTTTTTTTTAGTTTTAAGAAAATTTAAGTAACAAAAATTTTCGGATGTTACAGTAAATAATTTATGGCTCATAAGGTAGGAAAATTAGTGACCAAAAAATATGTAGCANCCCAAAGATGCCTGTGATTGTATCATTTGTTGTAATCTGTATTGATCTTCGGCAAATATATGTTCAAGATATTGCTGTTGTTGCAATGGTAAATGTTGATGAGCTGTCTCTTATACACATCTAGATGTGTATAAGAGACAGGATTAATCCGATTCTTATTTAAGGAAAACCCGTTCAATGAAACGGGAGTAAAAAAAAAAAAAAATTTTTTTTTTAATTGTAAATCATCGTAAATCAATCAGTAAAAAAAGATGTCAAAAATTTTTTTTTTAATGATTTGATTTAAAAATATAAAAAATGTCAAAATTTTTTTTAATAATTTGATTTTAAAAACAGTAAAAAAGGTGTCAAAAAATTTTGATTTTAAAAACAGTAAAGTTGCCCCAAATTTTTACTGATTTGTAATAAAAGATGTCAAATAATTTGATTTAAAAAGTATGATGTTAATAATTGATTCAAAAGATGCCAAAATTTTCAATAATGTGATTTATAAATTTTTTTTTAAAAAAAAAGTCGTCATTTTCATTTGAAATTTCAATTTCATTAATTACTCAAAAATAAATAAAAAAAAATTATTTTTTTTCATTTTTCCTTGTTAAAAAAGATATCCTTTTTTGTTTGAAAAAAAAAAAGCTGAGGGGGACGCAGTTATTATTAATATTTTGTAAATCCCTTCGTTTTAAATTATATATTGCGTAACTTGCGTGATATTTATCATTATACCGCAAGTTTAAAAAGTACAAGATATCTAATAAATCAATGATGCAATTTTTATCCAATCATATTTCAAATCAATCAAAGATTAATGTTACATTTCTTAACATTACTAATACAAAAGGGGAGTTATCATTCTCTAAATGTATTAACTTATTTGATCAAACTTTTGATATAAAATTATCTCATCTTTCCTGTTCACAAGAATTCAGGTTTTTTTTTTTAAAAAAAAAAGATCCAACTCGAAATCTTTAACGAAAAATAATTGTTCTTTTTTTTTTTTTTTTTTTATTTTTGAAGACAATATTTTTTTTTTTTTTAAAAAAAAAAAAAATTCTCTTTCTCCTCATATTTATAAAAAAGCTCCAGTCTGTACAACAGAACTTGGAGAAGTAGCTCGTCGTTCTAAAGATTTTGCTGACCGTGGTGTGAAAGTTATTGGACTTTCTGCAAATGAATTATCTGATCATGAAAAATGGGTTGATGATATTAATGAAGTTAATAATGTTAATGTTGATTTCCCAATTATCGCTGATCATGAGAGAAAAGTTTCCGCTTTATATGATATGTTAGACCATCAAGATATTACTAATGTTGATACAAAAGGAATTCCATTCACTGTTAGAAGTGTTTTCATCATTGATCCTAAAAAGATCATTCGTTTGATGATCACTTATCCTGCTTCAACTGGTATGTTTTTGATCGTTTAAGGGATTCGAAATCTTTTAGTATTTTTAATTTGTTTTAAAAAGTAATTTCAATTTTTTTTTTTAATGAAGGACGTAATTTTGATGAAGTCATTCGTGTCATTGATTCCCTTCAACTTGGTGATAAACATCGTATCACTACTCCTGCTAATTGGAAGAAGGGTGATGAAGTTATTGTTCATCCTGGTGTTTCTAATGAAGAAGCCGAGAAATTATTCCCTGGTTTCAGAACTGTTAAACCATACCTTCGTTTAGCAAAATCACCTTTCTAAATAAGAGGAAATGTGTCATGATTTAATTTTTACATCAATAATTATTAATTTAAGTAAATAAGAAAGTCGTGTGTGTTTATTTTATGAAACTTTTTTTTTTTTNTTAATCTTGCAAATTAATTAATTTTATTTATTTATTTAAATATTAAAACAGATGAAAATTAACTAATTTTTTGGGTTTTTTAAAAAAAGATTTAATTTTTTTTTTTAAGTTAATTTTTTTAGTTAATTACGAAAGTACAAGTTAAAATTCAAACAAAAGAAAAAAAATAATTCTAATTAATAGTAAAAAGAAAATCTGCATAAAAAACTTTATGCGAAAAAATACCCCCCTACAACTGGATTTTACATCGCGAATAAAAGAATATATTTTATTCATACAATCATTAATGAATGTCATTTACAACCCATTATCTTCATCCTTTACAGCATCTTCTAATAGTAACGAATTATTATGTTCTTTATTAACAACTAGTTGCTTCTTGTTTTGTCGTTGTTCCTGCTTTTGTTGTTGCACCTGTTGTTGTTGTTGTACTTGCTGCTCTTGCTCTTGTTGTTCTTGTAATGGGTGCTGATTTGATTGTTGATATTGTTGTTCTTGTGCATACAATCTAGCTTTTAATTCCTCGGTTAAAATATACAGTCTCTCATTTTCTTGAAAATCAACAGGACTTTGTAGTAATTTCGCACTCAATTTCAAAACTTCACTACGAAGTTTTGCATTTTCTTCTTCAAGTCGTGCCACTTTTGATTCAAGGCTTGAGACATACACCTTCTTTCTTTCACGACATTGTCTTGCCGCGACTCGATTACGCTCAAGTCGACGTCTTTGTCGTTCACTTTCAGATATAGATTGTGATTTTCTTTGAACGTTATCTTGATGACGCGACATTGAATTGGAATTTTCTGAATGCGAAGATTGAGGTTGATATGGTTGTAAAAAAGCTGTTGACGGATCTTCAATTTGTACTTGTACACAATCAGTCAATATTTGATATTGTTGATGTTGTTGAGGACAATAACTTGTTGGCACCATTTGTCCCAAAGATGCCTGTGATTGTATCATTTGTTGTAATCTGTATTGATCTTCGGCAAATATATGTTCAAGATATTGCTGTTGTTGCAATGGTAAATGTTGATGAGAATATAGTAAAGATCTTAATTCTGGATTGGATTGTGAAATGTTTTGTTCGGAGATTGAAAGTCTGGGTGACAATTTTTGTGTGGGAGTAGCTGCAGGAGTTGGTCCTTGGGTAGGTTGTATATTTTGAGAAGTATCGATATCTTGAACGTTCATAAAATTATCGTGATTCCGACTAAATGATTGTTGTTGCTGTGTTGAAGGACAAGAATGAAGTGAAGTTAAAGTAGGAGAAGAAGAATTTATAGTTTCATTTTCAAAATTTATATTTTCACTATCAAGAGAAGAATCATTAGATTGATTCGAGTTCAGTGATAATTCACTACTTTTAGGCGAAGAAGTCTCTTTGGGACTTTCGACTTCGTTACACCCTTGTGAAACTATTTCAAGTTTAGCAGAAGAAACCATTTGATACTAACAAATTTTTTTATATGGGAAGGCGAACGTATATTGAATATTCGAAAAGATTAAATACTTTAATATTATTAACGCGTTTGTTTAAGAAATCTATTCATAAAAAACAAACAAACAAAGAAAAAAAAAAGAAATAAAATACGCACGTATGAAAAATATATATATACACAATATATTTACCTTCTTTTCCTATAGATTTTGACAAATACAAAGTCTTATGCTCTAAATCAAAGTAAAAAAAGACGCGACTTTTTAATTTTAGTAACAGTTCTTTTAAATAACTTATATCACTTATAAAAAGGAATTATACGTTTACCAGAAAAAATTTTGATGAAAAACAACTTTAAATTATTAAAACTCTTTGAATTTTAAGGAATGAGAAAAAAAGAAAATAAAGGTTTGTTTCTTTTTAAGACGCGTCAAGTTTATTATTGTGATGAAAAAAAAAAATAATAATATAAAATAAAATAAAAATAAAATACTTTTAAAAATGATAATATAAAGTAAAAAAATAAAAAAAGTTTTAAAAACGTTATGAAGTTACGAACGTTCTAATTCAGGGAGAGAGTTTAATATTTTAAGCTATCTCTATTATTTATATACTTTTTTTTTTTAAAGTTTATTAACCATAATTGGTAATTCGCATTACGTAATACTAGTTAAATATCGAGTTTAAATTTTAGCCTATTTAAACAGCATCACAGGTTAGGTTTTTAAGTCGAGGTTTGACTTTTGAGGGTATAAATATGATTTGATTAATTTAATTTATTTAACAAGGGGCATAAAAAGATTTGCTTTGATTCTAAACTCGCATGATACTATAATGAACTGAAAATTTTCGTGTATAAACATCCATCTGGGGAGCGTTAAAGAGCCACTAATCAGGAAACAAAGTCGAATTATGGTAAATACTAGACAACTTTCTTTGGCGTTCCATATTTGAGCCGCTCTTTGCCGGCACCAGAGAAACCTTACGTTATGTCACAATTTATTCAAAAATCGAACGTCGAAGTTTTTTTCTTTGATTATCATGTTATGTAGAGGCAGTACAAACTGTAAAATGATTTACACTTGTATTAGTTTCTTTTGGAAAAGGTCGTGCGCGTGCGTGATATTTTCTTTCAACAATAAATCACCCCTAATTTCTAAACTCAGTAAATCTACCTGATAATCTATGGCTTGGTAAATAATTATAGGTGCGAGGTGACACGTACTCGCGTACTTCAACCATGTAACAAATAATATGCATAATGATCGTGATACGTCCTTGTGAAAAAGAACATGAGGTGCTGCGTTATTATAGCGAACTTTTAGGAATTGTAGTCCGCTGAGAATACAATGTTACCACGAAATTCGGATCTCACTATGTATTACGAGAACGAGCCTTGCTAATCTTAAAGATAGTTCGAATATTTTAGAAATAATTTTCAACGAGTGCTACGTAATCACTTGTTTGACGACAGAATTCAAGATCACATGCATGAAATTTGATGAGCACGCTTAATAATCGGGTTGGTTTTTTTATAAGTACTCATCCCATGAATAATTCATATCTGTCATATCTTTCTTTACATTAAGAGACCACTGCTCTATAAAAGTAATTAAAGATGTTTTTACAAAAAATTAGTTTGTTAATGTCACTCTTATCACCTCTTGCGTGGTTTATTTGGTTCACTTATGCTGTGATCCTTCCCTTGTGCACGTTTCTAGGTTGGCTGGTCTGTATGACATGTTTTCTCGCTCTAACAATTTTTTTTTTAACCTCTGTCACCTCTTTAACTTGTTCACATGTCGCACTCTTTAGGCTTTACCATTCGTCTTTTTTGCTTTAGTTATCGCTGATGTATTCGTTATTATTCAGTTATTGAAAGGTGGATATCAATCACAAATTAGATTTCACGTGCTTTTATATAACGATAATCTCAAATATTTTCCATATAGTAACTTATTCAGAAGACGACGAATATGAGTAAGTATGATGCGTAATTTATACTAAGCTATTGTATTAATACTTTTTCCACAATTACTTTTAGAACATTTTTAACTACTCGAGAAGCTCTTAAAACTATTTTCCCAGAAGCCTCTAATAAAGATATTAAAAAGTATGATAAACAACTTGATAAAGTGAAAGATTTTGAACCTGTGCTTATAATCTCTCCAAATCACAATTGGATAAATCAACATACATTACAAAATTATCAAATGGTGATGAATGCATTTGCGATCGATAGTCTCCAACAAAATAACCGCAGAGATGGAAATTCACTTCTTATATTTCACTTTTCAACTATGACTGAACTCTACACTGTACGCCAAAACGTTCGCACACTTCACCCTAATGCGTACTTTAACCCTGTAGCTCAGCCTAAACAGGAACCAATTGGTGCTGCTTGGATATTTTATAAGGTGGGAGCAAGTAAATGTGATTTTGGAGAAGATGATAATTTCTTTATATGCTAGATGAACAACTTTTTATAACGAAATTATCTAAACATCCTATTAACTACTTACTGTGCTAAAAAATTCAAATAAATTGATGGTTTAAAGTCGTATGTATCATTGGTCAATTGAATTTTTTTTTTTTTTACATTTCATAATTGTTCAATTTACCAAAAATAGTAACATTGGATGAACCCATACTATACTGCATGCATAATACAAACGAAATGTTTATTATAATGTTTCTAATGGAATATTAGTACAGTGATTCCATAAAGACTTTATGGCTAAGAAATGTAGGAAAAATTCCTTAACTAATATATTAAATCATTTATCGACTGAATTGAAATATGAGATACTCCAAGTCTTTTTGCGGGAGGAAAGGAGTTTTTCATTCAATTTAGTAATACGTTTATTAAATTTCTTATGACAAAATTCAATAATACGTTAAGGTATACAGTACAAAATATTATCAAAGATCACTAATATAAAGAAAAAACGAAAGTTGATTAAAATTACTAGTGGACGATACGATTGGATAACGGGGTAAGTTGCAGAACTCTACAACAAACCAAATTACCTAGATAGAATTTATAAAAGCAGGGTGAATTCGTTGATTAGAAATTTTGTTGAGTTTTACGGCGAAAACTCAAAGTAAGACATTAAATGGAATCAGTATTTGGACCCTTCAAAGTTCTGTCTAATTGATTTTAAATGCACGTGAAAAATCGTGAAATGATCAAAATGTCAAGTGTAGATTTGTGTTAAGTCAAAGTATGGCTCTGTGTTGCCATCATAAATTAGACGGCATAAATTTATGTAAACATTTGTAAAATATATGTTATTTCTCACCCAACTCGTGAAACATATTTATATGTTCGAAATTCATATGAAGTTCTATGGAAAATTTCTTAGCATTTAATTACCTATTTACGTATTTTTAAAGGAAAACTCGGATTCTTTGTTATATATATAGATATCCGATGACAAATATGAAAAATGTTTCGTTAACATCGTAATTGAAAATTTCCTAATTTATTGAAGGAATTAAGTTTCGATGCCATACAAGTCAATATATCACATATTTGTGTCAAAATATTTGGTACATACTTTTTTTTTTGTTAATTCAATATAATTTTATCCATAAACAAGTATCGTAAAAATTCCTATTTATAAAAGATAATATTTCATAAATATTTGTAAAATTCTTTTTTTCGAGTTAAAGATCTTTTTTTTATCCAGTTTAATTTTTTTTCCGATAAAGAAAAAATAACAACATTGCATATTTATGCATTTTGTAATATTTATTTTTCTATTATCTAAAAAGTTTATTGGTACCCGGCAATGATGTGCAAAAAACCCATGTCGTTGCACAATTATTTTAAAATTGTTTATTCCATTTGCTAATTGTCAATTGTCCAATCAAATCTCTATTTTTATGATTTCCCGCTTCAATACAAGTTATGCTTAATGTTGCTGGACTTAGACTTACTTAACTAGGAATTATCGCGATTTCCGTTATAAATTCTTTGGTAGATCTTATGATAAATCGAGTAAAGAACCTGTATTACTTTATAACTTTATTAGAAGTAGAGCTGGCGGTATTTTCGTTAAATATTTAATATTTATTTCAAAATTACTTCAATCGCGATTCCTTTTTAATCAAATAATTATACAAAATCGGAAACGTGAGACTCTAAATCCGGTAAATTACTATTATTATATTCTCGAGATATTCCAAATTTTTTTTTTTTTTTTGATTTGTCGTACAAATCAGTGTTAAATTAGTTGTCTTTGGTTCCTTCTTAATTATATTCATTACACCACATTTCCACATTTAAAAGATATATCTTACTTTCTTTTCCCTTTTCCCTTTTTTTCTTTTTTCTTTTTTTAAATATTTTCCCTTTCCGTTTATCTTTCAAATAATATCCTTGTTTTCTCTTTTGTTACCCTAAAAAGTATACCTTGTATTTTAATATATTATTTATATAGCATTATATTTTATATTTCAATAATATTTTTTTTCAACGGCTAACTTAAACGTTAGCACCTTTTTTTTTAATAAAATTAACGATAACTTAATAACGAAATAAGTGCTGCGTACACTATCTCCACTCATTTTTTTTTGCTAGTCAAAAAAAAAAGAAAAAAAAAAAAAAAATTTAAATGATGGAAGGTTATGATAAAAATGAAGCATTTATATTATCAAAACATTCATCGAATAATAATACTTCCTTATCAATACCAAAAATAGCTTTTGGTGCCGGAAAAAATCAAAATCAACGTAGTAATACTTCTCAAGAATTTTCACCTACAAAAGAAGTAATATTAGATGAAAATACAGAAGAAAGTGTTAATGGAACAGGAATAGGAATAGGAGAAAAAGATCTTTATTATAATAATGCAACTCCAAGTTTTATGTCAGATAATGTAACAATGGGTTTTGATGGAACATTTTTCCCTTCATTGGATAAAGTATTAATGAATAAATCAGGGTCACCATTATCACAATATAATTTTTATGCTTATCTTAGGCAAGATTGGCATGGAGAAGAAAATTTAAATTTTTGGCTAGATGTTGTTACTCATGAAAACCTATTTGAATCTTGGCGAGAATATCAGGATTACATAAAAAAGTCAAGAGAAAGAAGACAAAGTGAAAATACTATTAATAGAAGAGGAAAGGATAAAGAAGATACAGGAGTTGAGGGCGATGATGAAGACGAAGAAGGTGAAGATTGGGAACCTTCCAATGATTATAATGATAGTAATTCAAGTACTGATGGTACAGTCGCTCCTTCTGTTGCACCTTCATCAATTGATTCAAAAAATCCTGTAGTTAAATCAAATAATCGTCGTTACTCTTCTTCAAATAGATATGCTGGAGCACTTTATGACAGTAGTGATAGTAAAAATAATTATGAAATTACTGTAATTTCAGAAGATAGATCATCATCAGATTACAAACAACCTGAAATTGTAAAGAGAGTTAACGAAGAAGATTTAGCAAAATCCGCTCTAGTTATTTATAAAAAGTATGGTCACATGAATATATTACCGGAGCAAAATCGTATAACAATGCAAGATTTAATTGAACGTCAAGGAAGATTTAATCCTGTTGTATTTTCTTCGGCAAAATCTTATGTTTATCATATTATGAATGTGATATACTTTCCAAAATTCATACAAGCAGCTATTGATATGAATTTAACTCATATACATGCCATAATTGCTTTACCTTTGGGTATAGCGGCTTTAACATTTGGTCTCGCCTTAGAATTATATTATATTTTTATGGGTTTAGATAATAGATTAGTAAGACTTTGGGGGTTTCTTCCTATCTGGCTAGGTTGGATCTTATTACAAACTGCTGCTACTCGTTTTCTTCCTCCTTTGATAATATTTGGTGTAAGGTATGGATAGTAATAAACTAAGTTATATGCTGTTAGTTATGTTTATTATGCACTTTTTTTTAACGTACTTTTTTCATTCTTTTGAACGTAGTGAACACAAATTATTTCGATTTCATAAGATTAAAGAACGTTCAATTTTATATGCGCACAGAAAACGTGCTTTGACTTTTATGATGTGGGATACTTTAGCTGCTATAATAACTACTGCCATTTTATTTGCGATACCTCCTATTGCTCTTTATGATGGCAAACATTAATTCAAAAATTATTATTTTTTTTTCTTATTTTTATATATTGAACAATTTTTTTTCTTTCGTACAATATACATATATATATAGACATATATATTTTAATATAATGTGTGGAGTTGAAAGAACATTTTTTTTCTTTTACTTAAAGAAGTTACTTTCTTTAAGTTGTATTATTTTGTTTGTACTATTAATCTCAAATATATATTTCTTATTTTTTTCGCTTATAGTGTATTTCTATGAAACATTGTATTTCAATAAAATGCAAATATACAATACAGAATTTTTAATGTATAATGAATGCTATTATACACTTTATATAATTTATTATTCCTTTTAATACGTATAAATTGGTTGTTTTTTTTTTTGAAAAAAAATAAAATAAAATAAAATATAAATAAATGGGTGTATATTAATTATAATTGGTATATATCTACAAATGCCATACATTACTGTTTATATAATTAAAATGGAGAATATTTTAAATAAAAACTTTGTTATTACAATAAAGATCTTTGATATCTTTGATAAAATTTTCTTCATTAGTAAATTCTTCGTTCCCATTTTGAACTTGTTTAGTTTCCTCCTTTTCCTCCCCTTCCTTCTCTTCTATTTCTTCATGTCCTCTTTCTTGATCAGAATCAAATTTTTCAAAACTACAATTAACATACAAATTTTCAATCAAATTTTCAGTCGAATTTTCTTTGTTATTATTAGCTTCTTTCTCATTTGGCCAAGTATTGCATTTAGTCTTTACCGGCACACTATTTGAGAATTTTTTCAGGGACAAACGACTTTGAGTGGTCTTAAATGATAACCTGGAATTCTTAATTTCTTCATTTTCCTCTTCCCCCTTTACATTTTCCTCCTTCTTTTCTTTCTCTTGATCAACAGTAAATTCAAAACAATAAATCCAACCTCGCGTACAACCAGCAACAACTCTTTCATCATCGATATCTAATATATTAAATACGGTAGTATCAATCGAAGGAGGCAATGTGACCTCATTAAATCCACGGATTCCATTTGTTACATCTACACTTTCTGAATTAACTTTCGGATAAATTAATAAATGACCTTGTGGTGGATATGATATTAATGATCCAATTACACCGTGATTATATTTTGAGTCAATTCCTGCACAAAGTAATCTACATGGTACGTTATTATTTTCATAAATCATCATTGGTTCTCTTGAATATATCCTTCTTATCCTCTCATCTTCCCCTTCTCTTTCTCCTTCATTGAAAGAAGGAGGAGGTAAATCTTCCCATCTAATGTGAAAAATCGCTCCAGATGGTGCAATACATAATATATCATGACCATCTACATTATTATCAAATGAACATATATTGATAGATGTCCTCGATGGAACATATTGATAAAGTAATCCACTTGATGTGATATCAAATATATCGATAGCCCCATTTGATGAAACAGACATAACAATATTTTTACCAAGTAAGCGAACACCTGCAACCTGTTATCAAATTTTATTTTATTAAAAAAAAAAAAGTTTCGTACTTTGTCAATAAAAACAAACCATTAATTCAATATAAAACTTACCCTATTTGAATGAACGTGAAATAATGCTACTTTTCTACCATCTTTCCATAATAGTACATGTATCATCCCTTTAAAAGTTCCTAATGCAATGTATTCATCATTCATATCCATACATTGAGTTCCTATCCACTGCTCTTCTGCAAATTTTCCAAGAGTCTCTCCCGTTGAAAAAGAAATCAATTTACATCCAAATTCACTTTATATGCCATAATTATAAAGTTAACGGTCGTTAATATTTTTTTTTTTTTTTTAAGCAGGAAAAAAAACATTATTCTTTTAATTTGAAAGTTATGACATTACCCATAATATGATCCACAAGCAATCACATCCTTATGTTCGATAAAATCAACACAAATAATATCAGCTCCAACTTCAATTTTATTTTTGCATTCACCAGTTTTAATGTTCCATACTCCAATAAAATCATCAGTTGATCCTGTAACTAAAATATCTCCTCTCAATTTTAGTGCCACGACTTTATTATTATGGGCTTTGAAATTGAATGTTTTTGTTGCGTTTCCTCTTTGCCAATTTATTTGAAGTCTATAAAAACTTTCCCAACTGTTCAATGTTGAGCTAGTTCTTGGTGGTAAGGGTCCAGGTTTAAATAAATGTGAACTATGATATTGCCATAACGTTTCGTCTAATGACAAATAATACCATTTTTTAGAAACCTATATAAAAAAAATTATTTTAGTTATTGGAGTATTCGTGAGAAAAAAAAATTTATGAAAAAAGAAAAAAATTTACCACTCGACAAAGACAAATCGTTGCTACCGGTAATTCTGTAAATATTTTTAACCAGATCTCATCTGGTAATAAATCAAATGGACTTATCGCAGTTGAAGATTTATTACTAGTCATTTTAAAATTCTAATTAAAAAATAAAAATTTTTTTTTCTTTTCGCCGATTTTATAATACAAAAAAATTGACGATTGCTACCTAAAAAAGATACTCCCCAATGAATCAATAATCTGCATTTAACCTGATTGATGATTCGCCGAAAATCTTTATCGGTGTCACGTTAATCGGAGTCAGGTTCTAGACAGGGTTTAGATAAACAGATCTGATTGGTTTATACTTTATTGTGAGTCGGAATTATAACAATGATATGGGAAAACTATTGAAGCGTATATTGTTTTACTTATAAATATTTATTTAAAGTCCTGATAAAGAAAATTCTTTTATTTTAACTTTGAATCTAATTTCTAAATGCCATAAAATATTAGATCTGAGCATGATTTCTATAAATACAGTCAATACAGTTCGGATTTTACTTTAAAACAAAAATAAAGCCAACATTATTTTAACAATGAAAGTTGAAACATTCTGATTTTCCAAATGATAGATAAATAAACATTAATTGGTGTATAATTATATAAATAAAGTAATTAAATTTTAAAATGTGAAATTCTTGTAATTATAATTATTTCGTAAGTGTATATGCTAGTATGCCTTAAAATAAAATTCACTTAGAGTCTACAAGTGTTTCTCAACTATTGTACTCAGAATAGTTTAATAACTTGCGAGTGATTAACTGTTAATAAATGATCGGGAATTTTCGTTTACTTATTCCCGGTCTCATATAGATAGCCATAAGTAGTTTAAAAATGGTTAATCACATGGTTATTTGATTTACCTATTTGTTTCCTTTTACAATATAGTTATATACGGGTCTTCAATCACGGGACATCGATATTGACAAATTTTCTGTCAATACAATTTCTATTACTTTTTTTTTCTTTGGATTCTTGATTTTTCATCCAAATTTTGCAAGATATTAAAATTTATGTTTATATATTAATAAATATATGGAGCTTTTAACTCACTTGGCTTTATTTTATATTTTGAATTTTTTTTTAAATTTAAATGTCATTAATATTCATTTTGAATATTGAAAATGAGCCGCCAAACGTTAATAATAAACCAATATATCAATTCCACCTAACGTTATATTTTGATCCGGAATCCGGATATCCGATGGATGATCCTCGGATTTTATCCTCGGGTTATATATTCGTATCCGCGGACGACGCTCCTTTAACTACTGTTTCGCATCAGTTGATCCAAATTCAACTGAATTATAAATTTGGTCATACAAATCTGGGTATTGGAGGCCGACCACGTCCACGACTTCCTAATCAGTAAGCATTTTTAATTTTTAGCTCTACAATCTTTGAATATATTTTTGCATTTCTTTTTTAACTTCATGATTTTGTCTTTATTAGATTTGAATTTTCATGTATATATCATTCCGAATTTGAGAGTCGGTTGTAATATTGACATTTGTTCCAATTCAGCTGTCTTTCTTTCAATCATTTTAATCTCATCAGATGCTCTCCTTTGGGCTGATTTAAGTGGAATTTCCAGTGTTGATCTATAGAATGAATGATAGGAGGGGTGAAATAGGATCTTCTCTTGATATAGAATGCTTTGGTCTCATTGTTTGTATATCATTTAAGTTAAATGGAACTGCCAGGTATTGTTTATCAATTTCTGCAGAATCTTTGTTTTTAATTTTCTTGCTGCTTTGCGGCAAACATCAGCACGGTTTGGAGTATAGTTTGCAGTTTTTGTCATGATACTATCTATATACATAAGCATTGAAAATTTCTTGATATTTATTGTAGGTAAACATAGTGTTACAATCCGTTCATCCTCCATCCGCGAGATAAAGTGCGGATATCCATATAGTTGAAAATTTGTGAGGAAAGATACGATGTATATATGGTACGAACTACGTTAAAATTATCTATTGCCTCGTGGGTTGCAGTAGCTGGAATGGCACATACTGAAACACGAGAACATCCTGATAGTCATTGCTGTCTTGCATCTGTTAAATGTGCAAGACAATTTGCTTCATTATTTGCTGATATGAGTGTTATTATTTCTCAATATGACAAATTGAATATTTCCATTTATTTTAACACATCATTGTATTTGAAATCCATGTAAGACTATTAAGGTCTTGCATATGAGTAACTGAAGATGTACCAAAAGACCACTGAGGACGTACAAATTGTCCTGTTCGAAGTTCATCATTTGAATCACTTGGGAATATACCGATGAAATTAACTTTTACCCATGTCCAGTAAGAAAATCATGATCTGCTACTCATATGGGTTCATAAGCTGATTGTAGTGTATGAAAAGTCTGGATATGAAATCTTAGATTTTTTAAAAATATAAAGCATAGTATCATCTCTTCAAGAAATTTGATTTAGATTATTGATACATGCCACAAGATAATCAATGTAGAAAGAGGTATGGCACATTTGAATACACAAGGAAGGGTAATAAATCCGGAATTGGCTACTCAAAATTTTTGATATGTAGGAGAAGCCTTGTGTGATATTTGGAGATTTTTGGAAAGAAAGTTTGATGCTCATTATGTAGATACACTCACTAATCCATTTGAAAATGTAAAGATTAAAGGTACAGATAAAGAAAGGGCAGAAGAATTAATAAGACGGGACAAAATTCAAAAAGACGCAAATACCTTCTCATAATGTTTTGTACCATGGTTTTGGATTGAAAATCATTGTAATTTATGCGCCTATTCAGTTGATTTCATTCATTTCAAACGCTGCAAAATACAATCTGCTGTGAAACCACAGGTCATAGACTTTCTACAAAACAATAATGGTTTCTTGCAACCTGCTACCAAAGCTAGAGATGGATACTTTATGAATCCCATTCACATTCTTCAATATTCTGATCTTTTGAAAATACCACGCTATGATGTTGATTGTCCATCTATTGCTAAAAATATGTACTCCCACCTTTGTTGTTCCATCAATAAAAAATATCTTCCTTCTAACAAAACAGCACATTCTACTACTCAAGGACGAAAAAGGACCAGATTAAACAAAAATCTATGATTCTTGATGATTTTTCTCTCCGTCTAATGAATTTCAAAGTTTAAGAGAATGTATGTGAATATTTATTTGAATGAATAAATTGAAAATTTTGCCTCACTTGAAAACATAAAAGTAAAAGTATGTAAAATGCAAAGTATATTTCAGTTTTATTTCAATAGCAGTACATCAAAAAAAAAGAATATGCTGCGAGAATGTCTTTAACGTAGATTATCTATAAAACTATCACTTATTTAACTAAAGAATATCAAAATTTTGTGCATTATAAACTAAAAATACAAAACATAATTTAATTAAATTAAATATAAGAAAAAAAAATAATTTTTTTTTTCCAAAAATTTATCAGCTTGATCGGGGCGATTCTGATTGGCTGAAATTTAAATGATTCATAATGGCGATCTTAGAAGTTTCACGAAAAATTCCAAGGAAAAGATCACGTGAAACCCGGAAACGTTTTATGAAAGTTTAAAGATTACAAACCAATGTACTAACTTTGTGTACTAACATGTAGATATAGTTCAAGTTCAGCCTAGTAAACTTCTTCAATAAAACAAATAGCTGTATTTACCTATAGTAAAAATCAGATGTGTAACATCTAGAACTTTCCTTATGCTAGATTAAAAAATTACTAATATATGAAGAGATAGTCTATCTTACAAATATATTTCTCTTGCCGTTTCCCTAGTAGAAAAATTTCCCACTTGCGTATCAATATTCTCCCTTATTTTGAACAATATCAGATATGGGGAAAGAGGTCCATATTCACGTTCTCAAAATGAATAATTATTTTTTTTATTCACATCATGTAACGCGATATATTCGCAATTTTTTATGTATTAGTCGGCAACGATTTATTTTATTAAATAAAGCATTGTTAGGGCCGTTTCTCGGCCATTAAACGATTTTGAATATACTGTTACGCGGGTATTTTTAACTTGAACCAAACTACGCTGGTGGATACGAAAGAGCTTATAGTTTTTTTGCGCAAGAAGGACTTGGAATTGTGGAGTTTCTTAGTTTTGGAATACTGGGGACTTCGCTAAGGAGTGCAAGGAGAAAAATTGAGGGCACTTTCGTCTTACCTTAGCTTGAATGAGGTGACGACAATAAGCTTTTCAAGCATTGCATGACAGAGATCTGCTTAGGTTGCGCTCCTATTGCTATTGCACATTACAACTAGGTAGCTTGGAAACCATTCGTAATGAGTATGCCGTGGTACTGCTATCCACATCGTCATGGACGAGACGATAGCATGAGCCCACAATATGGCATCGTTGGTGAAGGACGGGTTCGATTATATAAGATTTTTATTTTACTCCGGACATTTTTTTTTTTATAATCCCACATTTACATTGCAATCCGTTCTTTCTAGGAATTAGAAAGCTGAGAACTTTATTTGCATCACAGAGAATAAACAGCATAAAGTTCCCGCTCAGCTTGAGAGCGCGTGTAAACGAAGCGAGAGGACTGGCAATGATTTGATTATTATCACGACAAGGCGGAACTGGTACTTTCTTCTATATAGCCCAGGAAAATATCTAAGGCTAATGATACCGCTTACTCGATCGAATTTACCAAGGAGGCCTTGAAGGAGGAATCGGGGGAGTATCATGCATTGCATAAGTGCGAGAGTATATAATAGTGGGATTGTTGAAGGATAGGGTAGAGTGTTCGGATGAAGAGCCTGAAAGGAAGAGGGTTAGGATAGAGGGATGCCGAAAAAATAATCGTGTTTAGTAGTTCGTGCTTCGTCCTAATCTTGTAATTAATGTAATTAAATTTTTTTTTTCTCTATTAATAAAAATTTTTCTTGGCAAAAGTGATCCGCGGAACTGAAACGTGAATTTTTATCCATCCTCCATTTAAGTATGCACGATAAAGCTATTAGATTATTTATTTTAGCAGTAATTTTGCGTTATATACAGTATGATATATCATAAAATGCAGTAAAACGTACTTATACAGAATTATAAAAGCAAATAAAGAAAAATGCGTAAAAACCGTGATTAGACTATAAAAAGGTGAAATGATATAAAAAATCAAAAAAAGTATGCTATTCTTCTTTTTGTTTTTTTTCTCGTTAATTTTGCTTTTCTTATGGAATTTCTCGATTTTCTGGGGGGTTTTTATCTTCCTGATCTATCAACAGTACCGCGATCTGGAAGAGAGAAGAAAGTTATATAAATGAATGGTAAAAACAATTAAGAATAGCATACATACCTACTCTTCATCGACAACCCATAAAGTCCATGACCTCGTTCTTGCCTCTTCTAAAGTATCTCCGAGTGGCCAAAAAACGCCAGACATCATATCTGACATAAAACGCGACCATAGCAATCTAAAAAGATCATTCCGTGTTCACGCTCTCCAATAAGTATAATATGGTTAAAGTCAAATTCTTGAACCACATCGACATAAGTTTCCAAATCTGATCCAATTAAGATTTGTTACTTTGGAGTGTCACGCCTGTCACGGCCAACGTAGGATGCAAAATGATCACGTTCATATTCGTTTACGATCACTTCGATTACCATTGGTGAACAGTTGCGACTCCCCTAAGGGTTTGAGTCATAGGTCCTTGACTTCCATCATTTCTAACGTGAATGTAATGTGTGGGAATACAAATTTACATGATTGCCATTTAATAGAGCTTCCCACGGGAGATATTCGGAGCAATTGCCCAAGGGCAAGGGGTATTGCGTCGAGACCTGTTCTATTGCGACAGTATTCACTCCTTGGAATATCTTCATATTTTTCACCCTCGATTCCGCAACCTTCTCTTGCTCTTGGCTCAACATTGATGTCGCTAATACAGTACTAGCGGTTTCTCTTGTATAAAGCAATTGAGGCTCCGGCCATAAATCTCTTTATTTGGTTGTTTTGTATTGTGTGAGATTTATTGTACGTGGGCGATATTTCCTTTCAAAACACTCAGTTTCCGTGTGAACCATTCCTTTTGTTTCTCGAGCGTCGCTAAGCTTTACATAGCAACTCCACAGTAGGCAAAGAGCGTCCCAGCTCGTGTTTACAAGAATCGGAGGGTAAGGGCCATATGTCGGCAGAGTACTGCGGAATAAATTTATTAAAAAACCAATTTCCCTCTCTAAAACTATCTGTCTATTTAAATTACCTCAAGGGTCTCAAGAAATCTTTCACAAGTTGTCCCATTTATTAAAACTTATGAAAATTCAGGTTAGTGATACAACAAAACCGGTTGGTTATTGAAATTTGAAAACCTGTGCTACTTACTTTTGAATCATAAAAATGTTAAAATAAAAATATTCCGTTAGTTCTCTCTCTCGATAAGAGTTTAAAAGTTAAACAGTTAAAGAGTTAAGCAAACACGAAATCGAGAGAAATACTTTTTTTTAATTTTTTATGCGAATATTATCAGTTATATAGAAAACCAATTAATTTATCACGAAAATCAATAATCAGTACAAAAATTATAAGATAAAAATTTTACTGTCTGAATATATTTAAAATGAATTACGCAATTTATTGATTGTACTGAAATCTTATAATTGAGTTTATTAGTCTCATAATGACTAAACTGCATCAAAAAATAAAATAAAATATATTATAAACATATTAGACTATTGAAATTTTTCGATCTAATTTCTCCGCGGCGCAGCAAAATGATTGGTTGATCTTTTCTTTAGTCGATGACTTATAAATAATTTAATTTTAATATTAGTTTCGTTAAAAAATCATCAAATTAAACTTTTTGAATTTATGAACACAAAAAAAAAAAAAGTAATAATTGTATTCATGAATGTGGTATAGACGCGACATAGTATTTTTGAGCTATATTTTAATTTTATTATTATTAAAATTATTACATTTTATATAGGTAATACGGGTAGTTTAAAATTTAATTCGCCTTTTAACATTTTTGTATGCCCAACTTATTTAAAAGCCCAAAAGGAAAGTTTCGGGCTAACTATCCAGAAAAAGCAACTTTTTAAATCTAAAATAGAAACATTAAATTATTATTCCAAACCATTAGATTCTGCAGAAAATCCATCATGTAATTAATCCTAGAGTTATTTAATGCTACATCCAAGTATTTTCATCTGAAAGTAGAGGATAGATTGTAAATTGAAAGAATATGTGAACTAAAAAGAGTATGGGAGAGTGAATAGGATGAAAAAGAATAAGAAACTTTATTGTACCTTGATTTTTTTCGGTTAATGAAATAATTGCATCATGATTTCTATATATATTCGAAAATATGATGTTGAAATTTGAAAGACCCTTGTAAATAAAAGCAGTAGAATGAACAATCCAATTTTAATTAATTTGAACCAGTAATGGAAATTACTTGGTCCATCAAGGATATCATTGACTGCCATATCTATAGCCATAATGTTAAATTTAACGTCATTAAGCATTTAACTTTTATTAATAGAAATTGATAATTATTGAATTAATAATAAAATCTCATATATCTCATATAATATTATAGAATTATAATCAAAATTCAAATTAATTTGTGAGATTTAATTTACTTGCAGGGATTGATCAAATAATTTTACATTTTTTCTTCCCTGTTGTTTTACAAAAAAAGATCTATTTTTTCTTTCATAATTACTCTTTTTTATTCTATTTATGGGTTAATTGACACCAAAGAACTTAGAACTGTTGCCTTGTATAAAATTTTTATTAATTATATATTTAATGACATAACAAAAATAATTATTTGGTAACGTTTATGCATCCACATGAATTCATAACCCTTGATTTGGCTAAATCTTCATGATTTGCAAAATGTTTTTTTAATTTTATTTGAATGTTACAAACATAATTGAAACATAATGAGTGATGTGCATATCGATTCATCTCCCTTCTTCAATTAATATAGTCATAATTCTTTGGATTAAAGATTCTATATGTAAATTTTCTCCGATACCAACTTCACTCTCTTTGTTCTGCTTATTTTTTTAAACAGAGAACCGATTATTTTTATTGGTATTATTGAGAAGTTATATATATTCCTTCTTTATATCTTTGTTCCTTCTTATATTTATTTATAACTGTTGTAAGTTTCTCTTTTAATATAATACTTTTAATTTTTGCCAAGTTATCCGTTTGTATCTTTTTTTGGATAATATATTGAACATGCTTTTTAAGTTGGACATTTTGTTCGTCGAATTGGGAAGATTGCTGAGATTGCTGCGGTTTACAATGAAGAATGTTTACTAAAAACTCCCGGACTCAAATTCTTTAAGAGTATTTGCGTTTCCTAAAATAGACAATGATAGGAACTCAAAATTAATTCCGACTTTTCCTAAAAAAGATAAGTTTAAAAATCCAAATTACTAAATTAGTATTCATTTATGATACACGAATTATCATTTATACCATTGCTTCCATATTTGTATCTTAAAAGTATACCAAAAAATTCATAATCTTTCAATTAAAATGTTCTTATTTGGAGAACTAAAATTACGAATTCAGTATGAGATTGTTTGAAACAGGAGGAATTAGACAGAAAAAACTATTGATGTCACGTATATAAATTGATATTAATTTTTTTTGTACTAATTTAGCATGAATAACCGATAGGTTCACACAAACATTGATGAGAGGGGGGACAAAACCCGAAAAATTAAAAAGCAAAAATATTAGATAAACTTTTTTACGATTAGGTAATGAATTATTCTCAATGGGAAAACAACCTTATTTTTATTTTTATGACAAATTTGTTTAACATGACCTATTTTTCTTTTTTTTTTCTTGGCTACGCGCGATTAATGTACAAGTATATAATAAATCGGTATTTTATTTTTTTTTTTTTTCTCATTTTGCTCTTTCATTTCCAAAATTTTTTTCGAAAAAGAAAAAAAAAAAAATGAACCCAAGTTACGATCAAATGAATAGTCCAACTTCCGCTGCTTTCGATATTTTTTTCAGTGGTATTATACCAATTGGTTACTCAACATTCTTTGAACCACTTTTAAGTGCACCATTAAAATCCAAGGTGGAGGATTTTATTCTTTTTTTTGTGGAACCTCTTATACCACTTTTCTATGCGTTGAACAAGATCACTTATAATCAAATCACCAGAAATCATATAATATTTATTTATATCTATTGTTCTTTTAGAATCATTTCATTCATCATATATTATAACGTTCTCATATGGTTAAAAAAAAATGATAGTCGATATTTCAAATATAAATCATTAAAACATTGGATGTTATTCTTATACTTTTCTATAATAGAATTTAACGTTCGTTTTATTCCTATAATTCTTTTAGAAAATGTAAGAGAATTATTAAAAATAACCTTTGAACCAAATGCGGTATTTATACTTGGAATTATATTTGCTTTTCTTATATATATATTTATAATACCTCATATATTATATAAGAATAGAGATAATTTTCCAATTTTTAGTAGTTTAATATATTCTTCATATAAATTTTGTTCATTTTCTACTAGTATAATTTATTTAGTTATAATACCTTCAAATGTAATTTATGTTAAAATCGCATTTAACATCAATTTGATATTGGTTATGAGATTTTTTACTATATTTGAAGATAAACCTAGTAACAAAAAAAGAGGTTTGGCTTGTGTCATTCTTTTCGCTTTTGATGATATTCATAAAATAGAAAGAGAATTAAAAAATGAAGAATGGGATCAAGATTGGTACACTTCATTTTTATCCCATCCTATGATTAATCGAATTAATCGAATGATTGATAAGATAAAAGAAATTATAAAGAAGAAAAAAATTGATGATGATAATTATTATTATAATGAAGAAGAAGATAAATCAAATTGTAATAAAGCGAATATCTTATATTATTATAAATATGGAGAATCTCTTGAAAAAAGAAGGATTAAGAAACCTTGTCAAAAATTTATTCAAGATAATGAAAGTATGATATCATCATCTGATAATATTATTGTAATTCAAGATAATGAAAATATGTCATCATCAACTGAGAATACTATTATCAAATATAATGAAAGTACTTCATCATCTGAAAATATTATTACTATTCAAGTTCATGAATTCTTACTTGAAACATATAAATCTGGTATTAAATTACATGATGAAATAAAAAAAGCGAATAAGGTTTATAAACTTTTTAATGGAATTGGTGTAGAAAAGATTTATCAAGTAGAAAGATTTTCCGTTGATGATATTGAAAGATTAGAATATAAAGAAATTGATGAAATCATTAAAAATGTCAGATTCTGTAATTTTTAAATAAAAAATATTTACGATTTTTAAAAGTGTATTTCTCTTAAAATTTTTTGATAAAATTTTGTTCACTACTTTAATTGATGCACTTTATTTATATAAAAAAACGTTTCTAAGCGTTTCTTTTTTAAGTGTTGCGACAATAGGTATTAACTATTTATTGGAAATAAAGCGATAGAAAAATTTAAAATTTAAATTAGCATTCAACTAAAATTGAAGGTTTAATCCTTTTTCTATACTTTACGCCCTCCAAGATTTCAAACACAAGCTGACAAGCATGCATGAGTTGTAGTTGTTACAAATTATATTATAATAAAGTTAAAATTCAAAATGTTCAATTTTTTTACATACGAAGCTATAATTTCATGGCTTAGTGCTACACCGATTAACGAAAAACAAATATGCAAACACTTGAAGCACTTATCATAATTATTATGATTAGATATTTCTAATTATGGTAATTATGGTAAGGTTTCTTTAAAAATTTTTGTCAGTACGTATTTCATTTGATCTGTTTAATACAGATTCATATCATCAAACGGTTAATAGAAGTGAAAAGTCCAAATTTTTAGTAATGTTTAATCTCTTACTACAGACATAAAACTGTTACGGGCCGACTCAACTGATGGGTTTTAACTTTTAGCAAAATTATAATTAAAGAACAAACGATGTTGAAATTGTTTTAACTTGCTAAATCACTAAGATCTACAAACAGTAAACTCTTTCGTAATAATAAATTTATTACAAAGAGGCTTTCATTTTTACGTTTTGTTATTATTCTATAACGAAACCAATTTTGGAATGTATTGTTATCAAATGCGTGTTGTATACAAAAGTTAATTTTAACTTCAAACTATTACAGCTTTTAACAATTGTAACAAACTAGCTAAAACTAAACAATAAATGTTAACATTTCTATACTATTACTAGTGTAAAAGTACTGACGTTATGGCATGCTTCTTGATTCGTGGCGCGGCAATTTTCAAAAAAAGGCCATTAAGGTTTTTTCTTTGGCATAAAGCTTTCAAACTTACAATGTAAGCGTAATTTCACCTGCTCTGCAAGTTTACTTAAGATTCGGAAGAAGATTTTGAATGTCAATTTTGACTTTACATATAGATGATTGATTTTATCTTCTTTGCCGATCATTTTCAAAATAGATTTAGCGAAAGAAAAATTTTGTCAAATAAGTCGCCTTTGTCGCTCTAAGTAAACTTATACCTAGCTAGTAACTTTTAAGGGCAATTTATTATTAGAAAAAAATTTCTTTTAATGATTTTTTGTTGCACCATAATCAATTGGCTGCACCACAAACCTGGTACACAAAAAAAATAAATACTTATTAATATATCGAGAGCTTGATAATTTTGCATTACTAATTTTAACAGATCATAAAAGTATATGCATCAATATATTTAAATTTACTAGCATAGGATGTCAGAAATAGTGGTTAATTATTCATTTATCTTTTTCTAAGGTATTTCTGATTTTTCCATTAATACTGAAATATTATATGCTCAATATTTATTTATTTATTTTATTTCTAAAAGAGTAGTAACCAGGGTCTAATACATTTATCCAAAATTTGATAATCTAAGTAGTAGATCAGTGGTCATTATCCCTCCAGAGAGGATCTCATCCTTTGATTTGAAAATGTTTGAAAAAATGAAACTACATTATAAGAATAAACTGATTGTATGCTCAATATCCAATTTAAAAAAATCTGGAACATCTTATTCAATTACATGATTTAATTAAATTAATGAATTATTTTTAAACTAAGATTAATATAAATTTGAAAATTATTAAATAAGCATATTTTAATTGGCTCTTCAAGTTTATTTAATAAAAAAAGTGGATTTCGAATACTGTTTTTAACTTTATTTATAAACAAATAAATTTTGCTAATTATATTAAATAAATTTTAATAAAATGTAAAAAGTCAAATAAATTAAAAATAGAATTCAAAACTTCATTTTGTACTTTAAGTAAACTTGCAAGACAGGTTGAAATACATCCATTATATAAAGTTAATTATGTAGGATTTATAAATAAAGGTAATAAAAATCTTTATATTATTATAAATTTAAATAGTAAATTTTTTCAAAAAACAAATCAAACAAATATTGCAATAATTTCTGAATTAGAATAAAACTGTTAGAATATAAAAAAAAAATAAATTTAATAAAGTAATTCATTTATATAAGTTTCTTTAAAAAATACTTAAATCATAAGTACAGATTATATATATTATACTTATTTATTTATTTTAAATTTAACTATTTTTTATCTGTATATTTCAGTTGATTTATTTTTATTAACTAATATAGGACCCCGCTACTACCCCGCTTACTTATAATAAAGGTTACTGTAATTCTAAGGTAAAATCACTAAGAAAAAAATTTTGATGATCCTACTATAAATAGATAAATTATATCTAAAAAAGGAAATGTTACACTGCATTATTATGATTTTTTTCNTGTAATTCTAAGGTAAAATCACTAAGAAAAAAATTTTGATGATCCTACTATAAATAGATAAATTATATCTAAAAAAGGAAATGTTATACTGCATTATTATGATTTTTTTCCTTTAAATCAATTAATCAATAATGGACTTTTTCACTTCTAAATACAGTCTGATCTCGATATAATGAACTCATAATATAATGAACTCTTAACTTACCGAACTTTTTTTAAAAAACTGGGTTTATATTATTTAAAAAAATCTTGATATACCGAATTTCATATAAACTTGATATAACGTATACTGAACTTTTATGATTTACCGTTTATAATAAAGCTGTTAAAGCATATAAAAAAATTCTTTATATACCAAACTTGATCATGTGGTTGAAATTTCACATAATTTATATTGTTAAATCTTAATTTCTGGCCAAAATTAATATTCTTTAATCACGTGATAACTTTATATACTGAACTGCTACTGTAAAATTTATGGAATTCAGTACACAAAAAAAATTTACATACTGAATTTCTACTATATAACGAACTTTTACCTTAGACCGCGAGTTCGTTATATCAAGGTTTGACTGTACCTGATATGTAAATGTAGCCTGAATGCCTGATATGGTAAAGTTTAGGCATAGTAAATTATTTTAATAAATTTTTTAATTGTCAATAAAATTTCTGAGTATACATATGATTTGTGAAACATGTAAATTATATGTGTAAATTTTATATGTTAGTACGACATAACAATAAAGAATTTAAAATTTTTATTTATTACTTTTGCTTTAAATAAAACTTTAAAATTATAAATCATATTTTATTTCAATTATTTTTGCAAGCTTTAGATACTTTAGATTTAAGTAGTAGTATAAATTCTGGTATAAATATCAATTTTTCTTATGAAAAGTTGATGCTTTTTTTTATTAATTCACGTTAAAAATCCTATATTATTTATAATCAAATTAAATCATATTATTGGTATGAAACAATCTTATTTAATTATGATGATATATGATTTCACAAATTATTAAGAGTAAAATAATCCACCTTTTGGACTATAGTTAATATGATGATTCACAATCATGAAATTTTTCAAAATCACCAAAACAACAAGTTCCAATTGAAAAACAATTAGCTGTAGTTTATATCGACTAGATGGAAAATCTATAGTATGGGACCTTTGTTTAAAATTTGGAATTACAGAAGGAACAGTTCAATTGTTTACATTCAGAATTACTTTAACTCTAAAATCATTAAAGTCTCATGTTATTATTTGGCCACATGATGATTATTATCAAGAAGTACGTAGAGAATTTGAAGAAAAATGTAAATTTCCAAATGTTATTGGAGTATTAGATGGATCCCATATAAATTTATTTGAAACTTCAAGTAAACCTAATAAGAATGTATATTTTACACGAAAATATCGCTATACTATTCATCTGCAAACTGTAGTTGATTATAAAGGATTATTTATATTTTATGATATTGTCTATTCAGCTTCTGCTCATGATGCAAAAGTATTTTGAAATTCCAAATTTTACCTTTACAGAAATCAACTATTTGAAGAACAAGATTATGTATTAACTGATTCAGCTTATCCAATTTCTACTACTATTATTACATCATTTAAAAATATAACAGATAGAACTAGGTAAAGAGAATTTAACAAAAAATATAGTAAAGGACGTGTAATAGTAGAACAAGCATTTGGAAGATTAAAAAATAGGTTTCAAATATTATAAAAACTTAGAAATAAAAATACTAAGTTGGATACTGATATCATTGAAATTTCTTTAATTTTGCACAATATAATACAGCAATGTAATGATATATGGGAATCTTCAGGACAAATGGTTATATATCAAATGCAACATGATGCTAATAATAATTTAAGATATTTTTAGGCAATTAAAAGAGTAGGAGAGATTAAAAGGCAAAATTTAATGGATATTGTATTGTAATTTATTGAAAATATTGATTAATAATCATTCAAATTATTATACTTATAAAATTATTAATTTTTTTTATATTTTAATTCACATTCTTTGGTTTTCAAAGCAAATTCTTATTTCACTTTCTTTAATTCTAATTTGAATTTGTATTTTTGTTTTTTTTCAAATTTTTCTTTTTTTCACTTTAATTTATCTTGCTTTATTTTCACTATGTTTTTCCTTTCTAATTTCTTTTCTTCATACTCATTATTAAGCCTTTGCTGTTTAATTTTTAACTGCTCTTATTCAACTTTAATTGCCCTTTTTTTTATTTCATGAAGTGAACCAAATATTGATAAATAACATTAATCAATTTCAGAAAATTTTCTCTTTTTATATTTATTATTTCCAGTATTGATAACAGGTTGTAATAAATAAATTTAAAATTAGTTGAATAACTATATAAGTAGTATGCAGCTATATAATAATTAAATTTACATGAAATACCTTATCAACATCAATATTAAATATAAAATAATTAGAATAAACATTTTCTCTATTTCCAAATATTTCATTCATATCATCAAAATATGGCCACTCTGATCCTTCTTTTCCAGTTTTTTCTCAATTTTCTTTTTCAAATCTTGCAATTAATGCTTGAAGTTTAGATCTAATTTGTGCACCAATTCTATTATTTCCAATTTTTATTGCTGCTTTAGCATAAAATTTTGTTTTATTTGTACAATAGCAATCAAAATTATCAGAGAGATAGGAAAGTAAAGTTTTAATTTCAGAGTCTAACCAGTGTTGAATTGTTTATGTTTCAGCAGAATCTGATCAATGTTGTTCATTTTCAATATTATTACTTAGTCCTAATAATTCATTGTATTGCAAATGCTTAGTAAATGAATCATCCATATTTTTTGATTCAAATGAAGGTTGATAATGAATAGGAAAAGTGTTATTAAAAATAAAATTTTTTTTGCATATTCATATCTGTAATTTGATAAGAATAAAAATTTTTTTCTTTTTTAATTACAATTTATTAACAAAATTTAATAATTATTATTATTATTTTAATTTGTTATTGTTTTATTAAATAATAAGCAAATTTCCCATGATCAAAATCAGAAATTTTATTGACAATTAAAAATTTAAAAATAAATTACTACCACACGTCAAATGACCAAAAACAGGCAAAAAAAATGGCTAAAATTGCATAAACTATTCGCAAATTTATATAAACTATTTACAAATAGTATAGGTTAATTCGCAAATAGCCAAAAATAGCCAAAAATAGCCACTGCTTTTCGCGCCATTTTTTGCCGATTTTTAGCATTTCAACCTGTGTACGCTGTAACTGTCAGATACCAAGCATAAATAAATTAAATAAAAGTCGTAGATAGAGTAGAAATCTAGATAACATAAATAGCAGATATTTAGATAGATAAACAGTAATGCAAATCAACTTCTATCACATGAGTATAAACTGGGTATATGATGTCATTTATTACATCATAGTTCTTAAAAAGAATATTTGTGTAACTTTAATTCTTATAAATAGGGAAGGAATTCCCTTGAATAAAATGAGTTATGATTTATTTTATGTTTAAATTTTATTTTGTTTATCACGTGCTTTGTATTACTAATATATTAACTTTTACGCATAAAGCCTGATTTGACGTGATAACTCTTATAAGAGGATCAGAGGACTTCAACGTCTAAGACTTTACCATATTAGGTTACATTTATATATCAGGTACAATAATATTCAGAAATGAAAAGGGCCTATATTAAAAATTGAAGTAAGATAAAATTACTAGTAAATTTGAAATTTTTCCTGGAGATTTTTATTAGAAGTAAGCGAGCCAGCGGGATCCTACTAATATAATAATGCAAACTTGTAATTTATACTGATATTTTGTATTTCAATTATTAATAAGACTTTATATAATAAAAATAGTATTTTAATATTTTAAAATATTGCATTATATTAAAAGATTTAAATTCCAAATAAAATTCCTTTTTCTATTAAATAAAAATTATTCTATTTTGAAAAAATAATAATATTTTTAAATACCAGCAGTAGACCAGTTATTTATAATTTTTATATATTATTTCTATTCAATACTTTTATAATAGATATAAAAAATAAAAAGTTTTATTTTATAAATAAATATTGTAATAAATAAAATAAGCAATATAAATATACTACTAATATATCAACAAATTTATATATATAATTTATATAAAGAATTATTTTATAATAAAAAAACTTATATATTTATTTATAATTAAATAAAAGTTACAAAATTATAAATTAATTTAAAATAACAGCTATATACAATAATACAAATATATTAAATAAATAATTATATATATTTTTTTAAACTAATTTAATATCATCAGATTTATCATAATTTAGAAAATCTTCTGTAAAAGGATTAAGTAATCGAGATGTGTAAATAGCTTGTGAATGAGTAGCTATTTGATAATTTTCAGTAAATGAAAGATTTGCTTTTCTGTATTCTTCTGCTTCCTTAAATTGCATTCCAATTTCTTCATTTTTTACAATAAAAGTTTCTTCTTCATATGACTTATGAAATAATAAAATTAATTCATTTATTTTAATAGTACTTGGTCTATTAATAGAATTTGGATCCCAACACTTTTTCATTAAATTAATATAACATTTTGGTGCTTCTGGTTCATTTATTTCAGGTCTAATTCCATTACAAATATCTAATGCAAGTGATTTATCATGTTTACGATTGTAAAAAGGTTGTTTTTTAGTTGCTACAAAATACATTATCATACCAAAACTGTAGATATCTGCTGCTTGAGTATAAGGCTTTCCTCTCATTACTTCAGGAGCCACATAAGGCATAATTCCATAAATTTTAGTTTCATTTATATTACCAACTTCTCTACATAATCCCATATCTGAAATTGATAAACTATCAAAACCGTTTATCTTATTTAAAAATAATATATTTCCTGTATGAAAATCACGATAAACTAAATTTTTTTGATGAATTTCTTTAAGACCATTAATAATATTAAGTAATACTAATAATTTAACTTTCCAATTAAAAGATTTATAATTTTTATTTATCCAATGATTAAAATTGCCTCCCTTTGCATATTGGAGAACCATAATATACTCTTTTGTATTTGGATTTTGAGATATTCCATATATCTTAAGAATATTACTTTTTTTATTTATTGAGTATCCTTTAACCTATTAAAATATAAATAATAAAACAAAATTATTTTATAATATTTAAATTATAAAGAACTTTTCTATTATAAATGATTTTTAAAAAAATTTCATACCTCAATTAAAAAATCATCAGTAATATTTTGGGAATTATCTAAACATTTCAAAGCAATTACTTTAAATAATCAACCTATATTTAAGACAGAATTTGAATATAATTTTTTATATAAAAATATTTCATCTTACTTAGGAATTTCTGTATTAAATAAATTAGATTCTTCAAATAATTCTCTTATTATAGGTCATCATTTTTTTAATGTTCAAAAAGATAACAAAATTGGAGCACGCACATTTTCTTATTGCTCAAAAAATAAATATTGTGCCAATTTACCTAACTTTACTTTTTGTATACTTATTGTTTCAGGTTGTCCTAATTCTAGTAGTACTTTTGGTACAATTTCTTTTGAAAAACAACTTTCAAGAAAACCTTATATTAATTTTACAAAATTTAATTTAGATTTTAATTCAATTTATATTAATTTGGTTTTCAAAAATGAAAGTTATTATCATCCAATCTGTTTAAAACAAAAATCAAATCAAATTAAGATTAAATATCTTCGATACATAAAAAGTGATTGTTATACTTGTAAAAATAATACCTATAATACTTTAAATATATCAGAAAAAGATATTAGATGTGTATACTTTGATCCATGTTATAAGCAGGTATTTTTGTGTTGATTTTTTATATTTGTTTTTTTTTGTTATTCATTTTTATTAACAACTAAAATAAATTCTATTTCTTAGTTACCTGAATAAATTTATATCGGTTATAGTTATGTATATATTAATTTAGGAATTAACATTATTATCGTAGAGTAAATTAGGCCACTCTAATTATTAATAATTAAATATCCCCCTCAAAAATTTACATTTTATATAGATACTAAAAAAATGCAAAGTAAATGTATTCCCCCTCCACCCTCGAAATATTCAGTTTTTAAGTATAAATATTAATATAAATATAAAAGTTCGATAAATTCACATGATCGTTAATGCATATCAATATTCGGATCATTTTATGCAATGCTGTGTTACCTGTTGAAGTTTTTTTTCTTTCTTCGCTCAAGTTCTTGTTTTCATTGTTAATTCTTTAAATAAACACGTACCTTTTTGAGTATAAAATTTCGTGTTAAATCATGACAGTAATAAGTATTGAACTCCTTGAACTTTATCTGAACTTTTAAGTTAGCTCTTTCTACAAGAAAACAGAAATATTAATTTTTGTAAAGGCTACACATATTAGATGATTATGATATCAATAATCCTGCTTTAATATTTATAAGTAATGTTACAAATATTCATTTTCCTCCAGAACACTGTTATATAATCACATTATTAATTTAAGAATCCAAAAACTTGGGTGGTTTGGGGACGCTCATACAACTTCTGGGGTAGAGTAACCTTATCTGGTATATTAATCCACATCGCAGTCAGTTTATTCAAACGATCATATCATTTTCCGAAATTTATAGAAGAATTACCAGAATATAAAGTAAATTCATCTTATAATCAATACTACAATAATTCACATCATATTAAAGAAATTCAAGCAAAAACTTTGAAACGTCATGTAGAAGCTCTAGAAAATTCATTAATTCAACCGTGGGCAAGTGATAAAAAATGACAACAATTTATTGATGAAGTATGTAGAATATTTAGATAATGCAAATAATAGTACAGAGGGTTAGTCCTTTTGCTTAATTTTTTTATCGTCGTATTAAACATCACCTGATATGTGTATATAGTGATGATCACCAGTCACGATCTCAAAAACGCGTAAAAAGCTTTTACTCGAACCTTTCATATTGTTCTCCACGAGTGTATTACGCGCGCACATGATTTAATAATAATTCCATAGGTTCGCTATTCTCTTAATAAAAACAAAAACTCTTACTTGTTAACTATTTTCTATAAATATTTCTACAATTGAGTTTCATGAGCTTGGGTACTAAAAACAGTAACAGCGAAAAAGGCGAAAATAATGTAAAACAACTTGCTAAAATATTTTCGCTAGGTGAGTATTAATGATACAATAAATGAAAAGTTCAGAGAAAGCCATCTTTAGTAATCCTTTCATTACCATTTAGCTTTGAGAGATATTCCTAACTTCTTAAAAGAAAATGCGGACCTTCTTGTCAAAGTTATTGAAAATATGTGCACCGACGACCCAATTATGATCATTGAGTGGGCGGATCCCTTCCCTCGAAATGGAAGAAATCAGACTAAAGTATTTTTACATTGTTTGCTATTCATTGTTTGTTACTTTAAACTAATATGTACAAAATTATTTAGCGTTCGCTAATTAACTATATTACAACACATGGAGGGGTAAACGAATTTAATTCCAGAATAATTTTCTCTTTCCGAAGTGGCCGCCAACTTACGGATTGCTTTAACGGCTTGCCAGACTGGTTGGTGTTAAGCTTTATTATTTTCTAGAAATATTTGCAATGTTTTTTAACTTTTTCAAATATAGGTGTAGACATGATAGAATTAATCTAAATGTTCTCGACGTTGGATGTTGTTATTGTGCTACCAAAGTTACCGAACGTACTGCAGATCTAGAAAATTGTCGTTACGTTTTTAATATCTAGATTCATATATTATATTATACATCTTTAGAAAAAATTAATTAATAATAGCTATATAAATGTATTATTCACGAAACATGTATTTTTAGTGCAAGATTAAAAAATTATTTGCTTCTTTGCAGTCTAAATATACTATTATATAATTTTTTTTGTGTGTATGTCCACGTATTTCATAGAGTTTAATCAAGGTGGTTGCTTTAATTATTACAAGAAAGATAATCATGAGCGTGATGAAGTTCAGGAATAAAATCTAGTTAGCAGGAAATCTTGGACAGATATAATACAGGAAAAAATAGAGTTGGTATAGATAAAATCAGGCTAGCGCCCTATGTAAAGAAATTTTTTTTTAAAAAAAATCCCCTCCTATTTTAAAAGTTTTTAATATTATAAAAAAAATTAATATAATAAATACTCCACCCTTCAATTTTTACACTCAATAATACTTAAAAAAAATCGTAATTTTTTTTTAATATTCTTTTTAAACATAATTGTTTATTGGAACGGCCAATAACATTTGATGAAAAAGGTTCTTTGAATACACAATCGTCAATACTATGACTTCCAATAACATTCTGCAACAGATCTTTGCAAAAAAAAAATTTAAACTACCCGATGTAACTTCTTTAACTATTGGCCAAAATTCATATATATCATCCGATTGAATATTAGACCTGAGCTCACAAAGAAACTTAACTCAAGCTTTGGGTAAAACTTCTTCGAATAAATATCGATTCCACTCAACCTTCAGACGCGCTAATCCCGAAAGGCAATATTTAATAACTAAATATAGAAATTTTATCAAAACATATAGCAGAGAATTAATTAGTTACCAGATCCTCATTGTCCGCTGCTGGCCAAAAGGAACGTCAATTAGTGCTAACCTGTTAATAAGTAATATAACCAATTATTTAAATCATAAACAATATCAAATTGATTCTTTTATTGCAAAATATCCATGTACGGAAACGAGAAAAGGCATATTAATGGAAAAAGCAAAATAATTATTAATCAAGGGAACAGCCAGATCAACATTAGGAATAAATTTATAATCTCTTATATATTTACCGAAGTTCTTATGAAAATATGCTTTGGCTTTGAGTAAATCATCAAAATATAACCATAGTTAATTTCTTTAGGATATCCTTTTCGTTGTCAAGAAAATGATGCGACATAAGACTTTCTAGTTGATTATGGTTATCAAGTTCTTTTGACTTGAGTGATTTTATCATTGGTATAATTTTTTCAACTATCGAACGATGTTGTTTTCTAGTTGTTTTCTAACATTCTTCAACTGAATGGTGTAAAGTAATTCAGGTTCAGTAGCGTCTTTTTCAAATAAATAATTAAAAATAAAGTTTTTTTTAAAAGAAGCTGCATACCATTCATTTCTTTCAGTCCTATATTGGTTTGGAATTCCGATTATGAAATTGGAATCAGTGATTCTGTATTTACCTATTATCTGTTATGAGAGAGAAAAATAATTAATAATGTGCAATTATTATTTAATGGTAAAGAAGACATAGCTAATTCCTCCTTTAGAATTAGCAGACTTTACCAATAACAAAGTTAGGATGTCTGCTTGAGTTGGTTATCAAGTGAACAAGTAAAACAAGTAAAGAAAAAAATATAAAAAAAAAGAAATAAAAGAAATAAAAAAAAAGAAAAAAGAAAAAGAAATAAAAAGAAATAAGAAATAAAAAAGAAAAAAAGAAATAAAAAAGAAATAAGAAATAAAAAAGAAATAAGAAATAAAAAAGAAATAAGAAATAAAAAAAGCAGGCTCCTAAGTCAACCTTGTGAACTCCCCGGCTCAATGGCAATCCGTTCTAGATTTTCTTAGGAGTTACCCACTAAAAAAAATCACCCTTCACCCTTCACCAACCCAAGCAAACAAATCCAAGTATTCTCCTAAGTAAAATTTGTGAACTCCCCGGCTCAAATGAGCTATCCGTTCTAATTTTGCTTAGGAGCTACTCACTTTGCAAAATAAAAAAAAACACACCTCTTTTAAAGACTTCTAAGCCACTTTGCTCTCATCTAGAAAACCGGTAATGCTCCATTCAAAGAGCTTTCGTCTGTTGTCCGGTGAAGAATTTTAGAGAGGGTTTTTTTTTACTGTAGTATTTTTTAGAATGTTTTTTTTTAGAGAAGGCTGATAGTATATATATATGTTGAGAGTATATATATATTGTAAAAATCAAAATCGTGACTCGAGTAAAAAAAAAATCGCGACTCGCGATTCAACATGACTAATATTGATCGTCGCTCATGATTCTACTTTGGGCGCCTATCGATATCTATTATCGATATTAATACTATTAATACAAACGTGTAAACTATTAGATACTGATATAGTCGCCTTATTAAATTCAAATTAAGTAAATAAAATAAATAAAATAGTTCCTTTTAATATATTTATATCGTTATAATAAGTAATCATAAGAATTGTTAATTATTATTTTTTTTCAATTTTTTTAAGAATTTGAAGTCGTTTTAGAAATAAATTAATTATTTTATATAATTTTTATTCTTTTTTTTTTGTTAGTAACGTATTTCTTTACTATTATTCTTTACTATTATTTATTAGATGATATTTTATGTCCGACATGATTATTTTAAATAATATCTTGATTTTTAATCTAGATACGTCATACGCCTGACTTTTTATATGAAGTAAAAAAAAGATGATGTCAACATAAAAATTGATTCGATGATAGTTATATTTATACTGCAAATTATCTTATGAACGTTGATTACTATTGGTTAATCAAATATTTTTACACATTATAAAATTAATGTTACTTTATAAAATTTATTAATTACAAATAAAATTACAATTTTTTATATTATCAATAACATTATTTTTTTTCATTGAGTCTAGTGGTTAAAATTACATCAAATTTGACTATATATGAGGAAGTAAGTTGGACCCCTCGATAATACACAATGATTTCTAATTTTCGAATATTCCACATTTTTTTGTCAGCGTTGATGAAGGTAAAAAAAATATTATTAATCAAAAAATTGTTAAAAGTGACTCAAATACAGGTACTTTTAAGGAATTGTATGATGTAATTACAAAAGATCTATACGAAGTGTTCATGTTTATATAGGAAAAATTGTTAATAAATGGTTTATGTTGAAGAGAGACTATATGGCGAAATTTCTTTAATGTATATAAGATTCGTTATTCAACCGGAAGAAGATAATGGTGAAAGTAGTTCTAGAAATCAAGAGATTCAACAAAATCAAACAAATATTTTTGACACCATGATGAAAAGAGCTCGTCATATGCAAAAAAAGAGAAGACATTTATTTTAGGAATATTATATAGACACAATAAAATTTATTCTAAAAATTTAAAATTATTTGGTTTTTATTCTTTTATTATTACTCTGTAATAAAATATGTAAAATTGTAATAAAATGCTTGCAAAAATATTAAAATTTGAATTTTCTTTATCTAACAATTGCTAATAATCAAAGTTAAAAATGCTAATAATCAAAATTAAAATCTTTTTCACTTGGCTGTTGAAACTCAACCCCATTGTTATCACACACTTGTTTTATACACATGACTCTTTCATTTGCCAAGGTTGTCTTAAATTGTTTATATTTAATTTCTACTTCCTTATACGAGATCACTTCATTGCTTAAAATTATTTCTAGCCAAATTTCGAAATTTTGACAACCATTAATAGTACTAGTAAATTGCATCTAATATTCCATTTAATTCCAATGGAATTTATACCCTTTCAATACGGAATCCTCTCTGTTAAATTCTTTTCGTCCAATCGGCCATTGCTCTCCTTTATAATCTTTTTTGTAACCTGTGACTTGATTGTCTGATCTTGCTTACGAAGTTTAAAGTGCAAAATAGTTCTAACGTCCTATATGATCGTACCATAGAGACAAGGAATCGAAGTTGACGTCTACGAACAACTTCTTGGGAAATTGTATCTTTTACCAGACTACTGATTGAATACCAGACGCGTGATTATAAATTTTTTATAGCTTCTTTTAATTTTTAATTTGATATTTCTTTCTTCTTTATTCACGGATAAAAGAGACTCTAATGAATATGTTTGTTCACCCAAAAGTCTAAAATCATTATAGTAACATCTGCCTCATCAATAATTGTAGTGCCAGAACCCAGAAGGAGTACTGAAAGAGCACCCTTAAAGGTAGAAAATTCGTTCTTATGATTAATAGAACTTAAGTATTCTATAAGACGATTTCTATAATCTTCAGAATGTTTAAAAATCAAATTATCTCGTGCTGGGGGATTTTCAGGAAGTTTTTCACTATTAAAGTATTCAACTTTAATTCCAAGATCTCCAAACCTTTCGGTTATCTGAACCTATTCGACTAAATTATACGGAATTGAAATCTTGTTTGCTTTCGTCTCTAGAATGCTGGGATCACTTGCTGATCTTACGTGTAACACACCGCCTGATTTTACAAGTTGTATTAAACCGATATCAACGTTCATTGTAAATGTTTTTACATCAGTTCCTTGTAAAACGTTCCATAATGCAAATGAAGTTGAATACATTTGTATTCAATTTATTGGTAACAGTTGCCGCAAGTTCAACATTATCTAGTAGAATATAACAAAACATTAATAGAATGAACTAACGGCACAAATTCTTCATAATAATAATATACTATACCTTTCTTAATTTTTTTGGCTTTTTTAGCATCATCATTATTTTTCTTCTGTGCCTTTAAGAAAAAAAAAATCAGTAAAAAAATACCGATCATACAAATATATTAAACATACTTGTTGAGGAAGACATTTTATTGTGGAATAAAGAAAATTTAAAGGGAGGAAGGCAAAGAAGAGTAATAAATTTGTAAAATATTTCGCATGGTCACATTATATTGGCGTGGTATGATGTGGCACGAAGTGCCACTCAGATCATCAGATCATCATTATCAATGATCTTATACTATCTATATGTACATTCACTTGTCCATTGAATATAGGCAAGAATGTGTAGTTTTTCACGAAATTCATGTACAATAAAATATTCAATTTTCCCAAATAATTCTTTATCTTCATACATATCAACCTTTTAAATATTATTTAAGTTAGTCAATAATATTTATATAAAAATATACAAAACTAGATGAATACCGCGACATAATAATTGTTCCTTGCTATATCAGCTTTTCTTTGGATCCAAATGGAACTTATTATATGGCCATCTTTAATTCTGAGACGTCCAAATTTTCGTCCATTTGATTTAACGTTCTAATAAATTTAAATATTTAATAAATTATTTAAAATGTATAAATCTTACCTCCAATCTATTTTTAGGAGTGAAAATGTTTTTAATTGTTTAAGTTCACACACCGTTAAATTATAATCCCATTTAGGCCAGTAAAATTCTTCAATTTGAGTATCTAATGAAAAAACTTTAATCTCTCCGAATAAAATTTAGATGATGATTCAGAAAATTGATTCGTTAGTTCCGGATAAACGAAAATTAAATGTTGAGGAAGTAAAATTCCACACAATCGTTTCATGGGGAACTGCCAAAAGCTCTAGCATGGTCCACAATCCTTGATGCATTCCAAGAAATGATCGTTATGTTTGTAGCAATTTTAACGGTGTTCCGACCAAATGGTCTACGATGCTTTGTTTCTAATTCACCAACTGTAGTTGCCAAAAGCAAGTATGCATCATCTGACTCTGTATCAATATCTAACGTTGGAGACACTTAGTTGTACAAGACTAATTAACAGTGCGAACCGAACTTCGGCGATAAAATATCAAATCAGAAAGATGAGAGAGTTAGCCACAGTCAGTCACTTTGATGGATAAAGATCCCTTAAAAGTAGGTTTGAAACTCGTACAATTCCATTTCGTCATTTTTTGTGCTGCAGTTCCAACGAAAATATAGCGAAAAAAAAACACTTCGGTAATAAAGTTCCTCGCATATTGATTCATTTTTTCCTTCGAAATCAAATTTAAAAATACAAATGATTTTCTCGCCAATCCCGAATTACCACCAGGAACGCAATAGCCCTCCCTTTGAACGATCTATGTAATAAAATGGAGTCTTTCGAGAAAATAAAGTTTCAAGATCAGAAAAAATATCTTTCTAAGGACGCTAATTATCTTAGCAGACAAAATTACGACGATGGAACCTAATATCGTACGTTTGTTTGCCCGCAGTAAATTTAACGATATCAATGGAAAAGTAAAATTTATGTTTTAGAACATGTACGTATATATAAGCATAGCGGACATGCTATATCACAACGTCGATCATTTGTAGATCATATTTATATTAATTATCATATTATTTAATTCACATTTTAAAGCCTTAGGCGAATCCATAAACTTTATACTGAACTATTTATTTAATAGTTCGAAAATAGTATAGTGAAAATCGGTGTAACCCAAAAATTAATGCCGATCATTTGCAGATCATATGGTAATTTGACGGGCAAAGCCACAGATGTTCGGGCGAACTCAGAAAATTTTACCATACATTCATCTACTATTTGGGAATATGTGGTAAAATGAAACCACCTCAATTCGCTTGAAACTAAAGTTTTATATGTGCCAATTATGGTCAATGTTTTCATAAATAAGCAAAAAAAAAAAGTTACTACTAGTAAAAATTCTCCAATAATAATGCGATTTTAATAAAATTTAATACATAGTAAATTTAAACTAACATAAAGTTGTTTGTAAAATTTAAGCATATATTATTATGTAGAATTTTTCATTTGACTATATAACAACATTTTTATTAAATTTAAAAAGTTGCTATTAGTAAAAGTTATTTAATATGTGTGCGATTCTAATAAAAATTAATATACAGTAAAAACAAATTAAAGTTAAGTTAGTTGCAAAATTTGAACGTATATTATTAGTATAATGGGATAAATAATCGACAAATGATCGGCACAATAATGTGAGATGTCCGCTATGCTATATATATATATATCAATGTGTAGCGGAATAAAAACAAAAACTATAACAAAAGACATAATATATGAGAACCAAGGATTAACAACAATGTCGATGGCGAGATATTACAACAATGTTCGAATGTTATCCGAAAAAGTCCGGTCATTGCCGTCATTGGGACAACTGCGTCGAATCGGTACCTTGTCTGGCAAAAAAGAAGAGCCGAAGACACATGTTGTGGTCCCAAACGTTTAATTAGAAAATCAAATATTCCAAAAACCATGTGTCATCGGCCGAAAGATGGAAAGCAGGATGAATCTCGAGAAGGTTGCAATAATCCGAAAAATTTTGCTCATGATAGTAAAATAATAATCGCAAATAGAAGAAATCATAAACGCGTTTGTAAATTGTCTTAACCGTAATCTTGAAGGTAGATATGTTATATGGAATTTATTAAGCAGTATGGTTTTGATCATATAACTGCTACGGTCATATGTTTGATCAATGTGTGTTGTTTGATGATCACTTGGAAAGATTATTGGAATGAAGCGACAAAGGTATCTCAAACTCACCGTGTAATGTAGGATTTTGAGTCCGATGGGACTGTAACGTTAATGATGGTATGTTGAGATTTTGTTCATTCTTTCTTTGTCTTAATTTTTCATAATTGGTTTCTTTCACCGAATGAACCACCTTTGATAAACCCGCCGTGGTCACCCACCCTGTTGCAAAGAAGAAAATGAATTAAAAAACATATTGATATGGTTTCCACGTAATGTTTTGATCAAGCGTGATGCATTTAAATTTTAATTATCAATAATAGTAAACAAATAATTAGTGTTATGAAATATATATAGTATGGGACAGTCTGCAGGCGTTCATTTCTACTCTCTACCAATATATTAACGTTACGCTTTTCATGCCTAAATCGCAAAAATTCCTATAATGTTACCCTGTACCTAGGACTATTCTGTAATATAAAATAAAAGTGATACGCAAGTAAATTTCCATTTTAATATATAATAACAGGGTTTTTCGGCGAACAAAATAGATTTTCAGGAACAATACATAAAAACTAACGAATAAAATCTATTTATTACTAATAATAAACTGCATATATAGAAACTTAATAATATCAATTGTCTTAATCGGAGCAGATTTATAAACAAACTTACAAAAATAGAATGCAAAGTAAGATATCGATTACAAATTCTTAGAAGAATGCATTTACCTAATAAAGAAGTTTATATTCAAATTAGTATTCATTCATTAATTGTCATACATGATTTGCTTCATTGTAAAATTATATTTTATCTAAAAAGAATACCAAAAGAACTTTTTGAATTCAGCTCCAAAACATAGTTACGCATTATGCAAATAATCATCTGAAACTAAGGCTGAAATTTTTTCATCTAAATTGAATAAGTATAATAACTGTTTAAGTTCAAAGCTAAGCCACAAATTTAATTTGCTAAATAAGATGGCGTTATGCCAAAGATATTACCTAATCATTAAATCGGCCTCAAAAATATTTCTTTTGACGTTAACAATTAGGTAATGAATTATTCTAAATTAGGAACATAATTTCATTTCTATTATTATTAAAAAAAAACATAATTTACTTTACTGCACAAATTCGTTTAACATGACCTGCGCTAATTTTTTGCTGCGCGCACGTAATATACATTATACGAGTATATAATATTTCAACTTTTACTTTTCTTCTTCTCAATTCTTTTTTTACTTCAAATTTTTTTTTTTAAAAAAAAAGTTAAAAAATGGCAAATTACGATCAAATGGATGATCCAACTTCTGCTGCCTTTGATATCTTTTTCAGTGGTATAATACCAATCGGTTATTCGGTATATTTCGAACCACTTTTAAGTACAACATTAAAATCTAAAATTGAAGATTTCGTTTTTTTTTTTGTGGAACCTCTTATACCGCTTTTCTACGCGTTCAACAAAATCACTTACAATGAATTTGACAAGAGACATATTATATTTATTTGTGTTTATAGTACCTTTAGAATTGTTTCAGCCATTATATATTATATCATTCTCGCATGGATAAAAAAAACAAACCGATATTTCGGATACAAATCATTGAAACATTGTATTTTATTCGTATACTTTGGTATCACAGAATATTGTGCTCGTTTTGTTCCTATGATGTGTTTAGAAGATCTTAGGAAAACTGGTTTTATTACAGAGTTACTTAATGGAGTAGCTATACTCGGAATTATATTCGGTTTTTTCGCGTTCGTATTATTATTACCTCATATCTTGTATAAGAATAGAAGAGATTTTCCAATTGTTGGTAATATCATATATTCAATATATACTTTTAGTTCATTTTACATTAGTATAGTTTATTTAGTAATAGTACCTTCAAATGTAATTTACGTTAAAATCGCATTTAACATCAATTTATTATTGATAATGAGATTTTTTACCATATGTAATGATAAACCTAGAAACAAAAATAGGGGTTTAGGCTGTATTATCCTTTTCGCTTTCGATGATATTAAGAGTATAGAGAAGGAATTAAAAAATGAGAACAGGGATAAATATTGGTACGAAATATTTTTATCACATCGTATGATCAAACCAATAATTGATGAGATTAAGAAAAGAATATTAAAAAGAAATAAAGATCAAGAATATTATGAAGATAGATTAATTTGTAATAGAGCAAATATTTTATATTATTATAAATATGGAGAAGCTCTTGAAAAGAAAAGGAGTAAGAAACGTTTTCAAAATACCATTCAGAGTGTTGGAAGTGCATCATCCATTCAGAGTATTGGAAGTACATCATCCCCTCAGAGTATTGGAAGTACGTCATCCACTCAGAGTATTGGAAGTACATCATCCGCTTCATCCACTCAAAGAATTGGAAGTACATCATCAAATGGAAATTCTACTTCTCAAGATCATGAATTCGTTCTAGATGCATACATACCCGGTATCATTTTACATAATGAAATCAAAAAAGCGAACAAAGTTTATAAACTTTTCAACGGAATTGGCACCCAAAATATTAATAATGTCAAAAGTCTTTCAGCTACTGATATCGCAAGATTAGAAGATGAAGAAATTAATAATATCATTAAAAGTTTGAAAGTAAAACCTTAGTTCGTATTAAAAAATATATGTACATTTTTTTAAAAAAAATATATTTCTTTATAAACATAAAATACATAAATTTTTTTCGTTTTATTATGTAATGATGTTGATATCAGGTTAAATTGATATGAAATTTAGTGTCTTACAAAATCAACCATTCAGTCATTTGATCAATAGTGTGACGATATATCAGTTGATAATAATAAAAAATTCTATTTGACACGTTATGTGAGAAGTGTGTAAAATACGGAAAATACCAGATACCAAGGCTTTTGATATGTATTACTTTATCTCGCTAACGCTTTCTTAGTTGGGATTATAATATACTTATTCATTAATTATTGAAATTGAATTATGTTATAATATAATTTTATAATTATAACTGAAAATATTTAAAATTATTAAACCAATTTTTGAAAGAAAATTATTTTGGAGCCATTTTCGGGAATGCACTGTTTGAAACATTTCGGAATATTTTGCCCGAAGCGCGATAATTTATAGTTTCGGTAATTTCGGAGTTTCGGCGAATAAATAACCCTTGTATGCCAACTTCAAACATGCGGGCTAACTTTCAGGAAAAGCGAATAAAAATAGTCATTACCTATTTAACTGCTCTTAATAAGATGCATATATTTAAACTTGGAAATTAAATAATAATATTAATTATCTTATTCATATTCGGATTATATTCGGATCAATTTAATTAAAGAAATTTAAATCCAAATTGGTATTCATTGATAGCTAAAAAAATTATCATGCATAATCATGCGTCGTTGTAAATTATATTTTTATCGAGGCTGTGATCTGACATGAACTATTAATATTAAAATCACGCATATTAATTGTATATTTTTTTTTTGCATGAAACTAAGCCCCTTTTTCTTTTATGAATGAATCGATTATTGGAAGAGAGGAGAAAAATTTTTTCTCCTTCAAAAACGAAATTGAAATAGTTAAAATGGTTAATTAGTCATTGATATTAATTTCAAAAATATTCTTTTGACGTTTACAAATAGCTAATGAATTATTCCCAAATGGGAAAATAATCTTATTAAAAAAAAAGTATAATTTTTATTACTCATATGAATTTTAGCCTGTTGACTGTATTTTATTGCACAAATTTGTTAACATGATCTGCATAAATTTTTATTATATTTTTTTGTTACGTTCGCGTAATTTTTAATATTTCAACATTTTCTTTTCTTCTTCAGTTCTTCTTATTCCTTTTTTTCACTTCATAGTCAAAAAAGAAAGTTAAAATGGAAAACTATAATCAGATGGATGTTCCAACTTCTACTGCCTTTGATATTTTTTTCAATGGTATAATACCAATTCTTTATTCAACATCTTTCGAACCACTTTTAAGCCCAACATTAAAATCTAAAATCGAAGATCTCGTTATCCTTTTTGTGGAGCCTCTTATACCACTTTTCTATGCGTTCAATAAGATAACTTACAATCAATTTACCAAAAAATACTTTATATTTACTTGTATTTATTGTATTTTCTTATCTATTACTTTCATTTCACATTATCTTATCTTCATATGGTTTAAAAAAACAAACCGATATTTCAAATACAAATCATTGACACATTGTATAATAACCTTATACCTTGCTACCTTAGAAACTAGTACTCGTTTTCTTCCCGTAATTTGTTTGGAAAATATTGGAGAATTGAGAAATATTGCATTCAAAGCACCTAATGCGATGGTTGTATTTGGAATTATACTCGCCTTCCTCATATTGGTATTAATATTACCTCATATCTTGTATGCTAATAGAGATGAGTTTCCAGTTTTTGGTAATATTATATTTGCACTACATATATTTAGTTCATGTTTTTCAAGTATTGTTTATTTGGTAATAATACCTTCAAATGTAATTTATGTTAAGATCGCATTTAACATCAATTTGTTATTGATCATGAGATTTTTTTCTATATTGGAAGATAAACCTAGTAACAAAAAAAGGGGCTGGGGTTGTGTTGTTCTTTTCGCTTTTGATGATACTGAGGGTATAGAGAAGGAATTAAAGAAAGAGGACAGGGGTCAATATTGGTACACGCCATATTTATCCCGTCCTATAATTAAACCAATAACTAAAATAATTAATGAGATTACAAAAAAAAATGATAAAGAAATTGAATATGATGAAGATAAATCAATTTGTAATAAAGCAAATATCTTATATTATTATAAATATGGAAAAATCCTTGAAGAGAGAAGGATTTATCAGAGTACAGGTACGACACCTCATGAATTTGTTCTTGAAAGATATATACCTGGTAATAATTTACATAATGAAATTAAAAAGGCAAACAAGGTTTATACGCTTTTTGATGGAATTGGTATAGAAAAGATAGATTATATTGAAAGTTTTTCTGCTGAAGATATTGCAAGATTAGAATATAAAGAAATTAATGAGATCATTAATAGAATAAATAAAATACCTTATCCCTAATCATATGGAAAGTTAGAATATACTGTATCAAACTGTGTCAATCTAACTTAATTGATATTTGATATCTTTAGATTTATTTATTTTCTTAAAAAGTAATTATTTAATAAAATTTTAAATTTCATTAAAATTCTTTAATTATTAAAGTATTAGTAAATCTTTTTTTATTTATTTTTATTTTATAATTATTTTTTAATTAAAAAATTGATTAAATATATTAAATAATTTTTAAATTTTAATGAGTGGTATACCACTTAGACTACCACTCTATAGTCTCGATTATTTGGAAAATGATCGACTGGAACCGATGCACAAACTCGTATCATTATCAACAAGCGTGGAAATAGGAACGAAGACTATCATAACTTGGGAAAAGTATTGCGACTAGAATCAATAGAGAGCTTAGTTCTAATTTACTGGGACATCATTGCATAGAAAAATTAAAGAACCTTGTTCGGGATTATAATGTAAGTGTAAGTGTTAATTGACTACTTAAGCACAGGCGAATCCTAAATCTCACTCTCCACATTACCTCTGGTGACTAGGCGATGTGTGAATATATGAATGGAAGTCAAATAGCTAGAAGGAGTCGAACAGGTGCTAGATATTTGAGAAGTTCCGCGCTCACTTTTGGGAAAAACCTGAAGATGCTTTTGATAGGATTCGTAATATGAATATTTCTAATCGTAGGCGAGATAGAGGAATTGTTTCACCTGCACCCTTCATTGAGGTGGTTGGTACTAGGCTAAAGAGGTCCCTTTGGGACTAGATCATCTAGCTGAAGAAGTCAGAGCTGAAGCAATCAAAGAAATCGTATACATTCGGAATCACCATCTCGTCTATCTCCGGCTCCACCTTTACCTTGTAACGAAGATGGAAATCCAGGAAATCCAGGAAATAACACGACAACTTCATCTGTCCAGCCTCCATCTTATGATGACAATCAACAATCATTGAATAGTATGGATGGTGGGCCCCTTTGGAACCTGGTAATGTTATAGAGCAATGAAGTTATCCTTCTAGAAAATGCATTACCTTTAGTAACTAACTTTGGTATTCATTTCTTCATTTATTATGATTGAAAAAAAAATAATAAAGTTTTTCGTCTAACTTAGTCCTGAACCTGTATAAATTTGAATTGTTGATATAAGTTGATAAAGAATCAGTGTAATTCTTTAAATCCGCTATAAATCATTAAAACACTAAACTATTTACAATCCTAAAAGTGGTTAAAATTAGCCACAAATATGGTTTAATTCCTGAGGTAGCGAATGCAATAACCAATCTGTATTATAGTTATAGTGATGAAACGCTAAAAATGTGGTGTTCCCATATTCGTGCTCCGCTTAGGAAATTTTTTGAACGAAAAATTTTCCAACAATCACGTGGGCGTATGTAAAAAATTCATGTCATAACTAATAAAATATATAATAATGAGTATCACACAAATTATAGTATCGCAAGTTTATTTTTAATTGTAAACTACACTTAGTCAATCTACGTTACTCACTTTTTATATACTCAATTGTCATTTTTTTAATTAAAAACAATTACCCTGTAGATAATATAAGATATTAAACCGGTTGAGTCAATGATCAAACACCACGAATTTTGAATAGTATTCAAATTAAATATGGTGAAACTTATCCCTAATTATATTATTTGTTAGCTCAAATAATCGTTTTTAGCTATCAAAATATTTATTTCTAAATATTCTTTAAAAATGAAATTGAAACAATTTCATTTGATGTTATAGAAATCATAAACTTTTGCCTGACTCTGGTACCTTATTACTTGCGTGGCCTGATATCCAAAGATTACGTTTCTTTCAAACATTAATCATATAAATGTGGGTCAATGATCATGTCATTAGGCGTTCTTAATGGTAAATAAATAATAGGTTTATTGTAAATATTCCATAATAATATGTTAAAAGATTCATTATAAAAAATAAATAAATAAAATTCAAAGAATAAACTTTATAAAAAAACACTAATTTTAAAACTGTGTACGAACCTTACCTGAACATTTAGTAAATGTTTCCTTAAAATATTAATTTTATAATGTGTAAAAATTTAGTTGGATATTTGATTAACCAATAATAATCAAAAAGTTTACCAATCTTTAACATGATTTCATTCTAAATATAGATTAAATTTAGAAATTTTAAAATTTTGAGATTTTTTTAAAAAAAGTCCTGATTAGGCAGATAATTAATACAATAAGCGCTAATCTCCGCACATCAGCAGATCAGCTAAAGTAGAATCACATGAGCGACGATCAATATTAGTCATGTTGAGTCGCGAGTCGCGATTTTTTTACTGCCCACTCTCTGTTAGTCATTCATTTTTTTAGTCACGATTCGCGAGTTGCGATTTTTACAAATATCAGATATATATATACCCTCAACATGTATACTGTATATACTATCAGCCTTTTCTAAAAAAAAAAAAATTCTAAAAAATACTACAGTAAAGAAAAACCCTCTCTAAAATTCTTCACCAGAAAACAGACAAAAGCTCTTTGACCGGTTTTCTAGATGAGAGCAAAGTGGCTTAGAAGTCTTTAAAAGAGGTGTGTTTTTTTTATTTTGCAAAGTGAGTAGCTCCTAAGCAAAATTAGAACGGATAGCTCATTTGAGCCGGGGAGTTCACAAATTTTACTTAGGAGAATACTTGGACTTGTTTGCTTGGGTTGGTGAAGAGGTGAATTTTTTTAGTGGGTAACTCCTAAGAAAATCTAGAACGGATTGCTCATTGAGCCGGGGAGTTCACAAGGTTGACTTAGGAGCTGCTTTTTTTTTTTATTTCTTATTTCTTTTTTATTCTTATTTCTTTTTATTTCTTTTTATTTCTTTTTCTTTTTTCTTTTTTTTTTTATTTCTTTTATTTCTTTTTTTTTATATTTTTTTCTTTACTTGTTTTACTTGTTCACTTGATAATCAACTCAAGCAGACATCCTAACTTTGTTATTGGTAAAGTTTGCTAATTCTAAAGGAGGAATTAGCTATGTCTTCTTTACCATTAAATAAAAATTTGCACATTATTAATAATTTCTTCTCTCTCATAACAGATAATAGGTAAATGCAAAGATTTACAATTATTGACTCCAATTTCGTAATCGGAATTCCAAACCAATATAGGACCGAAAGTAATTAATGGTATGTAGCTTCTTCTATTTTTAATTATTTATTTCGAATGTATTCATTTCTATGAATTGAAAGAAGGCGCCACTGAACCTGAATTATTTTACACCATTCAGTTGGAGAATGTTGATGATCAATGTCGTTCAATAGTTGAAAAAAATTGTACCAATGAAGAAATCACTTAAGTTAAAAGAACTTGATAATCATAATCAACTAGAAACGTCTTATGTCACATCATTTTCTCGACAACAAAAAGGATATCCTAAAGAAATTAGCTCATGTTATATCTTGATGATTTACTCAAAGTCAAAGCATATTTTCATAAGAACTTCTGTAAATGTATAGGAGATTATAAATTTATCCTTATGTTGGTCTGGCTGTTCCCTTGAATAATAATTATTTTGCTTATTATCTCTTCCCATTGATATGCCTTTTCTTGTTTCCGTACATAGATATTTTGCGGTAAGAATCAATTTTGATATTGTTTATGATTTAAATAATTTGTTATAAAAAAATTTTATTTACTTATTAACAGATTGCACTAATCGACGTTCCTTCCTTTTGGCTGGTAGCAGACAACCTGGTAACTAATTAATTCTCTGCTATATGTTTTGATAAAATTTCTATATTTAGCTATTAAATATTGAATATCGTACCTTTCAGGCTGTTGATGGATTAGCGCGTCTGAAGGTTGAGTGGAATCGATATTTATTCGAAGAAGTTTTACCCGAGTCCCCAATAGATACCCATCTTAAAAATTTAAATTACCCAATGTAACTTCTTTAACTATTGGCCAAAATTCATATATATCATTTGATTGAATACTAGACCTGAGCTCACGAAGAAACTTAACTCAAGCTTTCATCTCAGGTCTTATTCTATTATTTTAGTTAGTTAAGGTAGTAGTTAGGGAGCCACAAGGTGGTAATAAAATTGGAGAGGAGTTGTAAGAGTGTCGAAGATAGGGGAATGAAAAGAATAGCTAAAAAAGGACAAGGAACCGTAAGGCTCCTGCTAAGCAAGCAACATGAAACGTGATGGAAGCCTTCTTAGTATTGACGATGGTGTATTCAAAGGACCTTTTTCATCAAATGTTATTGGAACAATAAGGCCGTTCCAACAAACAATTATGTTTAACAAGAATCTTTACTAAAAAAAATTACAGTTTTTTTTAAAGTATTATTGAGTGTAAAAATTGAAGGGGCGGAGTATTTATTATATTAATTTTTTTTATAATATTAAAAAATTTTAAAATAAGTGGGGATTTTTATTTTTTTTAAATGTAAAAAAGTACTATTCTTTATTTTTATATTTTAGTGTTATTTTCAATTATACACGTTGCTTTTTTCTCATTTGAAGTCGACAAACCTCGCATAAAGGATATACTGTTCTAAATCGGGATAAAACTTCTTGTGATGGGTTGATAAGATTATCCTCTTCGCCAAATATTTTACTATCGGATTCTCCTAATTTTACTGAAAATGCAGCGTAATTTCGTGCAAGATGTACAAAGACGAACATAACATTCCATCTGGTGCAAGCTCTTGAGTCTTGACATACAAGGTTATTTTTTTTTACTTGGAAGATCAATTTCAATAGTATTACGTCTATATATTGAATTGAAATCTTAAGACAATTAATTTTATTAAAGTTCTTTATTTGTTAAATATATGCGGTGTAATTAAATATTTTTATGTATTGTTCAAGTTTCGAATTCTGATGGAATTTGTTACAAATTCTTAGTTCAAATTCTCCAAATCCTAAATCTTGGAAATTTCCCTCAATATCTCAATATCCCAAATATCCCATTAAATCTCTTGTCAAATTCCTACAAACTATTTAGAGTATTTTCATTTGTTACTTCTATATACCTTTCATCGTGCTGTTTCGTTTCAAACTTGTTTAGCCTTAAACTTTATTTTCAATTCCTTTGACAATTACTCGATAAATAATAGAATGACAGTAATTATGAAGAAAAAAAAAATTGTTCAGAAAACAAATCCATTTTTTTGTATAACAACACAAGAATCTCTAATACATCCGAGGACATTACTTGAAAGATGTTTGTTAAGTGTTTCTTTTATAAATGGATTGCTAAATAATTAAAAAATAACAAGTATAAATCGCGAGTAAAATTCGTTTAAATAAATTAAAAAAAAAAATTATTATTTAGTATTTACTTACTTTACTTTACCATAAATAACTTCAATTTCCCATAAAAGGTTTGAAATATTTGGATAACTAATAACGTCCTCCCATCGAAAAAGAAATTTTATATAAAAATTTGTTTTTGCTTTATAATTAAAAAAATTTACCCTGATCATCATTATTATTGATTTTTCATTATTAATGATTTGACTATCAATAATTTCTGTAGGTAATTTAAATCTTAGAACACGATAATCCCTATAAAGTTGTTTCGAATTTCTCCAATAAGTGGCTATTGGCTTTACGATTCTGGAACACTAATTAATTATTGAATCACTGTTAATAAAGTCATAAAATTTTTAGGTACCGTTTTGTTTTACTTACTGCCGCGATTTCTATTGTTCCTTTATAATTCAAAGCAAATTTTTGAATTCCACCAAAAATAGCTTGGTACTAGTAAATAAATCAACGCAATGTTAAGGTTCAAAAGAACACATATAGATAAATATGAAAATAAATTCTTACGTATAATTTTTCATCGTACTTCATATCGTCATTTAAATCGAGTGATACTTCAACAAAGGGTATATTTGTGTCGTCACGTTTACACGGATCTCTTGTATCAATTTTAACCTGCACAGTTTCATCATATACTAAATGCACAAGTTCTTCAGATAACTTTTTAGGGAACCATTTATGTTTATCAATGAGAATCCTATATTGTTCTTTAAGAATATTTCTAATTTATAAAAAGTTGTAATAGAATTTAAATACTCATTTAATGCTTACCTTGTACCTCATTGAGGTCCTTCTCAGTATAACATTGAGTTCCTTCTACAAGTCGTTTTGCGTCGCGAATTTTCTTAATAAAATTGAAATATTAAGTTTAAATATTAATAACGTGACAAAAGATAAAGGCCTTTAAGAAAATTTCAAGTACCTGTTCTATTTCTGCTTTTTCCTTTATCAAATAATCACGCATCTCTCTCAGACTTTGGGTTTCTTTATTAATACCTTCAAGTTCAGCTTCAAAAAATTCTATCTGCTGATTCTGTTCCTCAATCATGGCTTTCATGAATTTCATTTCTTCTGTGTCAGCAAAATCTGATTTTTGATATTCTTTAATGTTCAGATCTCCTGTATTGATGGTTTCATTTATCATGATGTCTGTAATATTTTCATCACACAACATGGCAGTAGTTCCATCACAAAGTTTCACGTTCGCCTCATTTATCAATGAAGCATCGGTCACATCAAAGAGTGTTGTTTCTCGTCGTTCGCTTGGTTGTAGATTAGTATCTAATCCTTGAAAGATTGTTCGTTTATCATTATAGTATACATTTTCTTCGGAAACTAACGACATATCTTCTGAAGAAATAATACTATGATCTGCTGTAGTGATATCGTTAACATCTATTGGTGTGGATGTAATTTTGTGAATTTCAGCTGATGACATGTCGACCATTGATGCTAGAGTCATGTCTTTAAAATCAGATGGAGACCGGCTGACCATTGATGTTGGAGTTAAATTTTTAAACTCCATTGATTTAGATGGAGATTGGTTGATTATTGGTGTTAGTTTATCTCCCATTGATTCAGATGGAGATCGGTTGATCATTGATGTTGGAGTCATATTTTTATCACCCATTGATTTAGGTGGTGACTGGTCGGCTAATGATGCTAAAGTCATTTCTTTAACATTTATTAGTGTATTATTCCCAGATGGTGACATATCAACCATTGATGCAATAGTCATGTCTCGAAGGTCCATTGATGTACAATTCTCAGACGGAGACACACCAACCATTGATGTCAAAGTCATATCTCGAACACCTATTGAAGTGCAATTCTCAGATGGAGGCTGGTTGACCATCGATATTCGCGTCGTGTCTTGAACATTCATTGACGTATGACAATTCTCAGACGGAGACACACCAACCATTGATGCCAAAGTCATATCTCGAACATCCATTGAAGTGCAATTCTCAGATGAAGGCTGGTTGACCATCGATATTCGCGTCGTGTCTTGAACATTCATTGACGTATGACAATTCTCAGACGGAGACACACCAACAATTGATGCCAAAGTCATATCTCGAACATTCATTGATGTGCCATTCTCAGATGAAGGCTGGTTGGCCATCGATATTCGCGTCGTGTCTTGAACATTCATTGACGTATGACAATTCTCAGATGGAGGTAGACCAACCATTGATGCCAAAGTCATGTCTTGAGCATCCACTGATGTGTTTGTAATTTCGTGATTACCAGATGGAGACTGGTTGACCATCGATACCAATGTCATGTCACAAGGACACACTGACGTAGATGTAGTATCATGACGTCCAATTGAAGTTGGGCCAATCATCGATACAAGTGACATATCTTTAGATGCAAACGTGTCATCATGATCCTTAAATGACTTCTGGTCGTTCACAGGTCCGAGTACCGTATTATTTTGACAAATCATCTGCGTATTTGAATTTTGAGCTTGTGACATGTTTTGTGACGTGCTTTGACTATCGTTAGAAATCATAATTTTTTTTTCTGTTGATTCTGCATATTTACCTTTACCATCTTCTTCAGACTGACTACTAATATACAATAATTAGCAAATAATATAATTACATTTTTTAAAATAATAACCAAAAAAGTGACATACTTTGTAGTAGAAGATGATGACTCGACGTTTTCAATCATGCTATCATTAGGGGATGGTGTAGGAATTGAAAGCATAAACTCTGATGCTTCATCTTTATTTCCATTTAAAGAATTTGATTTATCTAGTTCTGGTTCTTGATTTTCCGTAGCTTCATCTTTATCAAATAAACTGAGAAAACAATGACCAAATATATCAATTTTTCGAAATTTATAGAGTTATAGATCATAATTTGAACCGAAATTACCGAACACGAGCTTTTGAAGCAAAACTGACCCTTCTACCTAAAGATTTCCTACGCTTTTGTCCATCATAACTGATAAAACATTAATTTTATATTCAATTGAATTAAGAAATTAAATAATTGATCGATAATCTTACTTCTCTGTAATTTCCGACTCATCAAAGTTCCTCGTAAATATAGTTGTATTACTTTCCCATAATGAACCTAAAACATTAGTGGTGGTTGTATTTTCGTCTTGTAGAATATCGAAATTCGTAGTATCTTCACTTTTTTTTAAAATACTTTTAGTAGGCGGTGGTAACTAATATTTTATTTAAGAATAGTAAACAAAAATGTAATTTTAACGTTAGATTGTTATAACTTAGGAAATGGCATACTAGAGAATTCCGACGACGCTTTGGTGATTTATTAAGCCTTGGTGAACGCCTTAGTTCTCTTTTGCCTTCCATAGCTATGGAATCGTAAACTCTATCAAAAATAGGAAAGTTCACGAAAAAGACGCGTACATGTAGTTCTAATATTATATCACGTGAAGAATTGGAATATTATTGGTCGAATAACCTCATTTCTAGATCGCACCCAAGTTTTGTTTTTGTGTCACGGGGTGACAAATAAAATTTTGACACTAATCGAAATATTCAAATAAAATAAATCACGTGATTTTTGGCGAACCGAGTTCGCCGATATTTTGCCAAGAAAAATTTTTTATTATTACATAGCCCGATTTGACGCACCTATACCTGGGCTGGGAAAAAATCCGCAGCAAATTTTGTCACGTGATCGAAGAATAGTTTTGTGAAATCGCCATAAAAATTAAACTAAAATAAATACTGAGATGAATGAGATCTCAACTAATATTTCACGATAAGTAAATCGGAATTTTAATTTTGGCCAAAACTTTAAGCAATTTTAACTCAGACAAGATTTATATTATTTTTTTTTTTTAACAAATCCCACATTTTCAACCATTACTTTACTTTATATCTTCGATTTTGAACTATTAAATGAAATGAAAAAAAGAACGGTAGAAACACCTGAACGAATGTTAGTATTATATAATGAATTATTTGAATCATTGCAAATTTTTTTTTTTTAAAAATGAAAAGTTCATGCATTTTTTCTTTTTTATTTCGGAATCTTTTATTTACTCACATAGAAGAAAAAGGTAATCATTTTTTAATTTCTATAATTCGCAAATCTAAATAATCATAATGACATGTAGTACAAAATTTGTTTACATGTTATATAAATCATTGCTTTAATGAATATCAGGAAGTAATAATTCAGGTACGAATCAGCAAAATCTAAAAGAAAGATTTTATTATGATAATAAAAAAGGGGAAGGGAGGCGAGGGGTCAAAGAAAGGGAAAAAAGGTTTATAGTGCGTGGTTAAACTAGTTATAGTAAACACCAGAGAATCTGACGTGGGGCACAACATACTGTTACCTGATATGCTGATATACGCGGGTACAGAAAATGTGTAATAGGAAATATCATATAAAAATACCCACGTATAATTTACGTGACTTCATGACGGTAATCGATATAATTCCGTATTTTTGCATTTATTAAAGCGATTTCGAATTAAACTTTTTGCCAAATTTTAATAAAAATAACTAAATTGTGGAATATGGAACTATTTTTGTATAACGTTGTTCACAATCTTAAGATATTTATATATTTTAAGTTTATAAATAAAATTACATGTTGATCGAGACACCACATGAAGAAACAATTCATGCGGTTTTTATTTATCAACAAGAAAATTTCTTTAACCAATTTTTTTTCTATTGATTATCTTTTATCAAAAAGTCGTCAGAGACTCGGAATTAGCGGAATAGTAGTATAAATAATACCATTCAGGAAGTTCATTTTCTTATTTATTATTATGTAATGAAAATAATAATAATAGTAATAAACATACCTGAAATATCTGAAAAACAAAAATATATGTATATTTTATAATCACTTTTAAAATCGATTTATAAAGTTTTTTTAAAAAATCATTCCATAATTGAATATTTTTCACCACCTAAAACTGAAAATAATGTGGCAAAAAAATTCAATTTTTTTTTTAGAAACATGTAATATCATCTGCATATTGAATAATTAACTGTAAATAGCTATCGACTATGATTTTTTATTGCGGTTTTCAGAAATGTTGGCATTGATAGATTTTCCATATATTGTATATTTTGTGTTTTTGTGTTTTCCGGACATTTTCGATGACAATTTCTGGACATTGCCTGGACATTTTCCAGATATTTTCCGGATATTTTACAGACAAAATATTGTATTTGTGTTTTGTATTTTGTGTTCTTTTTTTTCCGGAAAATATCTGGAAAATGTCCAGAAATTGTCATCAAAAATGTCCGGAAAAACACAAAAACACAAAATATACAATATATTGAAAATCTATCAATGCCAACATTTCTGAAAACCGCAATAATTGGTAACAAGTAACAACCGAAATATCAAGTCATTATATATCAGAGCGATTGACTGTTATATATAAAGCAAGTAATTGAACCGGGTTTTAAAATCTCACTCTCTACATTTGAAAAAAATATGATCACATTCATGTAAGATGATCATACTATTTATAGATATTTAAAATTATGTTAAATTAATCAATGCCGATTCATAACTCAAATTATCTATAAACAGTAACCCGGGTGGACTATAACAGTTTCATTCTAATCTCATTATAATTAAAATTTTATTAGTAAATTATTAAATTATTATCTAATTAGTCGTCGGATAGTTTTTTGGATGAATTTTTCATTTTTAAATAATTTATTTACTTAGTTCTGAATGTTCACGATGTTAATTGTAATATCCAATGCAAATTAATCATGTTTTTGAATGTAAAACGATCCATTAACGCAGGTTTACTAACAGCTAATTGGTTAAAATTCCATTTCTTTCTTTCATAATTCCTTAATTTCTACTGTGGAATTATTGGCCTGAATTAAATTCAAAATTTTTGATAATGAGAACTTTATAAAAGAAATTTAGTTTTATTTATCAGGAATTTTCGGTTTTCGATTATGTTTTTCAGCTTCATCAGCATTTGCTTCATAAATAATGGTCGGAGGAAAATAATTCCTGTAATTTTAAATAAAAATAATGTGTTAGCGTACATAATTTATCACGAACAAGTGAAATTAAACGATAATACAGTTAACATAGGTGAACATACTCGTTATTGCGTTCTGATGGCAACATAAATACGAGTTCAACGAATGCAATTTGTCGTGCTCGTACAAAATTCAATACAATATCAGAATTTTCGGATGTTTGCGTGTATATATCATTTACGAATGCGACTTTTAAGGAAAAAGATATTAATAAGAAGGCACGTAAGAAAGCACTTAAGAGCAACAAAGGATATTTGCAGTTACATACTTAAAAGATTCACAACTATGATTGTTGTAAATATTGAGAAAATAAATATACAAAGTCTTACAAAATTATTTTTGTCCCATGGTTCTGAATAATCATAGTTACTACTTAAAGATGCTAACCAGACAATTTGGAGTAATTTGTCAAGATTTATAGCTAAATTTTTACCGTCATCAGATTTGACTCCATTGTAAAAAAAAGAAGTTGCGTAGGTAACCATAAATATAACTGATAATAAAAGAGAGAGTATTCGAAGCATTTTTCTGCAAATATTCGTAACAACTATATAATGAATAAATTCTAAATAAAAATTTATCAAAATTTAGATAGAGTTTATATTATTGAGAATTGAGACGCTTACCTATGATAAAAAGTCCAAATTTTTTGGAGAGTGCACATAAAAATACAAATGTACCAATCCATATGATGAAAACTGAGACCGATCGAAAATATGAGAGTATATTTAGATACCAGGATACATGATCATTAGTGAATTGTTCCTGAACATCAAAATTCAGCAACAAATTCAGAAACTTATTCCAAAATTTCAGTAAATGCAGAGCAGACTGATATTAAAATTATAAGGTAAACTCCTATATCAGCACGTAAACGCCTAACTAGTAATATAATTGTCCATCGGAAGGTAACGAGTAATTGAAATATTCCCAAGATTATGCTTAAAATAGTTAATTTCCTGTTGGCTTTTATCGTCGAAATTGCCACATCGCTTATCGTTTCTGTGTTAATAGTCGTAGCATTAATCGTAACCATTACAGTAAAAAGACAAGAGTTAGTCAAATAAAGAAGAAATATTCCAAAGAGACGACAACGCGCAAAGGCATGCCATTTGTACTTGACAATTGCACGAAAAAATATTGATTTTATTATCGCGTTGGAAGGGTTCGTAATCTCTGAGCGTTTGATGCCCAAAGCAATTCTGATAAAGGGACTTAAGTCAGGGGCAATCAAGATATTACTGAAACTATTAAGACGTTCAGGATAGGTACATAACCCAATTAGCGGTACATAACACATTATGGCATAGTGTTGGGGTTCCTTTTCAAATCTTTTATAATAAATCATTAATTAACATATATTCTATACAATATGTTAAGAGATGTAGTAAACTTATACAACCTGTCAAAAATGGAATGTTTGCAATTGAGGGTAGGAAATTCATAGCCCCAAAGGTTTTTCCGAGTTGATGAAAATTTATTAAGAGTTAAAATAGTTGAAGAGAGTTTATGAGTTGAATTAGCTAGAGAAAATTTACGAGATTTAAATTCAACTTCTGGAACCTCAACGTAGTCGAGCTTCGGGATAAGTTCGTCCATCTGAATCTTATAGGACTTTTCGACGAGATATGGAAGAAAGTTAGAAACCAAATACATGAATTTAAGATTTTCTACTTTTTTATTCCACTTGCATATAAAGTAATCAATCAGTAGCTTAATTGCATTGTATTCATTCTCTTCATCGCTCCTAGAGTAATTCTCTTTATCTTTTTCATATATGGATGTGAAAATTTCTCTTTCTTCGCTTGAAAGAAAACCAATAAATTCTTTAATTTCCATAGCATTTCCTCCAACAACCGTTATAATAACGCTATTATTTTCCAGTACATTTTTCACCAACTTAAATAGATTCTTTACAAAATTACTACTTTTTGCGTCTATTTTATTTTGTTGCAATTCGTTTATATCTAATTTTTTAATTGATTTATTGATGGCTTCTTTTATGTACTCGTCCATATTCACCGTCGACGTGTTGGTTATTTTGGACTTTATATAATAGTAAGGTTGCATGCAAGATTGTGGTACATAAAATTCTATACTACGTAGTGGCGTTTATACATATATGCCAATACTACATTAAGTTTCCAAAATGAAAAGTTTCAATCAGTGTTCAAAATTCAAAGGAAACAATTTATTTTTAGTTATGTGAGCAATATTGATCCCCTATAAAAACGAAATGTGTTAAATTTATTTTAAATTCGTGCTCATGTGTAATAAATGTCTAAAAAAGCACCATTTTGTTTAATTTTTGTTTTTTTTGTAATAAGACATAAATTGGACAAAATGGTACTTTTTTTAGACATTTATTACACATGAGCACAAATATAAAACAAATTTAACACATTTCGTTTTTATAGGGTATGAAAATCATGTGCGCACACGTGTATATTAAGAAATGATTATTATATTTATTATCAATATTTCCATCCTTCATAGTAAGTTCTAAACGTACTGATCAAAAATCCAGGATTTACCCTGGATAGATTACCCTGGATGTATTTGTCATCACTTTCATCACTTTATTCATTAAAAAAATTTTGTGGTTTTTATATCATTAAAAAGTTTGGAATTTATATTACAAAATAAATAAAAATTTAATAAAGGTGGAAATAAAAAATTTAAAAAAAAATTATTGTAATTAATATTATTGAAACTAAGATCATTTTTTTTGCATTCTTAACAATATCAATTTCTTTTGTCGGACTACAATTGACTTAGAAGATAATAAAGTAGTGAGCTGTTTATCATCGATCCAGTAAATTTTAGCGTCGTCATCTATTTGATTTTGAAATTCGTGTTTAAATTGTTAAATAAAAAAAAATTTCTTGTTTGTAGCATTTGAACATTTAAAGTATTGAAAGCATAAAATGAAAGAAGAAAGACATATCCCCAAAGTCCTTTTATTAAAATTATTTGATAATAATAGAACTCCCGACCGTAAATATGATTACCAATGTTTACCTGTATGAAGCCGTTCATTACCCATCAAAACTGCGCCTGTTATTCCTGTTTACCTGCAGTTTCAGGAGTGCGTTGTTGTTCGTCACTCCTTGGTAATCTGCAGCTGTTGCTTGATGCTTAATTTTCACGCTAAAAATGTTTTCAAAATAAATGAATATAAATTTGTTGAGTAATTTTTTTTTCTAATTATTATTTATAGTAAATTGTAATTTTAAAAAAATTAGGCGTAGCCTTTATTAGTGCAATAAGTACTGTGTCATGCATGCGCAATTAATTTTTCATTATGAATAACGAATTTAGCGTCATGTAATATAACTTTTCGTTATAGTTAACGAATTTAGATATGTAAAATAATAACTTATCGTTATAATTAACGAATTTAGACATGTAAAATAATAACTTTTCGTTATAATTAACGAACTTAGTATGTTATATGCAAAAATAACTTTTCATTATGATTGACTAGTACGTACTGAGTCGTATTGTTGTTATTGTCATTATTATACATGTCAGATTTCCAGATTCCGATAATACAAAAACTGTATAAATATACCCTCTTCCGTGCGTTTAGGAACTCTTTTTTTTCATTTTTTTTCCATTAAAACAATACATCTGAAGGTCAAATATGTATGATACTGTCATGTGATCATCATGTGCCAGTTCGGAATTGATCGATGTTAACATGTTTGACATGAAATGTTAAACATGTCAGTCATATTACACATTGTCAGTCATATTACACATATTAGAATAATATTATATATCTTAAACTTGTTAAATCTGTTAAATTTATTAGTATATGTATAATTTATTATAAATAAATTTTTTGTAGATATGTTTCTTCCATCTTAATTATTGTTAAGTGTACATTTTATTTATGTAAAATCTTTATTTGTATATGTCGACGTACGTACATCGCTATACTACACATCTGATTGGATAATTTTGATACACTGTTTAATTGTTTACTATTTAATATACATAAACCTTCTATCTAATTAAATAATTGCTTAATATTTTTAAGCGTAAAGAACTGATACAACAATACCCTAAGGTTCTACCAAAATAATATTTATCAAGATACTTGGAAATCATCAAAAATAACAAAAGGTTATAAAACTTGCATTATTTGAAATGGTAACAACGTTAACCTTAATAATATCTTCTATAAACCAACATCGTACAAATAACTTCAGTTACATTATATATTTCTAGTTGAAACAACTTATTTAGTGTCACTATTACTATTAACAACAATTTATGCTCTTATAACTTCTCTAACTATAAACCTAATAGAGTAGTTCTTTTTATATTTGGACTGTCAATTTTGTTAGTTTCATTTCTAATGGCATTGGTGTGGACAACTAGTATTAGATGGGCGCTTCCCCTACAAGAGTGTAATAACAATAAGGTGAAGGTTTTTTGGCTAACAATCCCACTAGATCCAATTGGCTGGGTACGAGACTTTGCATTTGAAATTGGTTTTATCAACTTAACATTAATGATTTTAATTACTATTTTCTTTGCAATTGAATTAAAGTATTTGGGTTATATTTGTAATAAACGTTGTAAGGGTTTTAGTAAATGCCTTTTTGATAACTACTTTGCAGAAACTATGAAGTTTTTAAAATGATATTGATACAAAATACCAATACCATAATAGTTCATATTCCAATAATGAAGTACCACGAGACAGATACCATAGGGTAAAAATAACAGCATATCATAAGGCATTGTTCATTATCACCACATCGTTATACGAATCTTAAAGATATCATCAAGAATTTATTTTCAATATTGTATAAATACTAGAATAATTACATGACAATATATTAATGATATAATAGAGAACATATAAATAATATATTGATGGTATATTAATAATATATTAATGATATAATAAAGACATATTAATAATATTTTGATGACATATTATTTTTATTTTTATTATAACGACAAAACTGCATTTTTTATATATAAAAACATAGTAAAACTAATCTAATTAAAAAATACTAACAAATCCTACAATGAAACCACCCGCTGAATTTTGAACAGTCTGGGCACCATATTTTTCCTTCCACCCAAAGGAGGTTGCATGTAAATACTGTCAGAAACGGAATGATTCACTATTCTAAATTGTTTATAATTTTTAATAATGTAGAAAATGTTTACTGAGAAGTTAATGATAACCAAAGGAAAGTACTTGTTGCCTTCTATAAGTTATATTTTTTTGGAAGGCTGTGAGTTGAAGAACGTACATGTTGTGTCCTGATTGTATCAAAATATCCCATTGGCATTTAACACAGCCACAACAGTTGGAAGACATCACGTATAACGCAGCTAGGTGAGAGGGTTTTATTCTATTAGAGTTAGGATTTAGTTGTGATAATCTCTTTAAATGAATAAATAAATTTCATTAATACTTGGTGTAGGATTGGCTAACTAGAAAAAGTAACTTGCTTCATCACACGGAATTTGACTGCAGAGATGAGAAAAGATGGTAGGGGTACTTGGTTTACTATAATGCTGCGGTGTGACAGATATGATTTTTCAATAAAAAAAAGAGAAAAAGATAATAAAAAGATAGTAAAATTTTCTAAATAATAACAGTATATTTTCATATAAAGAAAGAATATAAAAAAAGTTTTCCGTGTAAGTGTTTTATTTAATTGAATATAGGATTAAGCAGTTGTACACTTGTACCAAGTCTATCACGTGCTGAATTTTCCATACTATTAAATAGTCGTAAAGTTAGATAGCCTTAAAGTAGTACATATTTCTCATATAGTTAGTATTCAGTAAGTCGTACTATCATGAATAAAATGTGCGCTATTAACTAAATCTATTGCAGATAATGGAAAAACATTGTATTTTATATATCAGACAGCTATCTCCAATTTGATATTTAATTATAAAATATTAATTATAAAATAAATATTCAAAATTATACTAAAGATTCTAAGTTTATATTTAGAGATGGGCAAAATGCGATTTATCATGCACATGATGAAATATAATCAAATAATTTGTGCGCGTTTTTACAATGATTATAATAACTATTTATGCACATGCGCATTTTGCCCATACTTTCATTTCCAAAATGAGGTAACTTACCCCAGATTTCTCCATGTCGGCCCAAGGTACTTCTGATCAAATAATGTGTCATTGTTAAAAATATACCAAATTATATTTTAACTTGAAAGTAAAGTAAATTTATCCATCGCTTGTGCGATGCATCGACACTTTCCTTTTTTGTAAATTGTTTATATCGATCAACCTGCTTATACATCGCACCTCTTAAAATGGCAATGATAAACATGAAATTTTGCATCGCTAGTGCGATAAATAAATTATTTCTTTATTAGGGTATTTATTAATTTAAAAAAATAATTCAATTTATAAAAATTAAATTGTATTAATATAAATTTTATATATTGTATTTTATTTATATAATATTAGCCATTTTATTAATATAATAACATGTTACAAAATATAGAGGTATCAGTATTGTTTTATTAAAATAACATATTACAAGAAATTAAGCATCTCTATTATATTTTCAGTTATTACAATAATTGTAGCATTTTTTTAACATGAGAATCGCATTTTTATTCTTTTCTGTATAAATTAATTAATAATTTAGAAAGATTTTCGGTAAATTCTTGGTATGTTTTTCTAAAATACATTAATCAAGTAATCGTGAAAAAAAAGATTTTCTTTTTCTTTTTATCGATAAACGTTAATAATGTGATATAATACGTGATATTTGAGATAATTAAAAAAGCTAAAAAATCTTTAAATGTCAGTAAATTTATCGTCAAATGATATCTAATACATCGTTGGATAATTTTCGAGATGATACGATACATGTCGTCACGTGTTGGATACTAAATAGTTGACGATTAACTGCGTAGTAACAAATCAAAGGTTTCTGCAAAGTTCATTTTCTTCTCTGGCAATATTCACCCTGTAGAGGTCGAAATTATTGAAAAACCCATATCCCTCATTCCCGCGTATTTTAAGTGGTTTATGAGTTGTTTTATATTTGGAGAAAGATATAATGGTAATTCAAAAAAACTTGGCATTGACAGCAATGCAAATCGAGAAATGGCGCGTAGAATTACTAATTATAAATTTTCATATTTTTATTATACATTATTGTAAAGCCAATCAAGCCATGATAAAAACTTAAATGTCCGAAATTTATTTGCAGGATTTTCAATATCAGGTGTCAATTTACGTACTACTTAACGCCACCTGACCTCTATATACTGTATATATTTCTGATTCATTGATTCATCTTCTGATACGAAATACGTGACTTTACGCGTGCTCCAAGAACACATGCACTGGGTATATCCGCGCATTTTTTGAATTAGCCGATTTGACGCACCTATGCCTGGGAAGACTTTCCAAAAATCCGCGCATAAGAGGAGCAAATTTTGTCACGTGATCGAAGAATAGTTTTGTGAAATCGCACACTTAGTTAAGAAGTAACAAAAAATTAAACTATACATTAAATAAATAAATACCGAGATAAATGAGATCTCAACTAATATTTCACGATAAGTAAATCGGAATTTTTAATTTTGGCCAAAACTTTAAGCAATTTAACTCAGACAAGATTATACAGTATATACTGTATATATATTATTTTTTTTTTAACAAATCCCACATTTTTAACCATTACTTTACTTTATATCTTCGATTTTGAACTATTAAATGAAATGAAAAAAAGAACGGTATAAACACCTGAACGAATGTTATTATATAATGAATTATTTGAATCATTGCAAATTTTTTTTTAAAATGAAAAGTTCATGCATTTTTTTTATTTTATTTTGGAATCTTTTATTTATCCTATGGAAGAAAAAGGTAATCATTTTTTAATTTCTATAATTCGCAAATCTAATAATAAATAATCATAAGGACGTAGTACAAAATTTGTTTAATAATTCAGTACGAATCAGCAAAATCTAAAAGAAAGATTTTATTATGATAATAAAAAAGGGGGAAAGGGAGGCGAGGGGTTAAAGAAAGGGAAAAAAGGTTTATAGTGCGTGGTTAAACTAGTTATAGTAAAGATATGACACTTTGTAAAAAAAGAGTAATTGACACCAGAAAATCTGACGTGAGGCACAACATACCCTGATATACGCGGGTACAGAAAATGTGTATCATATAAAAATACCCACGTATAATTTAGTGTCTTCATGATGGTAATCGATATAATTCCGTATTTTTTCATTTATTAAAGCGATTCGAATTAAACTTTTTGCCAAATTTTTAATAAAAATAACTAAATTGTGGAATATGGAACTATTTTTGTATAACGTGTATCTTGAGATATTTATATAAATAAAATTACATGTTGATCGAGACACCACATGAAGAAACAATTCATGTGATGATAACGATTGATCTGAAACTTAAGGATAGTTTTATTTATCAACAAGGAAATTTCTTTAACCAATTTTTTTTCTATCGATTATCTTTTATCAAAAAGTCGTCGGAAACTCGGAATTAGCGGAATACATTTTCTTATTTATTATTATGTAATGGAAATAATAATAATAGTAATAAACATACCTGAAATATCTGAAAAACAAAAATAAGTGTATATTTATAATCACTTAATCGATTTATAAAGTTTTTTTTTTAAAAAAAATTCCATTTTTGAATATTTTTCACCGTCTAAAACTGACAATAATGTGTCAAAAGATTCAATTTAATATCACCCTGCATATTAGGCATAACTGTAAATAGCTATCGACTATGATTTTTTAATTGGTAACAAGTAACAACAGAAATATCAAGTCATTATATATCAAAGCGAAGCGATTGACTGTTATATATAAAGCAAGCAATTGAACCGGGTTTTAAAATCTCACTCTACATTTGAAAAAATCACTATTTATAGATATTTAAAATTTTGTTAAATTAATCAATGATTCATAAATTAACTATAAACAGTATGATCATCTCACCTGTCAGTTCTGTCACGTCCGGGTGGACTATAACAGTTTCATTTTAATCTCATTATAATTAAAATTTTATTAGTAAATTATTTATCTAATTCGTCGGATAGTTTTTGAGATGTTCCATTTCTTTCATTTCTACTGTGGAATTATTGGCCCGAATTAAATTCAAAATTTTTGATAATGAAAACTTTATAAAAGAAATTTAGTTTGATTTTTTAGGAATTTTCGGTTTCGATTATGTTTTTCAACTTCATCAGCATTTGCTTCATAAATAATGGTCGGAGGAAAATAATTCCTGTAATTTTAAATAAAAATAATGTGTTAGCATACATAATTCATCACGAACGAGTGAAATTAAACGATAATACAGATAACATAGGGAAAGTTAATTTGAAGTTTGAACATACTCGTTATTGCGTTCTGATGGCAACATACATACGGGTTCAACGAATGCAATGTGTCGTGCATATCAGAATTTTCGGATGTTTTCGTGTATATATCATTTACGAATGCGACTTTTAAGGAAAAAGAATATTAGTAATAAGGCACGTAAGAAGGCACTTAAGAGCAACAAAGGATATTTACAGATACATACTTAAAAGATTCACAACTATGATTGTTGTAAATATTGAGAAAATAAATATACAAAGTCTTACAAAATTATTTTTGTCCCATGGTTCTGAATAATCATAGTTACTACTTAAAGATGCTAACCAGACAATTTGGAGTAATTTGTCAAGATTTATAGCTAAATTTTTTACCGTCACTAGATTTGACTCCATTGTAAAAAAAAGAAGTTGCGTAGGTAACCATAAATATAATTGAGAATAAAAGAGAGAGTATTCGAAGAACTTTTTTGCAAATATTCGAAATAACTATATAATGAATAAATTCTAAATAAATTTATCAAAATTTTAGATAGAGTTTATATTATTGAGAATTGAGACGCTTACCTATGATAAAAAGTCCAAATTTTTTGGAGAGTGCACATAAAATACAAATGCACCAATCCATACCATGAAAATTGAGACCGATTGAAAATATGAGAGTATATTTAGATACCAGGATACATGATCATTAGTGAAATGTTCCTGAACATCAAAATTCAGGAACAAATTCAGAAACTTATACTCCAAAATTTCAGTAAATGAAGAAGCAGTTTGATATTAAATTTATAAGGCAAATTCCTATATCAACACGTAAACGCCTAACTAGTAATATAATTGTCCATCGGAAGGTAATGAGTAATTGAAAATAGTTAATTTCCTGTTGGCTTTTATCGTCTAAATTGCCACATCGCTTATCGTTTCTGTGGTATTGTTAATAGTCGTAGCATTAATCGTAACCATTCCTATTTGCAATGGAAAACATGGAAATTATGGATTACATGGCTCATGGTACCACGAGAATGGGAATCAGTTACCTTATGAACCTGAATTAGCGAAGATGTATTCCCAAGATAAGTTGGAATATTGTCTTACCTGCAACACTTCAAGCAATAAACTCAAGTTCGCAATTATAGCATAGAAGTTTATCGTGTACTCTTGCGCTTGTATTTATTTTTTTATCACTTGCATGTATTAATAAAAGTACTGTGAATATTCTTCTCGCTTATCATCTGATATGTAAAAACTACGAAATCCTGAGACTGTGATGCGCGTCACGTTGCGTAACTGATTAACTAATCATCAGATCATTCCGTGCGATAATCAATTTCTTATATAAATCGATATCCCAAATTTATATTAGGCTGTTCCAACTTGATTTTTTAACGTCCCCACCCCCTCTTTTGCCTGAAATTTCAAATTTTCCTCTGTTTATTTATTTAGTTTGTTTAACTTAAGCCCCCCAATTTTTTCAAAAGACCTGGACGTTAAACAAACAATTAAATTGAAACAGCCTTACAAAAAAAAATCTCTTCCCTGTTTGTCCATTGCCATACAAATAAGAACAATAAGAACATCCAAAATATCTACAGTCATGATTTCTGGAACATTGATGTTGGGTTCAAGGAAGTACTTCTATTACCAACATTACTATAGGAAGGAATAATCGTGTTTCCGAGCTCAAGGAAGCTATCAAAGCAAGAAGACAACCACGTTTTGATCAGTTTTCTTTTGATGAACTTAAGCTGTTAAAGCTTAAGAAACCCGTTAATGACGGGCATATTTTCGATATTCGAAATTTCACACTTCAAGTTGACGAGGAAGAGGATGACAATGTAACTTTAATGAAAGATATGCAAAAAATTGTTACTTACTGGCCTGAAAATCAAACGCCTCCCAAAGATCTCATACACGTTATTATAGAAACGCCTGATCTCGCCAGTGTGTCACACAGGTCAAAAATTTAGTCAACGTGATATAACGTATTTTTTTTTCATCTTCACTGTCATATCGCCAATAATACTGAATACTTAAACTTGTGCTGCTTCTTATCGTCAAACCCACCCAAAAAACACATTCGCGTTATCGTAGAGCAACCCGTTTCTGGTGAGTCATAATAATTTTAGTCAAACGCAAGTTAACGTGATCTGGCTTGATTTTTCGATATCTGTTGTCTCATTATTGTTTATGTCTGACGTATACATTGTTTTTTGTTTTGATTAGCTGATAAAAGAAAACATGAGGATCATATTATAACAACAGAAGGGCCATTACACCCACATCAAGGTTCGCTGATGCTTCCTATACACGAAAGAGATATCTTTCAAGTAGTGAAATCTGGTTTTTTGGGAAGAAAGTTGTTTATTATTTATGATCCTTATTAAAGCGGAAAGTTGACTTTTTTGTTAGAGCTTAGGGAAACACTCAGGTGTGAAAGAAGACTAGATTACGTGCATTTCTCAATGCCAAGTATACAGGGTGCATGGAATGTTTGTAATTGAGAGTAGGAAATTCATAACCCCAAAGATTTCCCGAGTTGATGAAAATTTATTATGAGTTAAAATAGTTGAAGAGAGTTTATGAGTTGAATTAGCTGGAGAAAATTTACGAGATTTAAATTCAACTTCTGGGATCTCAACGTAGTTGAGCTTTGGGATAAGTTCGTCCATCTGAATCTTATAGGACTTTTTGACGAGATATGGAAGTAAGTTAGAAACCAAATACATGAATTTAAGATTTTCTACTTTTTTATTCCACTTGCATATAAAGTAATCAATCAGCGCTCCTAGAGTAATTCTTTTTATCTTTTTCATATATGGATCTGAAAATTTCTCTTTCTTCGCTTGAAAGAAAACCAATAAATTCTTTAATTTCCATAGCTTTACATGTCTATTAAAAAACATGAACATAATGATTATTATATTTTATTATCAATTATCAATATTTCCGCCGTACTGATCAAAAATCCAGGATTTACCCTGGATAGATTACCCTGGATGTAATTGTCATCATCACTTTATTCATTAAAAAATTTTGTGGTTTTTATATCATTAAAAAGTTTGGAATTTACATTACAAAATAAATAAAAATTATTGCTAATAATTAATTTGATTGAAACTAAGAACTTTTTTTTTTTTGGTATCTCTTCATTCTTAACAATATCAATTTCTTTTGTCGGACTACCATTAACTTCAGAAGATAATAAAGTAGTTAGTAGTGAGCCGTTTATCATCGATCCAGTAAATTTTAGCGTCGTCATCTATTTGATTTTGAAATTTCGTGTTTAAATTGTTAAATAAAAAAACATTTCGTGTTGAAGCATTTAAAGTATTGGAAGCATAAAATGAAAGAAGAAAGTACATATCCCTAAAGTCCTTTTATAAAATTATTTGATAATAATAGAACTCTCGATCGTAGTTTGAAGCCATCAAAACTGCGCCTGTTATTCCTGCTTACCCGCAGTTTCAGGAGTGCGTTGTTGTTCGTCACTCCTTGATAATCTGCAGCTTTTGATTGATGCTTGATTCTCATGCTAAAAATGTTTTCAAAATAAATAAATATAAATTTGTTGAGTAATTTCTTTTTCTAATTGTAATTATTATTTATAGTAAGTTTGCAATTTTAAAAAAATTAGGCGTATGACTTTATTAGTGCAATAAGTACTGTGTCATGCGCAATTAACTTTATGATTAACGAATTTAGTGTGTCATGTAATGTAACTTTTCGTTATGATCAATCTAATTTATACATGTAAAATAATAACTTTTCGTTATGATTAACGAATTTAGACATGTAAAATAATAACTTTTCGTTATATTAAATTAACAAATTTAGTATGTTATGCGCAAGAATAACTTTTCATTATGATTAATAAATTTTGACTAGTACGTACTGAGTCGTATTGTTGTTATTGTCATTATTATACATATCAGATTTCCAATTCCGATAATACAAAAACTGTATAAATATACCTCTTCCGTGCGTTTAGGAAAAACTTAAGTACTATATGTATGATACTGTCATGTGATCATCATGTGCCAGTTCGGAATTGATCGATGTTACGAAAGTTTAACATATTTGACATATCAAACATGTCATATTACACATATTAGATATATTATATATCTTAAACTGAATAATATATTGATGGTATATTAACAATATATTAATGATTTAATAAAGACATATTAATAATATTTACTATGTTTTTATATATAAAAATGCAGTTTTGTCGTTATAATAAAAATAAAAATAATATGTCATCAAAAACTAATTTAATTAAAAAAATACTAACAAATCCTACAATGAAACCACCCGCTGAATTTTGAACAGTCTGGGCACATACCATATTTTCCTTCCACCCAAAGGGGTCTGATTGTATCAAAAATATCCCATTGGTACTTAACACAACCACAACAGTTGGAAGACATCACGTCATCCCGTATAACGCAGTTAGGTGAGAAGGTTTTATTCTATTAGAGTTAGGATTTAGTTGTGATAATCATATGTGTGTATTTTTAAATGAATAAATAAATTTCATTAGTACTTGGTGTAGAGAAAAAGATAGTAAAAAGATAGTAAAAATTTTCATAAATAATAACAGTATATATTCATATAAAGAAAGAATATAAAAAAACTTACCGTGTAAGTGTTTTATTTAATTGAATATAGGATTAAGGTGAGTCTTCTCAGAGTAAATTCAGGTGTACCAAGTCTATCAAAAAACCACAGGGATCATTTTTAACGACTGTAAAGTTAGATAGCATTAAAGTAGTACATATTTCTCATATAGTTAGTATTCAGTAAGTCGTACTACTATTATTGCAATCATGAATAAAATGTGCGTTATTAACTAAATCTATTGCAGATAATGGAAAAACATGTTGTCAACTATTACCTGTTTGTATTTTATATATCAGACAGCTATCTCCAATTGATATTTAACTATAAAATAAAAATTATAAAATAAATATTCAAATTCTACTAAAGATTCTTTTTATCGACAAACGTTAATAATGTGATATAGTACGTGATATTTGAGATAATTATAATTTTTATTGTAAAGTATTTTTTGATAAATTTAAATTATTATAAAATTATACATTAGTGTAAATTTATGTATTTGTAATGTTGTGTGCAATTGCAATCTGTTCGCCCACTCTATAATGTCTACCTAAATTAGCAAGTACATCAACATTGCTATCCTTTTGGAACACGAGAACGATGTCAGATCCACCAAACTGGAAATGAGATATCTCATCCCCTTTCTTCACTTTAGGATTTGGATTCTCACGACTTGGTATAATTTTATCGTTGAGGACCACAGAAGACACCTGAGCCATACCGACTGGTAAAACAGCCACTAACCCAAATTGTGATTTGATTATAACCAGACCGCGAGACTGGCAGAATTGATACCCCGGATTGTCCGGAGCTTCCGGACGAATCGGAACATTGGATGTTTCGCTGAGTGTTTCGTTGTCGATATTTCGAATAGGTGCGAGTACCAGTTCGCCGTTAGGGTCTTTTTTTACAACAACTTCGAGATAGACGTGGCCTGGAATGACTTTGGCTTCGAGCACTGTGCCATCGACAGGAGCGTGCTGACGGTGATAGTCAGATGGTCCGAGAAATGCGTGCATAAATTTCCCGTCAGCAAATTGATCTCCGTATATACTATCATCAAGTAATTCTTTAATGCTCCAGCGGATTTTTTTTAAAATGACGGTTGAATCATTTCTGATATTCCAACAGCCATCGAAGGTTGAGTCTGCACCACTCACGATAACGGCTGGATTGTTAGGACCATCGATGGGTCGGGTTCCCTTCGTGAAATTTCGCGCGAAGAATTCGTTGAAAGAATGCCCTAGCCAGCCTCCTTTGGGAATCTCGTAGGCATCCAAGTTGTAGTTCTGTGCAGTATAAAAACTCCGCAGAGTTTCTTCAGTAAGTGATTGAGGCGTATCGAGAAATCTTCCCATTTCGTTGGCAAAATCAACCATCCATTGGGATAGCTCCGATAGCCCCTTTTGGGAACACCCAGGCTCAATGCGTGACTGATAATCTATGACAGATTTCTGATCGAGGACAAAATACATCGTGCAAATCATACGGTAAACAAAAGATCCTGTTTCATCTTCTTTGGGCACCCAATACACAAAATCATTGAGAAAATTGTAGTAGTCGGATAAATTTTTTATATAGAGCATTTCTGAGATGCCTGTACTATGTGCGTCAGCGACCGCCTTTTCAAAATCGGCTGTCCAGTTATTTCTGTCAATCATTTTCTTCAGAACATCAACAACTTTAGAATGACGAGTACCATTGAAAGGCCCGAGAGGTTTGTCTTTTACTATGCAGCGACTATCGACATAATCTGGAGTCTCTGGAGTCACAGAAATAGTAAAGGTGAGAAGAATAAAAATCAATAATAATAATTTTGGTTGCATGATTCAAATCAATTCAATTTGTTAAGAATTTTCTCATCTTACTTAAGGTCTTTTTATAAGGAAATTTTTTACAATTTTTGCAATATTTCCTTTGAGTCAAATAAGCCTATTATTTCGTAGACAGAGTAGATGAGGCTACAATGAAACAAACAGCCGAACAGTGCCACATGAATTTTTTGTTTAAATTTGCAGTATGGTCATAAGGTTACCATTTATTTTAATCTACAGAAGACTTCCACGTCTAAAGAAACAGAGCCTTAACTTCAAACTATTACAGTTTGATCTTGATGTAACGAAGCCACGATATAACGAACTCTTGACTTATCCGAACTTTTTTTTAAAAAACCGGGTTCATGTTATTTAAAAAAATCTCAATATACCGAATTTTATATAAAACTTGATATAATGTATACCGAACTTTTATTGATTTACCGTTTGTAAAAAAATTCTTGATATACCGAACTGTGAGCATGTGGTTGGAATTTCCCATAATTTACAGTATATCTTAATTCTGACCAAAATTAATATTCTTGTCACGTGACACATATATACCTATAGATAATAATTATTGCGTCAGTCACGCATTAAAGGATTAATTTGTAGTTATATTTAACAGATAAAAAAAAAGTCCGTCAAAATCAGCATGATCCTAATAGACTGACCAGGTATATATATCAAGACTTGACAGTATGTATTTTTAGAATGAAGAAATACATTTCTCCAAAAGGAATTCTGGTATTTCACTCTTAACAATTAACAATTAATATCAAAGAAACTGGATATGTTTCCCATAAAAAGGGCAATGGACGACCAAAAAAAATAACGCATAAATCATTATGTTCACTTAAATAATATAATTTTCAAGATAATTCATAGTCATTACTCACAAAGTTATAAGATATGCCACGTTGACCGTTCATTGAGGCTTTATCCTTAGCTACACGTTGCTTTGCAAGGTGTATGTAGGAAGCCACATCGGTGGCGCAGTTGTTACTATTTTTATCATTGTGTAATATTTATCTCTGGAAACAAAACAAAAAAAAAAATCCTTTGTTTTATGTATAAAAAATATACTGAATTTCTTTTTATTTTACATATAGTATAACCTGTCTCTTATACACATCTAGATGTGTATAAGAGACAGATACTAGGCACATACGTCATCACATAAGAATGGGAATATACAGATTCAAGTATAAGATAGTAAAATTGTTTGTTTTATGTATAAAAAATATACTGAATTTCTTTTTATTTTACATATAGTATAACAGTACAATACATTTAACAAAAATATTTTACTCAACTTACTCAACTTACGGGTAAATCAACCCGTGAAAAAAAGTTTATGTATAAACATAAACAAAAAATCGTGGCTTAGTTGTGCCACTGATGCCACTGATCCCAGCCCATATGTATCACAATTGTCACTATTTTTGCTGAAGCTTCTAGACTTTTTAAGCATTCAAACAATTTGCGTACACTTTCTAATGTAACACAATTGTAAACCGATCACGTGTTGGCGCATATAGAATAGGATCGACATTTATTTATACATGTACACGTGATAAAGTGTAAATGCACTTTTTAATGTAACGATCATATTAAAAAAAATAATTAATAGACTTTTTCAATGAACGGCTACACAAAATCACTCGGAGAAAGGAATTTTTTCAAGCATCTATAATTGAATTAAAGCACTGCACTAACAGAAGACCATCCCAAAATCATCCACGATCTAAATATCAAAATTCGGAATATTCAGATTTTGTGCACAATAAAAATAAATAAGCAGTGAGATTTAATATCTTTAAGGTTAGCAGCAGCATCATCATTTACCGCGTATGTTTTTATTACTTGACATTAGTAAGATATTCTATACTACAATAATATATTTCCTAAATTTCGATGCAAATTTAAATCGAATTCCTAGCTTCAATATTGACAGAGTTATATCATAAAATGTATTTTCACTTCGGTACTTAAAGTTTACTTGTGAGTTATATTAGTATTATTCGGAGTCCTATTCATTGAATATTAATAATTTATATGTATTTATTTGTATTTAAACAAGTATTTATTTATTACTAACATTTTACATAATTACATTAGCCAAATAACACACTAACACGCTTCTTATTTTATTTAGATTTATCATTATTCTGGAGCTCTAATTATGCACTGCAATAACCACGAGGGGAACAGGGAGAATCATCATGTTCACAGGTATAACCTGGAGGGCAATCAACATGATCGCAACAAATTGGTTGCGATATCGAAGCAACAGCAGCAGCAAGGGTAGTTAGAAGAAGCAAAAATAGGTTGAATTTCATTTTTTTTTTCTGTTGATTTTTACTCTTTTTTTTAGAGAAGAAAATTTTTCTATTTTATTTTTCAAATCGTGCGGAATCAAGAGCGTATTTATACTTATTAGAGGAGGCTATAAATCTGAATGATTAGATTAGTGGCAGTGTCAAACTGGTGCGCCACTCCACTATGACAGTAAAAATGTCATAGCCATGTCGTATCACATCAACATAATCACCAGTTCATTATAACATTGCGTAAATATAAATTCCAAAGTGAAATTATTTTATTTAAATTTTCACACTCATTTTAAAAGATTGTAAAGTGTTATGTGAAAATCAAAAAACTTATAATTATATTACTGAAACCTTTATTGATAAATATTCTGATTACTTTCCAATTTATTTCGATAATATTAATACATTTAAGGAAACAATTACATTAATTATAACAATTTGAAACAACAACAATTACGAAATATGCCTTGTAGATAAAATAAAGTCAACCCTGGATAGCTTTCCAGGAGTTTTGGCTCAGTATAGACTAGAGCGAGTTCACAATCTATATAAAAATGATCAACGCTGATGTCTGTCAATGTCGATAATTGTTTAAAACAATTGAAGTCTTTCTCCATTTATCAAAGAATCAAAGAATCACTAAGCCTATATAGACGGCGTTAAGTGAAGACTATTATTACCAGAAACTGCTTCTTTTGTTTTCTTTTAGTTCACAAGTCTTTACCTTTAACTGAAATAGAGTTTGGCGAAGCCTGAAGACCTTTAACTGAAATAGAGTTTGACGGAGCCTATATAGACGTGTGAAGCTACGTCATCCTGACCATATAATAGATGGAATTCAATATCAGGCCCTAACCCATAAAATGAGAGTTCCTTTTTGCTATTCCATACTAATCTTTTTGCCAGGCATCCGAAATAAACTCACCCATATATTTTCTAAAATGGATCCGCTCAAAGTTATAAATAAAAAACAATAAAAAACTTTAATCGGCAGTTTTAATCTTCTTTCTTTGTCGCTAAAACGAGAACAAATGTTAATTATGAGTAAGGCAAGATCACAATTAATATATGAACTTTTATAATCATACATCTATATCGATTTCTTTATTATTTACACGTTTATTTACACGTTTCGCTGCATTCAATACATTAAGCTCAAGATTTGAAAAGAAATGTTCAGAATTAGAATGATCGATTATGATTAACAGTTCATTCGCTAGACAAATTGATGAAGACCAAAGAGATTAAAATTGACAAGCAGGTATAATTATAGGAAACAAATATAAAAAGTAAATACCTTTTAGGTTATCAGCAGTTGCCTCTTTCTCTGGCATAAAGAATGCTGTAGATGGATAATCGAGAAAATCGTGTAGATTAAATTTCTTCATATTACCCCTTGAGCAAAGTATGGTTGAGTCATGAAGGTTCCGAATAGTCGCTTTATAAGAGAGTAATTCTAGCTTATCAATATTCTTAATGTCATTAAAGAGAGAATGCTCCGCGCAAATCTTCCCATTGAACAATTTCTCAAGTGTAATAGTCAAGTAAGGCTCAAAAAGAAACCCCGCAGATAATGCATTATAATGTACTGAACATAGATCTTGCAAAAGCTTTTTCTCAAGTTCATTACGATCACGACAATCTTTCTCAATATATTCTCTAAATGCCAAAAAGGGAATCGTTTCTGCTATTTGCATTTCAATAATATCCTTTTGAAAAATGTCTCGATCAGATGCTAGGCCTTTAAAATCACAAAGCTAAGCAAATCCATATTGAACCATTTCGATAACTCCTTCTCCTTTCAATTTCATTGAACAAGTAGAAAACATGCTAAGAGTCACGATATCTATTACTATATTCCATACTTCTTTATTACACAGTGAAATTCGATATAACGGAACTAGCCTTATACCGGAACTTTTTTTGGAACCAAATCACATATATTAAAATAAATTTGATATAACGGAATTTATTAGTAAAATCTCGATAATGGCTATAATGGAACAAATAACAAATCAGTTATAATAAAAATGATTCGATTTACCGGAACACGTGAAGATTCATGATTTTAAACCAATATTGAAGATCCAGATAAAGATTCTTCAATATTTTCAACATTCCTAGTCAATATATTCAGAAAAATTCCATCACTTTATAAGGATGTAATATAAATAGAATTTCCTTAATAAGTTGTTTATTTGGAAATATTAATATATGTGAAACCCTAAAAATAAGTACACGAAAGCGAAATCTTTTTTTTACACTTTAATCACTTGAAAATATGTCTAATAGTGAAGTAAGAAAAAGCAAAAACAGGGTAGAATAAATGATTCTTTTTAAGTTTTAGTTAATTACAGTGTATAAAATTTATCAAATAATGTTATAAATAAAAATAATCTAAATTTTCAATGTTCGTCGCATATATCGCACAAATAAAAACTTGATATAACGGAATTTCGTGTGATTTATATATAAAATCCGGTATATCGAAATTTTTTGGTATATCGGAAGTCTCGATATACCGGATATTTTTACTGGAACGGATAGTTCCGTTATATCGAATTTCACTGTGTACTACGTAATTTAGGGAAACTAGTACCCTTAAAGGTCAAAATTATGAAATTCTTCGCATTACATTGCCACACCTCCACACTTTTATTCACTTCGCGGGACATTGAGGAATTATCTAATAAAGATTCCAAACTGAACTACAAATCGTCGGCGACCCCGAAAAATATTGAAGGTGCTTTCCATTGATTCATCATCTAGTGGTAAAAAACGCTTAATATACTCGCTCATCACAAAAATTTCGTAAAACCCATCGTGTATGCTGAAAAAATCCTTAAATGTGGGACCATTACGTTTAGCAATAGAAGAGGAGGTATAATTTTTAATGTCGTCAAAACTCATTCCCGTTCCGGATAGTATAAGACATAACTTCTTTGTGGTGATTGGAGTACTGTCCGAAGCAAGAAAACAAAGAATGATCGTAACTCATCATCAGGATTTGATGGGGGAAACATTTTCTCGTACTTCCTGATGGCCGATTATGATTCATCAATTGCAATTGGTAATTGCTCTTGTTCAGGGACAAAACTTGCAAATTTCTTGATAAATATAGTGACAAGTTCATTATGACATAATGGATCTGCGAAAAACATTTGCAATGGAAACCCAGAAGTCGTTACCATCATTAATTTGCGATGGTAAGAGTTGCATTAGAAGCCATTGCTTTGATGTAAAATTTGTAAAGTTATTGTGTCTATGGAACTCTAAAAGCTTGGTTAAAATGAATAATCGGCCAAGAAGCATGGCACGAGTGTATCTAAGTGCTATATTATTATTTTCTTGAGATTTGCTTTTGCTAGAACTAAGTTAAAGCTCAAATCGGCAATAGCTGTATCCATGTCCCGAGAGCCCAAATTATTTTCGGTGTTCAACGAGAAGTAAATTCCATATGCTCTACAAAGTAATTCATATAAGGAACGGGTTTTTCCAGATCTAGAACAAAAAAAAGGGAAAAAGAAGGAAGTCATTCATTTGCCTTCGCCCATTAAGCCACAATGATTCTTATTCTTACCCGGAAGTGCCTATTAAAAAGAGCTAATTTTGTTCCATAACCTTTTTAAGTAGTGTAGAAATCATATCTTCATGGATGTAACTTTCATTGTCAGAGTCCGGTAATGAATGCAAAATGAAAGAAGGTCTTTTATTAATCACAGGAATTCCAGATGCATTAATACTATCTTTATATATGTGGTTTGAAACTCTAAATTCTTCCAGTTCGATTTTTTTGATCAGTTTGTCCTTCAATTTTGTCCAGTGAGACTCCGCATTTGTTAATACTTCATCTTTGTTTTCAAATACTTTTGATGGAATAAAGCTTTGTTAGAAAGTTTTTTGACATCGTTCCAATAGATACTCGAAGTTATTTAACGAGAAATACAGTACCTTGCGTAATGCCTCGCGAAGGACCTGCTTTAACGCGAGAGAAAAAATGACGTCAGATCAAATACGATGAGATAACGCGTTCTTGTTCGAGAGGTAAAACGTTGGGAGACACTAGAGGAGGTTGCACGACTATGTGGATGATTTCATCCAGAAACTCATATCCGACTGGAAATTCCTTTAAAAACTTTGTACTTGATTTCAACTCATCACTAAGTTCAATGTTTTCATAAAGTTTCTTGTTAAGTTCCTTCAATGCCTGATTATCTTCATCAAGAGGAGTTACAAACTTCCTTAGTTTCAGTTCATTGGCTTTGTTGTTGTTGGGCCTATCAGTTTTTTAATATGCCCAAAATTTAACTTTTTAAGGCTGACATCAAGACCATTATATTGCCGATGTCAACCGGAATTGCACTATAAACAGGTGTGCCTAGAACGTAGCAAAATAACGTAATTTCGGCCATATATCTATTAGGTAGGGAATTTTCCTCGAATCTAGTTTGTACCCTGAACGGCGAAAGTATTCGAGATCGCGAAGAGTAGCTTGATATTTTGTTTATATGTCATGTATATATATATTATATATATTTTCATAAATGGTTGTTGAATAATTATTACGAGCTGTGAGTCAGCGATGTTCAAGGATCTGAAAAAAAATTTTCAATAGAAAATCTCACAATGTCACATGCGGGTGCTGATCAAAATAATCAGGTGTTTTTTCTCTGAGCTTAGGTTCTTATTAGGCGGCGAACATAAACTTTCTTCATCACCTTTATAATATTTCCTTAGTTTCTAGTTTCTTTACAATATAATTTAAGTAATTATGTTTAATACCTTTAAAGATGGATTACTATATCTTTAGAATATAATTTAATTAATTTAATTAATTATATTATTAATTATGTTTCATACCTTTTAAGATGGATTACTGTATTAATTCTACTCTTTGTGACCATTTGAGAAAAACATCACGGCATCCAATTTTCATGACTCTTGGAAATATTCCCTTAGCACGTCACAACAAAATTGATGCTAAAATTTTACTTGGTTATATACCAAATCTTGAATCTTACAATGTATCTGAAAAACAATCAACCAAGTTTCGTATAGCAATACGCAAACTTTTTCATCATGCTCTTGCAACTTTATTAAAACCTTTGAAAATTATAAGCAATACTGGTATTCATCTGTATGTCAATGATAGTATCAGATGGTTTTATCCATTACTAGCACTTATAATTTCAGATTGACCTGAAGCTTGTACAATGTGTAATGTCTATGGGACATCAAATTCTTTACATCCATGTCATTTTTGCCTCGTAGACCATAATGCAATGAATGATGTATATTAACGAAGAAAACATTAAAATTCGTAATGAAAATGATACTAAAGATGCTTTGCGCCATGGTAATGGTAAGCAAATCTCAGTATATAATATAAGAAGTGCTTTATGGAAACAACCGTGAGTAACTCAATTTTGAAATTAACTTTGGTTTAAACTTTGGATAATAAAATTTATGCATGTATTTATTTATTTTTACAACAGATTTTTTGACATTTATACGTGTGCCACAGATCGCATGCATCATGCAGATCTTGGTCTTTATCATTTGGAAATTGATCAAATTTTCAATACCAATTACGATCCACGATTGAATTATTAGATTTAAAATATGGAAGCGGTCCAATAAAAATCCTTGAAAAGCGTCTTTCACAAATTCCTCGTTATCCAAACTTTAAAATTTTTAAAAATGGATTTGAAAGACTTAATCGATTAACCACATCTGAATATCGTTATTTAATGAAAATTATGCTGCTTGTCTTGGATGAACTAATATTGGATAAAAAACTTAATAAGAATCTATGCAACCTTTATTTTTTATGGATTGATATGTATATGGAGCCACTGACACAAATATACTGAATCTGATCATCTTGAATTTGAGGCAAGTCAAGTTAATTACAAATATTTCAATAAAAATAATATTAATTTTTTATTTTTTTTTTTAACAGAAATTAATTATTACATGGAGTGATTATTTATTAAACTAATGTCAAAATTCTCTCCATAAAACTTAAATTTACCTAAATTACACAGTCGGTGTTACCATTTAATACCATCAATTCGCCAATTTAGTGCTATTAATGGTTAAACTTATGAATTGTTACATAAAACTAATGTTAAACAGCTGTATCGTATGACAAATAAATTTATACAAAAATTTTTATAATGACTTTTAAATCAAAATTACACTAGCCCCCTATATAGCATATATTTATTATTAACAATTTTTTTAGTGCGCACATATTATAATAGTAGAAATCGCTTATAATTAGGCATTACACATATTGGACGAATCTTTTTCTCAAGTATAATAAATAATAGATGATATTGCATATAAAAAGATCTGCAAGAACCATTCGCAAATTACATATTTCGATAATACATTTAAATTACCAGTGGTATTTTCATTCATCGGAAACAAACACATTCTCATACTAGGATTAAGATGGTACATTTCATGCAGTCACATGATTTTTAACTAAGATCGCTACATAAATCAACCATGTGACACATTAGTATAAAAGTCACGTTACCGAAAATTTTCTGGTTAATTTACATCTGATCGGCTTAGAAATCTTTCTAATTGTAATAATGGCAATGAAGAACGATTTGAAAACTCTTGATAATAAACTTCTTGACTTATTACATAGAGCTCATATTTTAGTAGGAACCACGCAGGAAGAGAGCAAAGGTATTCAATAATTTAGGTTTTTTTGCTTTTCCAAAATAAAAAAAAGAACTTTTCTTTTACTTATATTTATTATAGACTCTTCAATTCATGAGAAACTAAGTATTAGATTGAGTCAATTTGAATCTTGTATATGTGAAACCCAAGAAAATGGTTCTGAAATTGCAGCGGAAAATCCATTGGAAACACAAATTCACAAACCAGAAGTTTGTTTTCATGACGAAAATAATATAAGAGGGAATTTTGTAGCAAAATGTCTGGAAACTTTAGAATCCTTACAATATACTCTTATGGATATTAATGATATTGAAGGTATTATAGGTTAAATTGATTTATTTATTTTTTTGGCTTCTTTATATTAATTATTTTGTTAATTTTCGTAGAACATAGACAAATCGAAAGTACCAAACCGTTAGAGACTGACCCTGAATTCTTAGGTATTAGAGATCTAAGACTTGTTCATACAATGTTGGAGATAGTTATAACTTGGGGTGTTTATCCGTGTCTATTACCGGGTGTTGGTGTTCCACTCTCGAGAAGGACTAAATCGAGTTATATTCAGAATGGTATTGACTTTAGTAGTGTATGTTTATGAATTTATAGATGATACTTATTTGCTAAATTTAAATTTTTCAGAACTTTTGCAAGATTTAACTACTGAAGAAAATAAATCTAATAACATGGCATCATCGTATTCACTGTACAGTCAATTATATAAGTTTATGAGATCCTTAACAAATATTATGCTTTCTAATTCAAGTAAATCAAGGATATATACTTCCGTATCATCTATTTTATTCTCAAAATACCTCGCAGATATTTACGGGGCATTATTACAGTTGGCTTATGGCCCTTTACCAATAAAGCAAACCGTGGCGGTTACTCCTCATAATGATGACAACAATGAACTAGAGAGGATACATAAAGAAAGTGTGGGGATGTTTCGCAAAGTTTTCCAAAGGTAAGCTTATTCTTTATCATAGGATAAATAATTATAATTTAACCTTCTGTATTAAATTGTTTTAGTGCTGATTCATTCCAATCTCTGGAAGCTTTGACTGTACTATTGGGATCCTCTCCACTTCATCCATCACCCAAATGGTTTAAAAGTGTCTGTGGAAGATTTTTATCGCAGATTTTGTTACGTCCAAGTGGAATAAGAGATGTGATGGAATTTATGATTGGAGGTGAAAACGAAGGTTATTGTCAAATCTCTTTAAATCAATTATTTATTTCGAAATTATTAAATCATTTTTTTTTTTGTTTATAGTTAACTTAGCTAAATTGGAAACAATCTCCAAATTAATACTGTCTGTTCCAAGTCAAGTAAAATCTGTAGAAGTGAGTCTTAAAATCTCAAATAACTTTACGTATAATTTATATTTAACAGATCGTTCTTTCTTCTTTATTAGCAATATTTTTCAGTAGTATGTCCGCAATTACTTTCTTTAGTTCAATCAATTTTAAACCCTTCAGGAAGTTCTAAATCAGCAACACCAGCAATTGCTAGTGTTGCTTCCTTTACTATCATAAGAATGACCAATAAATACCCAGAATTAAGTAAAAAATTCATAATAACCAAGATTTTTGATTCATTATGGAAATGGTGGGGTATCACTTCAGAAGAGTATAATAAAATTATCGGAAACAGTTCTACCGTCACGTCATCTGAGCTTGATCCATTGATAATGAATGAACAAACATTACAAACCACCATAACTGTAATACATCGAATTCTAGTTGGCAGTGAACCAGTTCCTGACTTGATACAAATTTTTTTAGAGGATGCGATAGCTCCTTTATATCATTTATATGATTTTACTTGTTCTTCAAAATCTCATTTGAAAGATACTATTTTTGATATTTTATTATCATATTTTAAAATTGTATCAGTGAGTGAAGGTATTACAGCATTGAAACAAATTGTATTTAGGAAGAATAAAAAATGGAAAGCTCCTACTATAGGAGAAATTGGGGAAGTGTATTTTGCTCCTGGATCTTCTGGCGGGGTGGTAATGAGATTACGATTGTAAGTCTTAAATAAGTTAATTCGAGATAAATAAGTTGAGGTTATTTCAAATAATAGGCTGATATTTCTTATTTCTTTATATTGTAGAAATTCGTTAGATTTATCCGATATGACCACCTCAATTGACGTTGATGTTTTTATAGATTTCCTGAAAGCAATCGCGAATAAAGAATTATCTGGAGATTTTTTTATGTATTTACTCTCGGAATATACTTCTTCATTAGCTCAACAACAAAATTATTCACATAAAATAGATTCAAGACGGTATGTGTACAAGTTATCATTTTGTTATTTTATCATCAAATTATTCAGATATTTACTGTATCATTATTTATTATAGTATCTTTACATTGCTTCATCTTGTTTTAGCAATGATTGATGGTCTTGGTTCATCTATTTTACAGAAACCTGGGCAAATGATTTCATTTGTTAATAATGTATTGGAAAGTTATCATCAAAAAGGTGCCAATACGGAGAAAGAAAAAAAAGGTATAAATAATTCTGGTATATTAGGTGAATTAGGTAACATTGTAAATGATGAAGATGTTGATGGTGAAGTCTCTGTTGAGAGTGACGATGATGATGAAGAGTTATTATCTTTAGCTTTGATGCTTTTATCATCGTTGTTGCAAGGTAGTGATCTTTTAAGTTAATCAAATGTTGGAATTATTTGCAATCTAATTAATTATTCAAGATCCTATTAATTATTCAAAATTAAATGATTTTTTTTAGAACATAAAAATCTTTCAATTCAGGATTTGCATATTTTGAACCTTGTATTTGATAATCTGGAACCTCTCCAAAATCATTCTTCATCATCAATTCAATCATTAGCACGTAATCTTCGTCTGACAATTTCAGCACGCAGTGCATCTAGATCATCATTACTTAATTCGGAAGAATCTATACAACGACAAGAATCACTAAAAAAATATCAAGAAGCTATGGATGCATTACAAGATGAGATATTACCTATAAAAGCTCGTGGGATTGTAATACTTAAAGAAATGGTGCTTGAAAAAGATCCATTAATGAATGAAGATGTTAATTTGAATAGGGTATTGGATATCTTCATACAAATGATTCAAGATGAAGAAAGGTACTTTTATTTATTTATTTATTTATTTATTTATTTTATGTAGATCATTATTAATATTGCAACTCTTATTATAATAATCTTAATAGTTTTATTTATTTGAATGCCGTCAAAGGATTATCTTCATTAACGGATATTCATGGAGAAAAAATCATGCGAAAACTAATGACAATTTACTCAAACAATAATCAAAAGATTGATAATCGACTACGTATTGGTGAAGCAATATTGCAAACTATTCAAAGATGCGGAGAAGCGCTTGGAAAATATAGTATGTTGAAATAAATTAGAAAAAAAAAAAAAAAAAAAAAAATTTTAAAAAAAAATTATATATTAAAAATTTTTTTATTTATGAATTGTAGTTACAACCATTCTTCCGCCACTCTTGCATGTTCTCAACAAAGATCAAAATGTAAATCTACGTGTATCTGCTTTGAGTATAATTGGATGCGCTTGTGAAACTTCTCCGTTAGCTCTAACCACATTTTTTAGAGATGTTGTGGATTGGGTTTTAAATATTTTGGATGTTCAAAAGGAAGTTGAAGTTAGAAGAGGTGCGGTTCAAATGTTTTATTTGGTTCATTCAATTTTTTATATCAAGCAGCTTTAACCTCAAATTTCTTTCCTATGACACTAAATCGATATTTTCATGGATATGATCTTTGTATATTTTATTCTGTTTTTGTTACAGCATCAATTGTACTACTAATATCTTTATTTCGTGGTTTAGCTTCACATTCACAAAGTATATATTTAATTCCATCAGACTTATTGCAAAGGACTTATCGTACTTTACAATATATAGAAGAAATAGACAAAGATGAATTAACTAGGTATCATGCTCGAATAGGAATTAGTGATTTGGATATTACTTCTCAAGGAGAATTATTTGGGAAAGTGGATTAATCAAGTAATGTTTCTCGGGATTGTATAATGATTTTAAGAAACAGGATAAGAGGCATTTAATTTAGTATTGTTGAAATCAGGAATTGTCAAAAAAAAAATAAATAAGAAAGTTGATCTATTAAGTATTCCTGTAATGATCGAATGAATACAGCATAAAATCATCGTTGGATACTTCGAAGATATTAGCTAAAGTAATCATAATGAATTGTAATAATAAAGATCTTTAATTTAAATAAAAGTTTTTGATCTAATTTAAATAATTTATTTACGTTTACGTTGCACTTGATTTATTTATTCTAAATTTTTCCGAAAAAATAAATTTTCGATTGAATTAAAAAATTAGTAGTAAAATGGATTGATTAAAAAATCATGTCCAATTCTTTCTTTACACGTGATTATTTATTAAAAAAATTTGAAAACAACCGGTGAGATTTCATTCATTGATTTATTAAAAAAATTTAACAATCGTAAACTGTGTTATTGAATTTATCTTTGAAGACCCGTATTAAACCATTCATTACTATATAAATTTTTTTTAAAACGAAATGACTTGCAGATGAACTTGGAGATTGATTGATGAGTTACAATCTATTTTATCATTTTTATTATCATTAACTTTAATACTACAACGTGCGCGGGGGGAACATCTAATACATGGTCACATACTGGGTATACATTAGTCTTGATTGTATGACATATATCCCCAAATTAGAATCAAATAGTATTCAAGGGAAGGCATGCACTCATGTTCAAGGACATTCTTGAAGACCAGCACCAAAACTAACGTAAGGACATAATGAGCTAAGGATTACATAAAGTCTAATCTTTTATTGGTGGAAAAATTTAATAACATATTCAGTAGTTGTAAAAAGCGTACGTTCTCAAAATTAATAATAATTAAACTAACACCACGTAATTGATAAAAAAAAAAATTTTTTTCCTATCATGAACTGGATTTGGATTTTCTGTCCAATTGTAAAGAAGAAATTAATACATATTAAAATTATGTACGTATCCAATAGTAATTTAATAACACTTCATTGACTAACATCTGATAACTCTGATTCAGTTTTATTTTTTCTGTTCGAATATATCGGCCCGATAATCAAATTTGTTCCTATCATATCGGCTGATTGGAAAAATCAAGCCAATTAATATTTAAGCTCAGTTGATGAGTTCATTATATAACTGATGGGTTACTTATTATCATTAGTGTGGGAGGCTTTTCTGATCAGCCGAATGTACATTTACTAGAATCCAATGAAACATTTAGAATTAGATACAGTATATGTGTAGAGATGATCAAATTCTTCGCTTAAATTATCATTTAAATATGATAATCCCTAAAAGAATACTGGTTCGAATTTAAAAAATCGGATGCTTTGCAGATAAACATGCTTTTTTGAAAAATTTTCAAATGATTCAGACATGATATGTGGGATTAATGATGACGTTCTCGCAGTCCAAATAATACATGATGTTATAGCAAAAGCAAACACTTTTACTGTTTTACAAAGAAAGGATGAGTCTATAATGTCTGTACCTTTTTTTTTATTTAGAAAATAGAAAAAACATGATGCAGAATTTAGGATATTTTTTTTCATAACTGCATTTTTTAATTATATTAATATATAAGTCATAATAAACCATTATTCAATTTTAGTGAATAGAAATTAACGCTATACTAAAATACGCGTCCGCAGTAAAAAATCATAAAACAATAAGTTGATACACATCCGGTTGATGTCCGGTTTATTTGTCCTGATGATCTGATATTTTGTACATCGTATGATACCAGTCGACAAATGAATATTATTTTTAGCACACATTTTGTATTTTGTGATATATCAGATAACTGTCAATATTCATGAACTACAAGTATAACTGATATTAGGATCAGAGTTTATTCCTTTTTTTACTTCAAATCATAAAAAAATTAGAAGATTAAGTTTGAGTAATCGAGAATCAAACCCCGATTAAATCACATTCTACATATGTTAATTTTTTAAATTCATATGATCAATAGAATTTGTGTACCCGATTCCCCGGATCCAATTATATCCGATTTTTTTCCTTTCAGGTTTCTTTGATTTTCTTATCATAAAGCTTACGTTATTTCAATAACGACTTAAAAAAAAAAATCGATATAACAAAGAACAATATTTTTTTTTTTATTTTTTTATAATTTGTAATTCCCCTTATTTCATGTATGAATAATCAAATATGGAAATTTTACAATTAGAATAAGTTACAAAGAAATTACGCAATATTATTCAAGTACGGTTACAGAAAAGTTACTAGTAGAGACATAATGAACTTTATTTAAACTTGATTTGATTAAAATAGTAACCATTTTATATTATGCATCCATTTTTCAATTATTCTATTTTGATGAACTTTTTAGGTATAATGTTTTTAATTTCTTTGTATGTCAATATTACATAAGCTACCTAAATTGTTTAAGTCATCGTCATTACGTAAAAATGAAGGAAACAATCCTATTTTTTATTCCATATAAATATAAAATTTTAATATTATTTTTTTTCTCTTCATTCTTTTCATATTTTTTTTTTTTTTTTATTTTTTTTTTTAAAAAAGAAGATATGAATATCATGGCAAATTTTAATATAATTATACCATTTACATTTATAACAAAAAAATTTAATTCTAGACATTCTTCATCATTATTACAAATAATGAGAAATTTTAATCATTCTTCAATATTACGATCACAAGAATATTATTTAGTAAAATCTCATCATGGAGAAAATTATCGTTTACATTTATCTAAATCAAGGCATTTAGTGGGAATAAGGTATGTATGATATATTTATGAATAAAAAAAAAATTATTCTTTCGAGAACTGTAATAATTTCTTTTTTTTTAAAAAAAAAAAGGTCAACGAGAGGGATTAGAGAATTAAATGAAGATAGATATCAAGCTATGGTTTTAAAACTTTCTGATGATAGAAAAAATCTAAAAGATGATATTATTGTTAATCAACCAATTTTAGATGTTAAAAATATAGAAAATCCAAAAATTAATGGAGAAGAAGCTCAATCAAATCAATCATGTTATTTTGCTGTATTTGATGGGTAAGTCAATTTTTTTTTAAAAAATTATAATCTTTTATTTAAAAGAAAAAAATATATCAATTGATTTCTACTTTCTTCGGGAATCGTATCTTAATAGTCATGGAGGCCCTCATTGCGCTGATTATTTAACTGCTACTCTACATAAAAATATTGAAGATGTCAAAGCATCTGATGCAGATAATATTATCACATCATTAAGAAGTGTTGGAGGGTAAGATTGAAAAAAGGAAAAAAATTCTTTTTTTTAAAAAAAAGAAAATATTTGAGATAAAAACATATTTAAAAAAAAATTTTCTTTATAACGATAGATATTTTGTAAGATACAAACCAGCATCATTGGAATCGTTATTAAGTCCTGAAGTAGCAGATATATCTAAAAAGAGACCAAGTAATCAAAAATCAAGTTTAAGAAAATTTTCTTCTACACCGACATCACAACTTTTATCACCTTCCACGTTACAACAACCTTCAACTCAAGCATTATTACCCTCATTATCACCTACCGCATTAGCATCACCATCACCACCACCGAAAACACTTACAATGGAACAAAGATTATTGTTAGCATTTTTAAAAACTGATAGTGAATTAATGGAAGATAAATCGGTGGGATCAACTGCATCAGTAGCATTAATAAAATCTTTAGACAAACTTCCATTTTGGACAAGTAATAGTCTTGAAATTTCAATAGCACATGTTGGTGATACGAAAATTTTACTTTGTGAAGTAGAAAAAGGAAATTCTGTACCATTAACTTATGATCATCATCCAAGTTCTATCGTAGAAACAGATAGATTAAGAAAATCTGGTGGTTTTATTATAACAGATTCTTTTGGTTCTGAAATGTATTTAGGTAGATTAGCTAATTCAAGATCTTTCGGTGATTTTAAATTAAAAAGATTTGGCGTTTCTGCTGAACCTGAAATTTCTACTCTTAAATTAAGGGGAAAAGATTTTGCTTTCATGGTTTTGGTTTCTGATGGCGTTACTTCCGTATTAAGTAATCAAGAAATCGTTGATTGTGTGAGTAAATTAAAATAATATTAATATAAATATATTTTTATTAATAATTCTTATCTACTATTTTTTTTTTAGATAAAAAATTATAATGATCCAACTTTAGGAGCATCAAAACTAGTTGATCTAGCTGAAGAACTTGGATCTGATGATAATATAACAGCTATGGTAAGATATAATAATGTTAAAGTTTTTTTCATTTATAATTATGTTAATTATGTTTAATCTAAATAATTTTAATTTTTTTTTTTAGGTGGTTAGATTACCTGGATGGGGATCTCCAATGACTGATCAAACAAAGGATTTAAGAGAGTATCGACTTGTACGTAATTCTACCTTTTTAAATCGTAGAATGTAGATAATTTTTAATTTAAAATCTGTAAAATAAAATATTTTTAAAAAGCATAACTTTATTATTAATATAGACATATTTAATTTATGTATTTAATGTGTAAAAAATTAATACATTAAAATGTTGTATAACTATTATTTTATATATATATATAAATATATATAAATATTCTTAATATATGTTTGACATACTTCTAAAAAGCGATTTAAAAATAATTGTTACTGTCACGTTTTTGTAAAATGATTAAATTAGCCTGTACAAAAATTTTTCTTTATCCTTGTGAAAAGCCACTAAAAAAATTAGCTTTTATGTCATGTGATCTGTAATTCTGATCGGGATTATTTGTTTCTGGCCCACACTATTCTGGTTCGCTTTAAAATTCGCGATGAATAAACGTCATCCGGCATACAATTTGGTTAAAAAAAAAATTCTTAGATGCAATTAAATTGATCATTACATTCAATATTTCAAATTTTCAAATTTGTACGTCCGGTTAATCATTAATGCCAACGTTATCACGTGCAAAACTGCAAATGCATAACTCCTAAATTCGGGCCAGTTTGTACGTTAATATCATACACCCCACTGTACGTTAAGGACGCCCATTATGAAAAATCACATTATATTTAAGAATTGAAAGAAAAAAAGAATCTATTGTTTGGTAATTGGTATATTCATGGAAAAATATATTTTATTAATTCAAAAAAAAAAAATTATTTTTATGCAGTATTAAATTATGATGACAAAGTAAAAGATCTATATATTGAGTGCTTGGAATTAGTGTTACTCTGAAGGTTACTATGTTTTTTAAAATCGCATTATTGTTCAGTCAACTAAGGAATATTCTGGTATTTTAATATATATATTATATATATATATATGATCGTTATTTTTTATAGACATCCAATATTTGAAATCAATATTAGTCTATTCTATTTTTATTGTATTTTACTTTGTTTGAAAATAAAAATGTATTTAATACAAACTTAGTAGTATAAAGGTGAAACATCAGATTTTAAAAGGCTTTTTATTTAGTACAGATAAAAATTTTCTTTTTATTACGATTTTTTATTAAATATTATATTTCATCGGTCATATCTTATAGACCGGGTGGGTATTGTTATATCAACGAAATAATTTCTCAATAAAGTGATTACGCGATCCTATTAAAATAATTTATTCAGCTTATTTTACTAAAAAATAATTTATAAAATAAAAAAGAATCACGAAAAACATTTTAAATAAACGTTTCTTTACAGACATTTTGATTATAAAAATTTTCGAAAATTTGCTCTTTGAGGTAGTTAAAATTTTAAAGCAAGAGCACTCTGATCCCAGTACCTATTATTTGACAATAGAGTTTCAAATAAAGTTTTCTCACATGCTTGATTTTTTAATATGTATACTGTTATCAGAAAGATAAAATTATATTGCCTTATTTGAATAAAGTTACAACTTATCAATAGTTAGAACTTGCATCATATTAGGCTTTACAAGCATATTTATTTGAATTGTTATATTTAAAATATGTAGTTTGTGTACAATATATTACGTTACGTGATAGGGTCGTCATGGAGGTAAAAAGTGATCACATAATATTATAAATATTTCAATGTAATAATTATTACACTAGGGAACGGTAACCGTTGGGAATCCGGAGCGAAAAGCGAAATTGTTAACCTTAATTAAACACAGGTAATTCGAATAAAAAAAATATAGACCAGTCCTCATACCGGTTTTCATATGATAAATGATTTTTATATTAAATTTAAAGCTAAAAAAATTTTTTTATTTGCAAAAAAAAAAGAAAAAAGACCGATCATATATTAAAAAAAATATCAAATAAACAATTTTTGTTCTATTTTTATCACATGTAACCGAAAGAATCAATACGAATGGATGGCCATCGACTCATACAGTGAGCGGGTTGACAACGGGACATTTGTGAAGCCGACACGAATAGTATATAGTCCTTCGCTTCGCTCCGGACTAATAACTTTAGGCATCATTCTTAGTAGTGATTTCATTGTTCAAGTAATAATCAGCTTCTTTGTTAACAGTATTAAAGATATATATTTTGAATGAAAGGTTACAAATAGAGATTTTAAACTGTTAATATAATATACTGACACTTTCTTTATAAGAGATAATTATCATAATAATAACAATTTTTTTTGGCAACTTTCATTATTTTTTGAAATATTATTTCTTCTGTTATTTCAAAATCTGTAATTGAAAAAACTATTGAATTCATGTTTATTGACCAGATAGTTAAATAAATTTTGATACTAGCTCTTACAACATAGCAGATAAAACTATTAGTAACTGTTACAATTACTATGATTAATAATAAAGTTGCACGCATAGAATGGGCATAGATGATATTTCATGTAATAATTTTTCTGGTAAAGTAGATGCCATATGCTTAAACATGTGTATCTTTATCTGACTTTAGTTGTTGCCAACTTTTCATAATTACTGTATGCTCAAATTATCTGATGAAATTTCCAGAGTTTCCAAAATTAACCGTATTTCTGTCATATAAAACATGTCATTCATTATGGTTGCATCAATAACCTGATCATGACGGGAGATTTAAAGAAATAAATAAAAAGCGTAACAAGTAATTTTTACTTTCCTGATTCTAGTATATAAATATAATTACGTATCAAAATCCTTAATACAATAGCGTCAAAGTTCTACGCAATAATAATGAAAATTTAAAACTTTAGTAATAAAGTTATAATTAATTTTTTATTAGCAACTCAATTTTTTTTAGACTTTTCTTATTAGTAGACACATTTCACTTGTGCATTAGCTGTATAAATAAATAAAATACTTGAATTATAAAAAACGTGATTTTTACATCAAATCACCGGGTGTGATCATCACCGTTGGCCAGAATTATCAAATTTTACTGGCACTATATTTTTTAATGCTAGTCGATCATCATAATTTCAGTCACCGGTGATCATCATGATCATCACTCCCCAGTGATATTAATTCAATAAACGTAAATAATAAAAATAAAAATGATGGAAATATTCTTAATCGTTCGAAATATCCCTAATATAAACTACAGCAAAGTTATATTGACGGTTATTAAACAGAATATTATGGGCAATAGGATTTCTGTTCCCGCCCGAGTAGGTAAATGTTGTATTTTTGAATGAACACGAATTGCATTAAATCTTTACCTAATTTGCGTCCTCTATAATAAATTAAATATAAATTTAAGATATACTAGTGTAAAAATATATAAGTAATGAACTATTGTCTGTTATCGTCAAAACATATCTGAAAATAAATATTAATTTTTATTCCTTATTTAGAAATTTATCATATAAGTTGTATATGTAATAACTCTATTCACATAAAAAATAAAAATAAATTATCTCGTAAAAAAAAATACATTTCATGAAAAAAAAAAAATTTAATAATTCAGGTTTGAACACTATATAAATATATATATTTTCTTTTTTTTTCAATGTAATCCTTCATCATTCTTTTTATTATCCTTTGGTTCTTTACCGTTATTTTCATTCATTCTTTCATCCTCCATCATTATTTTCATTCCCCTTTCAACTTCCATCCTTCTTTTCATCATCTTTTCGTTCCTCATCTTTCTCATAAATGTTCTATGAAAGTTGATAAACCTGTTACACCATATTCTTGAATATACCAACTTGTAGCATAAATAGATATAATAATAATTAAAGCCGTAAATTCTTTGATTAAATAAACATAAAAATCCACTTCTGCGATTATATATACATAAAGATCCCATAATGTACCTGAAGAATGAATAAACATGGTAGGCTAGATAATACAGTAATATGGCTTGTATATATATATATATTTGTTTAAAAATTCCTTAAGTGAATAAATGAAACGAAAAAAAAAAAAATTTAAAAAGATATAATAAAGTAAAATTGGAACTTACCTCTATAAATTATACTTTTTATATGAATTGTATTTGAAAATTTGAAAAGACGAAAAGACGAGAAATAGTTTTTTATATAACAATATTGTATATATGTATTGGATGTATATATATATAAAATAATAAAAATTATAAAATTTAAAATAAATTGCATTGGTTTTTTATATATATTTTTTCTGGGAAAAAAATAAAAAAATTTAATTTACATTTAAAAAAAAAAAGACGACAAGGTTGTACTTCTTTATATAAATAAATAAATAAATAATAAATATAACAAAATTATCAATTATATAAATTATATTAATTATAATACAAATTTATACAAATTAATGCTTCGTAACTTTGTAGACATAGTTCATAAAATTAATTTTAATTAAAATGAATGATTAAGAAGAGGGTTGTTAGATTTGGGCATTTTTTTTTTTAAAAAAAACACTGTAAATGAATTTACTTTTATATATGAATTTTGTAAATATTATGCTGATCAAATTTTTTTCCGACCAAAAACGTCGAAAACAATTAGCTAAAAGTTAAATCATCGCATGATTTATCGCCTTTTTCAGAAATATGTGTGGATCCAAGCCACCTCAATAAAAAATCAGATTTTCAAATATTTGCGATTATTTCTGAATTAGTAGTATGTAGAAAAAAATACTTTTAAGTGAATAGTTTCCTTATAAGTAAAGCTTAAAACGTTTATGTAAAATTAGATTTTTTTAAAATAGGAAACTCACTTAATTATTTAGATTTTTTACTTCAATTTCTTTAATTACATATGGACCTTTTTCTACGGGAAAAATCGAAATTCGGTTTTTTTTTAGTGGGTGGCTCGGATTACACATATTTCTGAAAACGATGATAATTGATTGACCAATTGAAGATGCCAAAAATTTCAACCTAGATAAAAAAAAAAAATTACTATTACTTATTAGTATTAGTAAGGACTTTCCAATCAGCTGTGATAAGTTTAAACCTGATTTCAGGTACATCAATCTAACCAAATTATACGGTATTTAGGGAATAATGATATACAATGAATGAAACTTTTTTTAATTTTTCGGTAATAATAGAAATAATCGGCATTCTTAAAAATTACTCGAATTATTATTTTCAATAAATAAAAATATGAAACAGAATGAACGCAGCCCATATCACACGTTATACAATTCCTAGATTATATTGATTATCAATATTTATCTTAAATGTTGGTTCTTTGTGATTGGTGATATTATGTTATATTCTAAAAAAGGAAGGAAATAGGCCTTAATTTGGTTAGCAACATGTAAGCAAAACAAGGGTCGTTTTTTAATAAAATTTCAATTAAATTAAATTCAAATTCAAATTCAATTTCAATATGTCAATATCAATTAGTAAAATTGAACGAACAACAGTTTGGAAGATGATCATCATTTACGTGCTAACATGTGAACCCAATTTTGATTGAATAATTTAAGCCGCATATATAGTAACTATAAATAGATTAATACTAACAAAATTACGCTTTTCTTTAATAAATTGTAATAAAATCATAATTTTGTGACTTTTTTTTAATAAAACAACACTTTTTTTTTTGATATATTGTTATATGACAAAAAAAAAACCAATATACAAAAGTGATTCATTTACTTTTTATCATTTGTCATTTAAATCAAAAAAATACTCATTTAAACGAAAAAATTTAAAATATATTAAATTGCTAATATCAAAACCATTATGTATATACTTTCAGTGTACAAAAAAGTATCAATAATGATATCTTACAGAAAAATGTAATGTATAGTAGATCCGAAATTCCAAATATAGTCGCTTATAATGAATGCCGTCCCAAATCCTAAAACTCAAAATCCCAATAAGTACAAAATCTGACGAGTCAAAATCCTGATGTGTCAAAACCCTGAAAATATCGGAAATTTTAGCAAGAATTTTTGTTAGTTTTTAGTTAGTCTTGATTAGGATTAAAATCAGTTTTGTCAGGATTTTGGATTTTGGATTTTGAGTTTCAGGATTTTTTCATAAAACAAACATAAATTATAATATATAGGTATAATAAAAAAAAAATTAAATTTTTAAAAAATATATTTTTGTATATTTAATTTATTGTACATATTATATATAGCACAACTAATTATATTTTGAAGGATGGCCATAATAGTATATACATACTGTAAAATGGCTGTTATTTTTTTACATGATGGTTTCTTAAGACATGGGTGGCTTCTAATGTTAACCAAATGTCGTCAATTTTTGACATGGATTTATGCAATAAACCGGGCACAACAATCGGCTCATCATTTACATTTTTTTTTCGAACGGGACTCAAATTTATTCGGAATTTCTTTTTTTCTTTCTCAGTTTTTAAAGAACCGGTAAAGCACACTGTTGATGATAATTCTGTGTTGGATTTAGACAATGTTCAATTGATTTAATTGAACATTGGATATCCAAGACACATGTCCAAACCAATTGGATAATGTCCATATTGTCCAAATCCAATAATATAAAAATAATTGAATAATTGGATATATATATGTCCAATTGGATGTCCAAAATGTTCAATTAAACAAATGCCCAACACTGAATTTGATAAATGAACCCCCAATAAAAAAAAAAAAAAAATTGTTTAAGTGATAATAAACTTTTTATTAAGTAATTAAAGAAGTTTATTAATTAGCAACACGTTTGAATATTATTAAATAATTGATTAACCTTTTATTCTTCTGATTCAAGCTATAAAAAGTGCATGCACATTATTTTTTAACAGCATATATATCACTGACGGAATGTTTTTCTTTTAATTTTTCTATACAATAAATTTATTAAACATATAAAAATGAAAATTTATTTAATTTATATTATTATAAAGTTAGTCTTTTTCTTACCTTTTATAAATTCACTTTGCAAGATTTAAAAATATGAAACCAAAATGTTTCTTCCCAATCCTTTGTATTGTCAAGACATTGTGCTTACGCATAATTAAAATTGATAAATACACAAGAACTAAAATATTTAATATAAACTTTATAATAATAAAAAAATCAAATTAACATACTCAGATAATTAGGTTGAATATTGTAAATTTGTAATAATTAACCTCTAATTCATTAATTTCATCTGCCACGCGCTTAAAGAAAGATCTATTTGAAAAGTGTACTAGTATTGTATGAAATATCACTAGGAAAACGGAAACCGTTGAGGGTCCGTTGCTTAATACGCTTAATAGTAACAATAATTTACATATATAATATTATATATATAAAATGGTTACAAAAAATGTGATACAAAACATAAAAGGAAATAAGCAGGGGCTAAATTATAGTGATGTAAGCGGAGGGAAGGAAAAATACATGGGTTAAACTGGTACTACAAATTTATCTAGTTTCCGTACAATAAATAGTCCTTCGCTACGCTCCGGACAATTATGATTAACCTTTAAAAATTTTAATAAAAAGATATTAGTATATATAATAATAATTAACTTAATTTAAAGAATATAAATTATACTGTAATTAGTTATATACCTAACGCTTTACATATTCACAAAAATTGTCAATATTGTGTGAATAATTGTATACAGCTCCTAAAAGTCCAAGTCCTTGTGGGTGGAAATTTACCTACATAAAACAGAAATTGCATTGGCAAGATATTCAATTCCGAAATAAGCCCTAATTAAGTTTCCCTGAGATGAAGTTAAAAATTCTTTAATTGTTGTAAATTAAAAATATATTAATATATTGCAATAATTACCTGTTATTAGTGTTGGTCACGGTCAAAGATTTTTTGGCAAACAGGTAACGGCCAAGCCAGGCAAAATGACCAGTGACCAACACTGACAGCCTGTTATTTTGCAAGTTGGCATATTATCTACAGGATCAGCGTCTGTTTGATGAATTAATTCTTGCAAACGAGTACGAATAGAAACCGACACTCAGCGGTAGCAGTAAATGAGAATGAATACCTTGGAATATAATAATCATGTATGGACATTCTTCTAAATCAAATGGAAAAACAAGATTTTGAATAATTGATTCTCGCTTAATAACACTTCCTATATGGAGAGGATATGCTAGCTATTAAATAATAAAATTATATAAAGAATTAATAATAAATTTAATTAAATAATTTAAGAATAAGCTTTTAAACTTACGAGAAAACTTTTTTTTTTTTTTTTTTTAAAACTGTAACGCATCTTTATTTGGATGTATTAGAAATAAGTTACATAATCCACAACAAATGATACTTAGAGCCGACCGTGCAAATCACGTGTTAACCCTATAACAGAGTACTCGCCGCACATTATTGGAGGACTATGGTGGTCCTCACCATGGAGGACATTATTGTCCGTGCATTATTGGAGGACCATGATGTCCCTACCACCTATTATCATCTATCCAAATACACTAAATTAGTCAAATTCATGATGGATAATGTTAATCTAAGATTATGACTACACCAACTCTCTGGGTCTAGTAAAACTAAGTTTAATCTAATCTCTACTATATCCCAAATTATGTTTCTAATCCTGCGAAAAATTTGACATAAAAGAAAAAAAAAATTTAATTCTAATAAAACAAATAATCTATCTAAAATTTTGGTATCGGGAAAAATTTTATACGTGAAAGTAAGTTCATGTGATTTCGATTGGATATATTATATGTTACTTATTTTCTATAATTCCTTTTCTTTTTCTTCTTTTGCGTCATTTTCTTTTTGGCCTTCGTCGAGCTCTCTTCCTTTTCTGATTTGATAACGTAAGGCTTGATTTCTTCTGCCTCTTCTTCCGATTCCGATTCACTTGATTTGCTTTTCTTTGGTGAATCAAAGATCAGCCTCTTGTCTCCAACTTCTCTCTTGTCCTGATATCTGTTTTCATCTTTCAATCTTTGTTCAAATTTGTCATTTAGCGTCGTATATTCTCTCATTATTGCATTTTGTTCTGCTAAACTTACAAGAAAACTTTTTTTTTTTTTGAGCTATTATTTAATACTGTGAAACTACTATTTATTTTAAATCAAGTTTTAGTAAGCAGGAAATATACAAATTATGATAATTTTTATGACGTTTTAATATTTTAATACAGGCATTTTATGTCATTCTCCTTATAGTGACATTCAGTTTTGATTGCTGATAAATGTATATTAAATAAAAAAATTTAGCCTGATGCAAATTACGTATTGTAGTTGATTAATAATGAAATATATTTACGCAAAAGTATTATTTTCTATATTATTTGATAACTTTTCATTAACTTTTAAACATAAATCAGAATCAGGATCTACAGACTTGTGCTTAGTTCTGGACTTGCAAATTCACATATTTTAAGTCCATAACACGTTCTATTTTTTTTATCTACAATAACATCGCAAAGATAACTACAAGTTGTCAGATTTACCCATAGGTTATTGAATCTTAAAAAAAGAAAAAAATAATAAATTAAAAAAAAAATATAAAAAAATAATTTTTATTATTCATATATTGATTGAATATTTGCATCTGCAAACGTTAAGTTCATATTTTGCGAATTACGATATAGTTTTAACAGTTATTTGTTTTGTAATATATTTATATTTAGCATTTTCAGCATTTTCTTCCAAATCAGATGTTGTGATCATTTGAATAATATTAAATATATGCAAAATAACAGTATAACTATTCTTCATTAATGATTTTTAACGTAAGTTCTACAATAAAAAGTATTTTAACGCGTACGATAAATAAATTGAAAGTTTATGAATTCGTAAAATCTGGAATCTATTTTGGAACTGAAGGATTTTTTGGAAAAAAAGTACCGTATATCGCGGGCCATTGTACCCCCATAGTATTTCCCTTTTTTTACGTGAAAAATTACTTTTTCTATCGATTTTATTATTTAGAGAATCAAATCTTGCCCAGAAATTATATGTAAATAATTTTCTGATTATTATACAAGCTTTGAAATAATGCTGTTATAATAAAAATTTGAGTTATAGACGTGGTAGTACAAGGTCAACCCCCGAAATTTGTATCATACCCGGGTACTATGGCCCGCGATATACGGTATCACTTGTAGGTTCATTATTAATCTTCTTTTCTCATAACAGCGCCTCTTTTGATAAAATTATTGCTGTCTCAACTGGTAAATGCGTCGTAATTGGTATATGTGCCGTAACTGGTATATGTACCGACCGTAAATAGGCACCATAACTTTTGTATATCGGATATGTAATATTTATTAAATTTTAAATTTGTCTTAAAAACATATATTATAAAATATGAAATACAGGGTGTAAATATCATATTTTTATATCATTCTAATTAATTTAAAATCAGTATGAAAACTTTAAATTTTGATAACAAATTTGGAGAGATTTAAGATTTATAATTTATACTGTTAAGCTATATATATTATTAAACTATTTTATGCTATCTATTTAAACTATTTATACTCTACGGCATCATTGGCCACAGTAAAAGTTACAGCATTAATAACATTAACGGCACATTGGGTTTCACACGGGTTTTGCCGAACTGTGACCACAATCCGCTATATGCCGGCCAATTCATCGGCACAGTTTCAACTTTCCAACTGCATCACTAAGTCACAACTGAAGGTCATGCATTGTGACCCACAATTTGTAAAGAAACATAATAATATTTCGGGGGTTCAAGAGGGGGAATAATACGAATGTGGACATTATTCAAAAAGGTGATTTTTGTGGAAGGACATTTTGCATGAGATAGATGCGAAAAAATATAATTGTCCAAAGGATCCCCTTAGGGTTTGTTTTCCTAAAGGATGTAATTCCCTTTTAGGAAAAGTTTGGATTCCTGCGGATTGTCCAAATCTATTGATTGTTACTAAGAAATTTGCCAGTACAATAGAATCTAAGGATTTCCCAGGACTATCTGAAGACGAAAATGTAAAATTATGTCACACCCCCCTTTTTTGGTAATTTGTATAGTAATTATGTCGAATACTTTGATCACGTGACATTAACAAAGATTTCCTAGATTTCCTTAAAATTGTCATGAGGCCTCATCAACTATGCATATTTTTGGTTGATCGTAGATTCGGCGACACATCACAGGTGCGATAAACCTTTTTTATATATTATTATTTATATTATTAAAAAAATTTAATATTTAGCTCGTGTAATCACATGATGATGATTACTATATCCTGAGATATTCAAATCTTTGCTTTACATAAAGGTAAATAATGGTAAAAAGCTCCAGATTCATTATTTTAGGAAAAAAATTTTAAAATACTAACCGTTGGAGCGTCCGAAGCGTTGGTGTACAGTATCACACGAAAGAAATGTATTATCTACCCTAAGTATTAATTAATTTTCGCCCCCTCCCATCTGGTGAGCCGGGTCCGATTGATCAACACCTGGAATTTTTTGATTTGTAATCATTAGTAATCATCGACCCATGTCTTCTGCCGTCATTACATTGAATCCGAGCTAATTTCACATCGAACCTGGGGCGAAAATCAGTATAGCCAGGTATTACTGAAAATACGTAACATCTTAAAATAGTAACATAGTACAGTCAGACCTCCATAATTGCCCACCCCTTGGGACCATATGCATAATTTTCAAAATAGTGCATTTAGAGAGGTGTGCATTTATAGAGGTAAAATAATTAGAGATCATATAAGCTTGGGACCGAACTAGAGGGTGCATTTAGAGAGGGTATACATAATGGGTGCAATTATGGAGAGTGCAATTATAGTGTAACGCAGTAGGCTGTTTATATCTAAATGACAAACCTTGCATGATATGGAATGTACTGTAGAGTCCTTCGCTACGCTTCGGACAATTATCTAAAGATTATTAAAGATTGTATTATTTTCAAAATAATTGATTAATTCAGATGTCTTTTAAAGAAAAAAATCAAAATCCTATGATATTATTTCTTTTTTTTTAAAAAAAAAAAATAAATAAAACAAAACAAAATAAAATAAAATAAAACGGTAATTATTACACAATATTACAATATTATTGGCATTTTATAACAATCATTATTTTTTATTGTTTTATAATTTTCATAGTAAACGGTACTGCAGTGTTGTTAAATTGCCATGTCATTTGCCCATTTTTCAAATGACATTTGTCATTTCTCATACTCTTTCATAGTAAAATCAATGTCATTTAATATCATTTGATGTCATTTCAATGTCATTTGACAACACTGATTACTGTAGTTACTGTAGTCATAAAAATTATTTATGTTTCGTATCATGTTCATAATTTTCACCATATCAGATATCGTTTTTTTCTTAATATATATTACCCTATCATCATAGAGAAGCTTACTGCGGATCCAGTGCACGAAGCTTGAACTTTGAAGCTTAAAGAATATTCGAAACTTAAAAATAAGCGTAAGCTTAATGTTATAAGAATGCAAGAAAAGTTATATGACATCAAAACTAACCATAGATTAAATTTCATGGTTAGCCATATGATCGTCAAATTAATTAATACGGTAACTGCAATTAAGGTAAGATATATTACACAGACTTTTCGGCACGCTAATTGGCATAATTGGCATAAGTTGATAGTTGATCATGTAACGCAAAAAAAATTATATACATAAAGTTTTTATTTAAATTAAGAACTGTAACAATGGAATCGGTAAATTCCGTCTTTTTGTAATCCCAATTATAGATTATTTACGCATATGTAAAACGTATGACGATTTATGAACGAAAAATTTTTAAATACCCACTACACCTCCTAAGAATGTTGTTCGGACTTCGAACACATTAACTTCGTTAATTAATATTTTCAAGTTTCATCTTAAAGGAGTTATGGAATCGCATAATAACTATTCGTTAGAAAGTCCATCCCTTTTCCACAAGGACGGAAAAAATGATCTCGACATAGTACCCAAACCCATAGTAGACACATATCTTCGTTCGCCAATATTTCAAGGTATCATTCTTGGTTGGATTGCTTCCATTTTGATAGTGATGTTAGCTATTTTTGTGGGCACACTAAGTCATATGATAAACTTCAATGTCATATGGAACTTGCGTGTTGGTATCTTTTTATCTATAGTAACAGTAATCACAAGGATAATGTCTGTTGTTGTAGGGTTCATGTTGCCAGCTATTTTAGCGGGAATACTCTCCTTCATTCAAATACCAGTTCTAAAGGTGTCAGGTGCAACAATCATTAAATTAATGGATGCATCCATGACTCGTGGATTATGGAGTACCTTAACTTCTTGTTTTAACTCTGGTCGAATTTATAAACTCACTATAGTTATTGTCTCAGTATTGGTGTGGCAATATATAACATCAGCAGTTGATTTATACGTCCATATCACTGCCACTGGAAATGTCCAACAATTACCTGGCCAAATAATTTCAAGCGCGAGGGCAATAAACTTGGCAACCAACTGTACTGAAGATTTCCCTGTCTTTAGTACATGTGGACAATGGGAATCAGCTTCCAATGGTGGGATAAATGATCTTGCCAGAGCATTGGAGACTTACCAAAACACAAGCAAGACCTTACAAGTTTGGCGCGCTGATGGTGGAGTTTACCTTTTACAATCATCGCCCCCAGTACAAGCCTATTCATACTCTGGGTCAGGTATTTTCTTACAACCCTCTTGTGAACCTATCAGTAAGATATGCAATTTAGAAAAATATTCTGGTCCCCTGACAAGATACACCTGCCCTGAGACATTATGGTCTGCTTCAGGGAACACACAAGAACATGGTATAAATGATGCGTATGTGAACCTTACAACACTGATTTTTAAACAAGCACCAAGTATTTATATATCACATAATCCAATACATGCGATTATTTCTGCACGATATCCCAGAGGGGGATTTGAAGATTATGATTCTGAATTTGTAAGAGAAATGCATGGTGACCTTTCAATCCTAATGCATTGCCAAATACATGCTTCATTAATTGAATATGTGATCACTCTTGGAACAATAAAAGCAACCACATTTGGAACTTTAACCAACGCACAGCTTCTAGCCCTTGCAGGTGCATCAACTCGTATGAATCAGCGAGCATGTCATGATATTGCAAATATAGTGTACAAAGGAAATAGTACATTATTTGTTAATGCATTTGCACAACAATGGGCTTTAGCAACTATTGCTTCATTTACCGGCGCAGTACAAGAAAATGAAGAAAATGGAAGAGGATATAATTATGTGCTTGAAGTGGATATAGAACAAACTGTTGTTCCACTTTCAGCTGTCTTACTCTATGCTATTGTTATCATATTTCCACCATTAATCTACTCATGTATATGTCTTTATTCTTTAAAAAATTGGTCAAATAATATACACATCAACTGGACACTTGCTGAATTCATCTGTATACCACAGAGACTACTTTATCAAACCTTAATTGGTGAACATTATGTAGATGATGCTTGTTTAAAGAGTTTGACAATGCAAGAAAAAATCCTTCAAAAGGTTGAATTTGATATTAAAGTGGAAGATGGGCATATAGTGCCACAAAAATTAAAAAAAGAAATTCAATAATAAAGTATTATTATTCTTAAATTAATTTTAATTATTGCGAAAAACTTGCTAACTTTATTCGGTTGTGTCTATTATTTCATACAATACTAAATCTGTTATCTGATAGAAGTAACATTTGTTGTCTATTAAATATTTGCTGGTATGATACTAGTTTATACAGTATCTAGAGAACTTTTGTTCCAAAGTTTCTGTACAAAGCATACGATAGCTTCTATGTAAAGCGTACTTTGGATATCGTACTATTTTTTGTAAATGCCGTCTTGAGCATGAACACTGGGTACTATTAGTATCATATATTGCACTTCGTAAACATAATAATGTTATAAAATAGTTCACAATTTTTTTGCTAAAAAATTTTGTACGACTAACTATTGTTATGTTTTCGCACTTTATGCGAGTTTAAGTTATCCAACCATTTGCATTCATTTGAATTGGTTATAACGATAACGAATATTTGTATGTTGTTCGGTGATATGTCTAGATAATGTCTTGTCTGAGCCTAAGTTTTTGTTGCAGATTGAGTAGGTATATTTCCCCTGTTGGTACAATTTTATTAATATTCTTCAAGCCCTTGTTGAACTGGTTAAAGGTAATAGTAGTATCGGTGGTATTGGTGAAACCACGAAGAAAAAAAAATAAACATATGACTATATGAGTACGCTACTAGTACATTATTTACATTATTTTGTAACACCCAACATATGATCTGTTTCGATATAACTGTATTCTTGCTCGAGATATCCATCCTGACTCTTACTTTATAAATTCTGTTTAATAATACCAAGGAAGAACTTACTTATCTGACGAACGCACATCATCAGTATTTTTTTTCCTCTTCTTCAGTATTTCTTTCATTGTCTGATTCTCTTGTTAAGGAATGAAATTTCTTACTGAAAGGTATAACAAATAGGATTTATATGATAAAGAGATATGTAATGTTAAAATATTTATTATTTAAAATTAGAATATACAGAAAAACTACGAACATTAACTATAATTAAGATAAAAGATAAAACTTTTGACAAAAAAATAAACATTTAAATAATATTAATTAAATCAGCAAATTTATTATAATTACTAAAAAAAAAAAAATAAGAATACTAACAATAAAAGAATAATAATAATATTTCTGAAGAGAAAACTATATAGTAGCAAATATTAAAACTAAATGAATGATAAAATAAGAGAAATTATATATTGTCATGATATTACTGTTGTAGATCAAACTTAACCATGTCCCAAACCTTACCATCGGCCTAAATCATCGGCCCAATCTAATAATGCCTTAAGACTGTACCAACGATGTTCTCCTAATTCAGGCCGATGCCCGATGGTACAATTGGTACATGGTTTGATTTGGTTTACAACATCACCAATTATAACAGTTTCTTCTTCTCTTTCTTCTTTGATACCACCGGTATCACATTTTTTGCTATTATGTTAGATTATGTTCTGCCATTTTATTATCAGTCTATTATTAGTTATAGTTATTTTTAGTTTTCTTTCAGTGTCTAACCATAATTCACTATTACGGAAATTACCTTCTAAATCTGCTTTCAAGAAATTGTGACATGATATAAATCATTATTTTTGCGATGCATAGCCCTACAAATCCAAAACGAATTTCGAATTAAGAGAAAATAGTTTCTAACACTGATCAAAAAAATTTGAGAATAGGTTCTCTGAAAAGATGACACTGAATGATGACTGGAGAAATAAAGAAAGGTTAGATTCCAATGATCCAGGCTTAATTGTGTGCAAATATAATTTCTCGCATGTACTATACTTTAGAGTGAAATGAAAATAATATCTCTAACTGTGGTGCCTCTAAGTTCACTATTATTTAAAAGCATGATAAATATAACTAGCTTATTACGTCATTCACAGAAAATCACGTTACACTTTACTATAGAAAATAATATTATGACTACAGTCATACCGATGCAGCTTTTTTGGAAAAAAATATCGGTATATCAAAATATCGGTACATGTAATTTGTCAGCAGAATTATAATGCGCCCAAAATCTAGTTCTTGCCAGCATTATGGTTAACATTTTGGCCAACCAATAATAATTTCAAAACTCATATGATCGTTAACTCAGCCAAATTTACGGTGCTGGGCAAAATTAAGTATCAGTGTAACCAAAATATCGGTATAATGAGGTTTTTTATTAGTTGCGAAACGGGACAAAGGAAATTCATCGGTATATGTCAATTATCGGTATATAAACTATCGGTATATCGAGGTTAGACTGTAAATAGTTTCATTATATTTGAAACAATAAAAATTAAATCAGAAACAGGCTGTGAACCAAAACTATAATAATTCTTGTTTACTAAATCAGAATTAAACATAGCTTATTGTGCGTTCTGATACAACGGATATATAACCAAGCGATGTTTATAACAGAAACGTAATAGGTAAGTAAATAACTACCTTATATGTTTTATACAAAGGTTCACTATATTTATATAATAGAGTTTTGTTTTCACGATATAATCCCAAAAACTCTAGGGATATTTATTTATTAATGAATTTATATATTTATCTTTTCTTATTAATTATTAAAATAATTTTATTAACTATTTATGTTATTTATTTATCTTTTTCATGAATTAAATATTTTCTAGAATAATAAAAAATAAAAAGTTCTGTTTTAATTGTAAATATTGACATGTAAATAATAGATTCAAAGAGCCTACTAATAAATAAAATTAAAAAAATTAGTAAACGTTATTAATAAAGAAATAAATATCCATAATTTTTTTCTGAAAAAAAAGCAAAATAAAAAAATAAAAATGGCAAGTCTCACAATGAAACTTACCGTTTTAAAAATCCTTAACTTTTTCATCAATATCAATCATCCCTAATGAAATCTTACCCATCTAAAAAAAAGAAAATATTGAACATTAATAAACATTTTGTTAAAATCAATAAATTTTAAAAAAATTGGTTCCTATCAAAATCCTATTTGATCCCTTATAACTAATGTTCCCTAGCGTTTCTAATAAAAAAAAATATATGGTAGTCTCGCCCAGCCTACCATTTCTATACGCCTATAAAACAAAGAAAGGGATATTAGCAACGTCCCTAATATTAAAAAGTAAAAGAAATAAAAAAGACATAAGTTTTATAAAACTTACCATCTTTTAAAAATCTAAATCTCCAAAGACTCAAATCCCGAATCCTACAAATAAAAGAAAAGGAAACCATTAGAAAATGTTTCCCTAATGTAAAAAAATAAAAATTGTAAATTTGTTGTGAAACTTAACCAAATTCCTGAACTCGCCTTCTTCTTCAGGACTTTCACCTTTGGAGAGTTTGTCAAACTCTGAATAATGACCTTCTTGGGTTGGTACTATCCAATATTCCTAAACATTGTCGTAACATAATCCAATTCCGCCTTAGAAAGGTACTTTTAATCCTCATATAGACTTCATCAATATTATAGATCTGTCTAAAAAGAAAAAAAATGAAATGTTAATAAGCATCTCGTTAAAATAAGCAAAAGAAAAATTTTTTTCCCACTAAATTCCCACGCATCCAAATACAATTTAATTTTATTAATCTCCAAGTTCTTTTCTTACTCTCAGTTATGGCTATTAAACATCAATGGCTTTCTTGATTGTGAAATTGACTCAGCCTGATACTTCTTTGCCTATAACTTTGAACTGGACCTTCAAACAAAAAAAGAATAAAGGAAAAGTTAACAAACATTTCCTTAAATAAATCAGTAAATTTAAATTTTGCAATGAAAATGTGTGAAACTTACCAAATCCCAATTTGAACACCAGAACTGGTATCTAAAAAATTTGATAAAAAAAATAAATTTAAGTTTTGCAAGGAAAATGTTGTGAAACTTACCAAATTCCAAGTCAAACATTGGAAACAGAACCTAAAATTTTTAAAGAAACATTAGAAGACGTTTCTATTAAAAAAAAACAAAAAAAAAATTGAACTTAATAAAATGTTGCAAAACCTACTATTTCATTTCAAAGTTAGTTCCCAAGCTGAATACACTTGAACCTATAAAAAAAAAGAGAAACATTAAAGACCACTTTTTTTAATAGGTTCTGAACATTTCTGTTCTTTTTTTATAAAAAATGTTATCTAAAGTCTGCCAAATCATCTGTGCAGCTTGATCAGCTGAAATGCATTCGGACGTGCAAATTTGTCATTCATGCGGTGATTGATCAACATATTTTTTTTTGCATAAATATTGTTACCTCAAACTAATGTAAAAAAAAAAAAAAAAAATTAATAAAGACGTTTAATTTAAAGAAAAATTCATCTTTTTTTTTCAGTTAGGGAGAACTTTGATAGTAATGGCTTACAATAATGATAAAGGTAAAGAGTTCATGAATATTTAATACAAATTAGAATTATTCTAAAATTTTAATCAAATTGCAATAAGTTTCAAGGAATCTGAAGGTAAATAAAATATATAAGTTAATTTATTAAATTTAATTTAACTATAAAATAACAATTATTTGTAAATAATTTATAGCATTTTATATAATAATGTAATATTCACATTAATTAAAACTATGTTCTTATTTATTAATTATATTAGATTATTTAGCTCGTAAGTAATAGTTACCTTATAATTAAATAATAATGGAATTACTTATTTTTGTTATATTCCATGCATATAACTAAATATTTTAATGTTTTATATTTTATATAACTCAACTAATTATACATTCTTTATTTAAATGATTAGATTGTAAGTGACATATATATTTAATTATAGTATATACTTTTGTATTATATTTATATCTAACTAATTAATGATTAATAATACTACAGGGTGTAAGTTATTTGTTATTAAGATTTCTATTATTTATATAATTTAAACTAATTAAATTCTTTATTTAAAAAATCATTTAATAATATAGCTTGTAAGTAATTTATTTAATTCTATTTTTATGTATTTAGGTATTATTTACATTTAATTTAAACTAACTAAATTCTTTGTTTAAAAAAATTATTTAATAAT